TTGTCCTTGTCTTTGTGCTTTTTATGCTTCTTCTCCTTGTCTTTGTTCTCACTTTTAGATTTCCCTGCAATAGTTGGAATCCCTTTCTCTGCCTATTAGGGGGGAAAACAAGGAATAAGCATGTGTACATGTCAAAAAAGAACACATTCAACTAATTTTTAGAACGAAAAACGATAGCATGTCAATTAAACACAAGAAGCAAATTAAGTACTATAGAAATCAAAGAAAACTGCTTACAGCAGGCAAGTCAATGGGAGCCGTTTCCCTTAGTTGAAAAGCCTCCTTGAGAACATCTAGGTCAAAAGGCTGAATACGAGCATTTGTATCTCTGAAGGAAGATGTGTACTGAATAAGTTGATCCAATTGCATCCCATCTCCTTTTCTTATTTCTGTGTCTCCTACAACATTGTGAAGGTAGTGCGTGTCCGCAATTGACACAGGGAGAGGCCTCTTGCAGAAAAACTCATAATGGGGTAGTAATTTGAAATGACTTATAAGATCCACAGCACCTGTCAATTCCCTTGGTCCTAATGGTTCAAAAAACACAGTATTATACAGTAAATTTTGAAAATGGGATGCTCGCAAGATAATTTTTATATGACAGCTCCTGAAATCCTGAACAAATGTTTAGAGCATTTTATATCCATACTTTCCAATTTTCATCCAACAAAGTACAGCCATATACCAGGAAATAAACACATTTGAGCACTTACAAAAGAATTAATAGCAGATTATGAGTTACTGTAAACATAAAATACTTTGGGTTCACATATCCATGTTGAAAATTAGAGTAAAAGAGTTTATCTTTCTTGGGGAAAAATATATAATCAATGTACATGTTTGATATCAGTTTTTATGTTAGAAGGGAAAACCTTATGACAAATATATGTTCATTGCCAATAGTATAATACCAACAGGAAAAGCAAACACCAATTTCACAAAAGTTGAAGCTGAAAATGATTCACCCTCATGCTATCCCTCAGCTGAACAACAAATTGACTATCTCATCAACCCAATTATATAGTATGATAGGAAATTAAAGTATTCAGTCTAATTACTTAATACATTTTCCCTTATCCTTTAAATTTGAAAACTGACAACAGGCACTAATTGACAAAATTGAAATTCAGCTAAAGGGGCAAATGGATATACTATTAAAGTTTAAAGATACTGACTGATTTTAATTTTAATTATGTATCATCAATTGGATAATTCTTAACATTCAATGCTATGACGACAGGGTATGTTTGGGTAAATTTCTTCATGAGCATTTATAGCAAAAGAAAATAAGAAAGAAAAAAAATGAAATAAACTTCTCTATAAGTCAAAACAAATTATACATGAGTTAAAAAAGCATTGAGAGAACTATTGCAAATTAGCTTAGGCATAAGATAATCTTAACTTATGGAGAAATTCATTTAATTTTTCTTTCATGAAAGTGTTTATCGAGAAGTTTACCCAAGCAAGCCCATAATAATGTAATATTAAACAACAGTCAAAGATTTGTACAAAATAACATAATGTAGATCACTAATGTAACAAGCTTTTTACCTCCTCCGAACTTTTTGCCTTCAGGATCCATAATTTCAATCTTGCATGAGTTGTTGAACCATTACCAACTGCAATTTATTACATGACAATAGGCATCTCATCCATAAATGTTAAAAGAGGTTTCAATTGCAAGATATCTAACAAATACAGGTTGTGCATATAAGGGCAGAGTTTTTTTTATAAATAGGTAGAATTGTATTAAAGAAAAAAAAACAACGGAAGTACAATAAGAGTGTGAATAAGGTATCCACGAAAGCATTTAAAAAAGAGTAAATTACATTAACTGCTTCTAAAGTTTCATGAAATTACACAAACCCTCCCTGTTTTATCACACTAACAACAGCCTCCCTTTATAGGGGAACAAAGTGAGATGTTCATTAAACAATTTAAAAAGGGGGTTGGCTAATGTATATGGAATAAAGGTGTAATCTTTTTCAAATAATTAAAGGAGGTTAGTGTAGGGACAAAAAAAAATAGGGAGAGTTTTATAATTTCACAAAACCTCAAGTATAGTTAGTGTAATTTAATCTTTAAAAAAGCACAAATGAAAAAGAAAAAGAGAGCTAGAAGTGCAACAAAGTCACTGCATCTCTCTGCAAACAAAGAGTGCTCTCTGAGATTTATATTTGTAAAGGGGCATGACTACTAGCAGAATAACTTATATAGCATAGTTATAATTTGGAAATGATCTATAAGATCCAGAGTTGTCAGTGATCATGGCTAAAAATGACAAATTAAAATGTCCACTAAACCATGCAGTGCCAAAACAAATTATGTTTGCTTTATGGAGGTGCACAACCATGAATTCTACTAGTTGTCATATCACTTTACCATCACAGCGCTCTTAAACAGTTAGCACATAAACTAAAAGGTGTTGCAACTTGTCATAAATTAAATTGAAGTAAAAGCAAATGTCTCTTCATATTGATCGTTAACCATTCATCACATTCACAGGCATACCAAGAAAATTTATATAAATCACCCTTTTTCAAATTACCTTCTGCTAAATTACTGTGAAGCTTCAAAGACATTTAAGAAGCCATAATATTCCTACAAAACATCATTTTACTAGCGCCACAAACCTTAAAACTTAAATAAGACTGACAAACACCCTCCCCACTAAAAGTCTATTTGGAATGAATATTCCACACCAACATCTATTAAATATTACTGTGTGATTTAAAGACTTTTGAGACTTGAAAGATATTTAGGAAGACCTAGCATTCCCACAAAATATCATTTAACCTGAGTCAAAAACCCTAAAATAAGAGTACATGGTCAATTGACAAAAAGTGTTCCCTGCATTAATCCAATAGTGAAGATTATTCTATGCCCACAGTCAAACATCTACACATAGAAAAAGCACCCATATTTGTTAGTTCATTTTATATTTTCCCTATTTACAGACATCTAATTTTCAAAACACCAGAGGTCAGAAAATCTTGCCAGATAACTCCATATCGCACACAAAATCATCGTCTAATTAGGGAATTTTATATTTTTTTAAAGACAAAGAGAAATCTCCTCTTTACTCATGCCTACCATCCCCCAAATGCCATTTTGAAGGCATAAATAAGTTTTTTGAGGAGGTGGGGACTCACGCTAGCACTACAGAACCAATTACAGCCTCTAAACAGCTACTTGAAAGCGCACAGCTAATCAAACTTTGTAGCAGCCAATGGCCACTCTACCCCACTATTGATCACTGCCTAAAAGAACAAAAAGCTACGCGACCGGAAGTAACTTGTATGTTCAGAGACATATCCACTAGAATACTACGGCTGATTTATAATCCAATTTGGAAATGACAGGAAAAGAAACAATGAATTGTCAAAAAGTAAAACTAGGGTTTTTACGAAAAAAATTATAGAAAACTGCGATTGAGTAGCTGAATTTTTCAAAGAAAATATGCAGATATCAATGTTGCACATTATATGGAAATAAATGACCTTAAAACTACTGTTATCGATCTCATTGCATCTAATTCTGAAAAGGCTATGGCGATGATGACCGTTATTTTAAATATTATAATTATTATATAATATAAAGTAAAAATTAATACTTAAGCATCTAAAAACTCAAAAATCAAAACAAAAAACCCAAAACTAAAGAAATTTGTGGTAAATAATAAGTAACAGTTTACACACACAAGCACTATCAACATAGGAGCAACAGAGCACAGTAATGAAGTAAAAAAAATAAAGATGACGATGAAAAATAATAAGAGAACATAACAAACTAGTTAAAAAAATTAGGAAAATGTGAATTGGGAAGTCTATAAGAATAAGTAAGAACAGAACTTGGGATAAGAAATAGTCATATAAAGTGTGAAGGAATAGATGTCAAAACAGAGGTAACTTTTTGTGGAATATTTTACCCTGGAAAAGCATAACAAATGTGGATGTTCCAGGTTAAAAATTGGTTATTTTGGTAGTGCCACTACAGCATGTGAAAAGCCGTTATATTGGTCATGATAATCACATAACAACCCAAGGCTACTCCATTCCACTATCCTCACTATAGAGCCACAATATTTCACTATTAACTATTATCCTAAACCTTGGATCCTTGGAGGTAATTACTTTAGTTACGCTTATACTGATAACTCAAATTATTTGTTTTGGTAGTGCCACTATTGCGCGCAGAAAGCCGTTTCCTTGGTAGCACTACCTTAGCGCGCAAAAAACCGTTATCTTGATCGATATACCCGAGACTCGAAACAGCTTTGCTATTTGAATCCCATAGCAACCCAAAGCTTCTCACTTGACTATCTCACTATAGTGGCATATTAACTACTATGCTTAAAACTTAGATGATTAGTTGTAATTACTTTAATTTCGCTTATACTAATAACTGAAATTAATGATTTCCCTTCTAATTTTTGCAGGTTGATTAAGTTTAGACTTTGAAAAGATAAAGTTTCTGCTTTCGGAAAAGGGAAAGCTCAACCATGACCGGCATATAAAGTGGATAGAAACCCTACACAAATTTTACGAGAAAAAACCAATAGTTCAAACCCTAGAATCATCAATCTTAACCCTACACCAGGTTAGTCCTCAAAGAACACGAAAGCAAGAGGGGATACAAGAATGCAAATAGTACAAGTCGCTCATACACATGTGAATTTTGGAATACTAACACTAATTCCTAATTGGATTTCAATAATGCGCATGCTTTTAGTCAAAATCACTTTATAATTCCCATTCTCTCCTAGTTTTCAACTTTTGAGATTGCTAAATATTCAAACGTAACGTTCAAAAAATAACAACAAATTCAAAAACTTCTCACACAGTGTCGTTCAGCAGAATACTGGCAAAAATGAACACCACCACACACACCCCAGAACAAACAAACCTTCATTACGCAAGTTAACAATAACAATAATAATAAAAAAAAACTCGTGCAGGAATTGAAACAGTGAAGAAAACTCACCTGAAGTGAGGGAATTAATGGCTTTGAAAGCAAACAAAAAACCCAATTCTGACGAACCAGAGCCAGGCCAATCTAGAACCTTCTCGCCCTTCGACCACCCCGACAAATATATCGGCGAAAGCTGCGCAAAATTGGAATTGTTAAAGCGAAAAAAGCCAAAATCCTCAAAAGGGTACTCAAGTTTGGGAGGAAAAGAGAAACCTTTTTCCGTGCCGGAAAACCCACCGCAAGAATTAGAATTGACCCGTGAAAGAGTTCGCGTGCGAGAATGGAAGAAAGGCCGAAAAGTGCAGATCCAAGCAGTAGGAGGAGAAGAAGAAGATTTGGGTCCCCACAAGAACACGTAAAGAGAAGATCTTTGGGTTCAGTTCTGGAACAAACTGTTTTTCCTTCGCAACTCGCTCCTGTTTGTGTTTCTCTGTTTTTTCTTTCTCTCTTTCTTTCTTTCTTTCTTTCAGTGTTTAAAAAAAAAAAACAGCAAAACCCAAAATTCTCTTCTTCTATTGCCGATGCCAGTTGCCACCTCTGAATTTATATTTAGCCCTAACTTTTGGGTAAATTATCGATTTTACCCTTGTCTTCGAGCTTGTGCTATTGGATCAGGTGTCAATTTAATTACAACAATTGCCACCTTGGACTATTTGGGACAATAGAGTGAGTAGAATGAACGAGCATATAAAGATTTTCTGATTTTTGTTTTTGATAGAAATAGCATCATAGTAGACAGGTGAAAATTGGGGCATTATCCACCCAATTTTTCAAATGGAGTTTTTAGTACAATAACACAACCCTTCTTCTTAAGGTAGCCATCATTTCACACTAGCCTACATCACCAAACCATGTAGAATTATGACAACAACTTCTGAAAGAGTCCACGTGCGTTTTAAGTTTTTCTTTTTCATTCAAAAATACAGACTTTATTCTGTTTAAATTGGCTTAATATGTTGTGAGAAATATAGAAAGAATTAAAAACTTATAAACTAAATCTAATGAAATTCTCGTTACCAGAATTTTATTGAAGTAATACCATGTTTTTATGCATACCGTTGATATTACAAGTGTATACAAAAATCACATTTTTATATTTTTTTCAAAATATATAAAATAACTTAACATATATTCATGAGTGAGAATGTATAACATATTGATTTTAGTTAAACCATTAAATTAATTATTTTTTTATGTTTAAAATTCAAATGTTTTATAAGATTATATCATATCATTATTTATGTTAAATATAAGTATTTAAAATAAATATGATTTTTTTAAATATCTCAAAAATATATTTGTTAGTTTGTACTTAAAAATTATATTGAATTGATTAATTAAATTGATAATTTTTAAATAATCCATTCATAAAAATTATACTATAGATTTAAATGAGAAAAAAAATCAATAAAAATATATTTATTTAACAAAATTCAGTTCATTTAATTATTATAATAATTCTATTAATTCTAGTTTTATTTCATTTGGATCTCATCAAAATATCTTTATTGACTCTACAATTAATCTAATTTTAAAAATATTACTTGAACTCTCATAGATCAGATTTAACAATTAATCCAATTTTAAAAATGTTATATTTGAACTCTCTAACTTTTTCTTTTTTCTTCTTCTGTTTGAAAGTTTTATAATCAACTATAATCAATAATTATTTCAATATATATTATTTGGTTTAGTGAAATTTATATAATAAAAAGCCTTGTCAAATATTATATTCACACATATAATTTATATATATATATATATATATATATATATATATATATATATATATTATAGAAGTCAATATTCATAATATTTTAATATTTATTACAAAACGAAAAATGAAATTAAATCTTGTCTTAACTTATTTTATAATTTGAGACATTATTATTTTTAAACAAAGTTTAAAGCAATGTAAAATGTCATATTTCAAAACAATTAACTTATATATCAATGATAATTGAATTTCTTGATTCATACATGCTTCAGCTGAAGAATGTTTGAAGTTAATTCAATATTTTTGTTTTTATTTTTATGAATCAAGTTTTTGTGGGATACCTACATAGGAGAGATACATGTGTTTATTAAAAATTATAATACTTTTGCACTATTAATTTTAGAGTAGTATTGAAACACTACATTAATTATTTATTAAATGCATGTGTCTCATTAATTGGTTTACCTTAATATTTAAATTTTTTAATTTTTTCCCCCAACAATTATAAGTAAACAATAGTCATTAATAAATATTTCTCCACACTTTAATATTGTATGTATAAATTAATATGGTGAAATCATCTGCTTAAATTTGACTGCTCATCCATTATTCATATTTTTAAGCAACAATGATTTATTTCCTTATTTATTTATTTATAGTGCAATATTTATAAATATTCATAATTCTTATTCTTTATTACAAGAATAACAAATATATATATATATATATATATATATATATATATATATATATATATATATAAACTAAAGGAGATTTTAAGTTACTATGACCATTTATCAAATTTTAATTTTTTAAGGTTTGGGAGTTTAATGATCCTAATTAAATGTAATAAAATAAATAATATTTATTTAATATTAAAGATAAAAATATTAATACTTAATATATAATTATTATAATTAATATTAATAAATAAAATATTATACTTAATGTATAAATTTATAATATTAATTATATATATATATATATATATATATATATATATACAAAATTGTATCACATAAACAATAATTTGTATCTGAAAAAAATTTATACAATAGTTTTTATAGGTAAAGAGTATTTATATAAAAAAAAATTAAAAAAATTGATTAACACTTAAAAATATATAAATATAAAAAATAATAGTAACCAAATGTTGATTATAATGATAACTATATGTCATTATATTACTAAATAACATTAATTTTACGTTATGACAAGTAAAATGTGCATTTTAATTAAATTATATATAAAATCAGTATTCACAGTAAAAATGATTAACACTCAATTTAAAAAATATATAAATATATATATATATATATATATATTTTATTTTTTAATTTACACATTATATATTATTATTATTATTATTATTATTATTATTATTATTATTATTTGAAGAAACACCATATAGTAATAAACTTTAAAGGGTTTAATATTTTTTTAATATAGCATATTCTAAATAATATATTTTTTTTAGTCAATTTCAATTTTAATGTAATAATATTTAATTTACTTGATATATTTATTTATGAACATATGTTGTTTTCAGATATATAAATTAGAAATATAAATAACAGATAAATGTAATAAATTTTGTGTTGCACCCCTTTAAAATCTAATTATTCTTATGAAAAGTATATATTTATTTAAAATATTTTGTTATCAATTATATAATTTTTTTAAAAGCAGTGTCATTTTAAGATTTTATTTTTCTATAGATAATATATCAGGTTTATGCAGCTAACCCTAACATGAGATAATAATGCTTTCAGGTAACGGGTCCTATAAAAACGATGGACCCGACCCGACTCTGCAAAAACAAACTAAACACAATATTATTTATTTATTTTCTTTCTTTTCCTTTGCATAGCCAAACAGCACAGAAGAGAAGAGGAACTGTGGTGCGCCGCAGCACATATCTCCTTTTTTAAGGTTGTCCATATCCTTATCTGTCTTCTCCGAGGTTGAAGGGTTTCACTGCCGCAATGGCGGCCTTCGACCACTTCGGGAACATGTACGACGTGACATTCAAACCCCGCTTGCTTCTCTCCCTCATCAGAGACCACCTTCCCGAAGAGAATGGTCCCTTCTCCGACCCCTCTCAACTATCCAAGGCTGTGTCGCTCATCAAAACACACTCTCTTCTCTCCGAGTCTTTTGTCTCAGGCTCCACACCCCCTAAAGTAGTAGAAGCGTGGAAATCCGCACTCTCTTCCTGGCTCAACCGCATTTTCTCCCTCCTTTCCACTACCATGGTATGAATAAAAAGCAACAAGCTTTTAATATATATATATATATATATATATATATATATATATTTATTTTGTCTTGTTTTGATGTGTTCTTTTAGTTGAGATGGCTGCGTTTTTCTTTTGTAGCCAGATAAATGCTGTGCGGGGATCTATCTACTCGGGATTACTTGTGAGGAGTGCAGCTCTGAGCGTTTTCTAGAATCTTACTTTGTTTGGTTCCACAAGTTGCTGGCTTTTCTACAGGTACCGAGATATTTGACCATGCATGCTGATGGTTCTTTTGTTAGAATGTTTGGTTTTAGGAATATGAAGGGTTGTTCACTGTAGAATGTTTCATATAGAACGGATGTTTTGATCAACTTCTATATAAGTCTAAGAAAATAAAATAAGAAAGAAGAAGGAATTAAATTTCTTCATAAACTAATATTAACATTATGTATTAGTTAAAATAATCTTTTAGATATTTCAGAAAAGGTAGTATGATTAAGCATAAACTAGTTTTAGTTTACAAAAAATTCATTCTAATTTTTCTTTTTCATTTTCTTCTTCCGTAAGTGTTGTATGGAGAACTATATCTATACAAGTCTGATGAAAGTCCCACATCGCCTACCTCATGTCATTTGGTATGGTTTAAATACATGTTAGGCTACTCCTCCACATATTGCCAATTGGTTTTATGTTGGAACCTTAATATGGTATCAGAGCCAAAACCTAACATCTTTCCGGTTATTGTCATGGGCCAAAAAGTTACCTTTAGTTGGGTCAAAAGTACCCTTTGCCTGGTCCGGCAGACTTCGTTGGAAGGGGTGTGTTGAAAGTCTCACATCGCCTACCTCATGTCATTTGGTATGATTTAAATACATGTTAGGCTACTCCACGTATTGCCAGTTGGTTTTATGTTAGAACCTTAATAAAGTCCTAAATGAATGAATTTAGAACTTAGTGCTGCTCACAAGTGACTAGTACCTTGATTTTTTAAAGCATATGACAGGGGTTTGATCTCTTATCAGTTGCTTTACTTCCACATGCGTCTAGTTCCCTGTATTTTGGCAGTAAGAATATCTCTGGACCAATTCCAGGTCTAAAAGATAATTGATACTTTCTAACTGTTATCCTGCACATATTATAATTTGCAATTCAATGCTGGTACTTGAAAGATAACTTAACGTAATTAACAGCTTTTAAATTTAATGATCGGTTACGACTCAACTTTAAATATATAAGACATCCTCCCGAAAATTGTAAATGGGATTCTATCATTTGCTGATACCTTTTAGAACTACTAAATGAGCATGTACCCTCTGGAAGCCAAAGTGTTCATGAAGCTTCCTTACTTGTATTCGATTAGGACCCTGTTTTTTTTACATGATATGTTACTGATAAATGCTAAACATCATTTGTCTGATACATTGTGTTTCTTCTTGAACGCTTCATTTCAATTTTTTAAAGTATGCGTGCATTCAAACATAACATATATGCCCTAGTTACATCTTTTCACAAATCTCTGAAATGAATTTTTTTACTTTTGGTATGCACAATTCTGATGTGCTCCTTGATCTTTGTTTGAAACAGTCACCAGCAAATTCACATTTAGTGAGGGTAGCAGCTTGTTCTTCAATGTCTGATTTATTTGTGAGGTTAGATATTTCTTTTCCTAACTTGAGAGTTTGCTATTAATTGGTACAAATATTGATTTCAATGTAGAATACTCATGCTTGATGTTGTTGCTTAAATGAATCCCTTGGTAGAATGTTTTCTCCCTCACTTTCTCTGTGTGGGTGTGTTTTCCTGTTAGCTGTTGTGTTGTTGTCACCTACATTACCAATAATTATTTACTCTTCTCTGTGTTTGCATAATATTCAATAGAGTGAGGACAAGGTTGTACAACTTGAGTCTGGGTAAACTTGAGGTGGGTTCATAAATTTGACAGATCAACTTGCAAGAGGTTGCTTAATTAAAAAAAACTTACATTCCATGCCCGAAGTTTCAGCTCAATGCCAGTCTTATTTTTTAGGGGCATTCCTCCTAGTTTTGAAACTGGGCTGAGCAACTGTATTGCTTGAACACCTTGATCCTCTTTCACAGTGATCTCAGTTCTCAACTAATACTGAAAGTTCAGAAAGAAGAAAAGGGAACAGAGAAACCTGTTTATGTAGAGGCCTGAGGGTACCTTGTTCACAACTTCGGTTTTAGAATGGCAGTCAAGCAACCAATACAGGCCATAGGTAGTTGCAAAATTGTTGCTGCCAAGCAAGTGAGCAAACAAGGAATTGCATATCATATTCACAGATGTCAGTAGTACAGCTCTTATGCAGAACTGCATGGGTTGCTGATTCACAGATGGGCAACCAAACATGTGGTTGTGGCGATTTTTCAGAATAGAAGGGTTTGTGTTTGTTATAGATTCGAATTGATTGCAGTGTGGGCGGTTAAAATAGCTACATCTTGACCACAAGTTATCATTGTGTAGCTTGGGCGTTCAGTGGAGGAAATACGGTCATCATGAAAGAGGCAAATGAGAAGTGTCATGATTCATGAATAGGGAAAGTAATTAAAACTGCATAATAGAACCAAATAAAGGGAGGACCCTAGCTGAAGGATCCCGTTTTGAGCTTTCTTGGCATCTCAAGCAAATTTGCTAAGTTGACTGTGGATTGCTAGTTTGATGAGTTTATCTATTCCTGACTGAGTCTGCTGAGTTTGATTATGTCCGAGTGTGTTATTGAGGTGGCATGATTTGATCCCAAATTTGTAATCTTAAACTTACCAGTTTACGAGTTACTATGAGTTTGAGAACGATGGATGGTCCTACCAAGTTGCTTAATTTTGACATTCCATCTACTTAATTGCTTACTAAGTTTAATAGCTCCCAGGATTTCTTTCTATAGAAAAAACATATGTAGACATGCATTTATTCTAAATGTTTAAATATTTTCCAATATTTTGTTGTATTGCATTTTCTGACACTTATTTCTGCTATCATCGTGAGTCAAACTAGTAAAATCTTGGAGCCATTCATAGGCCTGTTGCTGGTGAGATCTGTCTTGATTAAAATAGTTGGCAGCTAACTGTACTAACTCTCTGTTACAAATAGGTTAAGTGTATATCCTAAGATCAAGAAAGAATCATCTTCCTGTGCTGTGAAAGTTGTGCAGCCTACATTGAAGATGTTGAATGATGAGAACTCAGAGGCAATATGGGTAAGTGCATTTTGTAGAAATTCTTGGGTTGAAGTTGATTTCCATAGTTTGTAAATTTGCATTTGGTATCAGTAAATGTGAAAGTATTATATATGTACAATATTTCATCTCATAATGCATAAATGTAATCAGAAAAAATAACTGAATTATTGTAAGCATGCAACAGTTTTCTCAGGACCACTCCTCACGTACCCATGCATAGGTGTATGCTAATAGATGAAAATATATTGCGTTAAACTTAGCAAATGTGGAAGAAAAAAAGTGTTGATCGAATGCAGGCAAATCATTAAGTATATGATATTCTCTATGTGCTGTTGACATTATTAGATACCCTACTTTTATTGTTCAGTTTTCATATACCTGATATTTCTTTGGACAGAAATTATATGCCTTATTTTCCTACTACTTTTTTAATAATTGAATTGTGGTGATGCAGGATGCCGCAGTTCATTTGTTATGCACCATAACAACTTCATTCCCATTTTCTATTCGTAATCATTACGATAGTGTAAGCTTCTCCTTATTTTTTTCAAGTCCTTAATTTCTGTTGGCATGAGTAAAAATTGTTTTTGGATAAAGCCCACTACCTCCTCTAATACATGTTTTACCAGAGTATGAACTTAAAACTCACACATGGTATTTTTGATATGTTCCTTTTCTTTTAATTTCACCACCATCTTTCATTTTTTGATTTCATTTCAATGTTCAAATGGCTCATAGATTGATGTTGACTGTGTATGTAAACTCTGACTACATCATGATCTAGTTTATGTTCTTTTTCTCTTAATATTTTAGCTGTAGAAGGATTTAGTATATTTCTCGCCTCTTAATGTTCCTATTTAATAAAATAATTACTTAGGCTATAATCATGTTTATTACATGGTTCTAATTGGTGTTTTTTTCCTAGTTTACTTATTTATATATATATATATGTTAACAATCTTAAAAATGATCATACAAGGGATGCACATTTGCATAATTGGGATGTTGATGCTTTTGCAGCGTATATCTGCATTAGCATTGTATTGACAGTGATTTTCTTGCCCTAGTCAATACTCTGGCATTTCTCTATCTCTTCATGATTGGAAGCTGATAAGCATTGCACTTTTGCATGTGATTAGTACCAATTTTGTTTATTGCTTTTATGATGGAAAATGTCAAGGAAACTATTTATGTTCCCTTGGTGCTGTATTTACATTTTGATGAGTGATTTTAATTTATGCAGGTTGAATCTGCTATTGCCTTAAAACTTTTGAATGGAGGATGCAGTCTTGATCTGTCAAAGGTAATGTTTTCATCAAATTTTCTTATTTTCTTTGGATCATTGTTATAAGAAGGTTGAAAGGGCATTCTTTGTCTGCCTCTATATGTTTGCAGCAGACACATTTTGCTTAAAAAATAATTTCACTATTTTACTTTTGTTTTGTTTTATAATTTTTTATCAAAATGGATCACTTTGTAATTATCAATTTGTATTCTATCAGTTTTCCATTCCATTTTTCATACAACTTCCAAACGAGTAAAAAAATTCTACCAGCAGCCTCATTTTGTTGGGTCAATATTTTACATGCTGGGACATCATTTATGATCTGTAATTCTCTTTTATTTTTTTTTTAGTTTAGAAGAATGACTAGTCTTTTAATGTTGAATTTTCAGTTTTGTATGGATATGTTTTCTGATAAATAAAAAAAAATACCCTTAAGTCTTAATCTGATGTGTTATGTTATCTGATTGGGTACATCTAGAAACTCGCCCATTGCCTTGCACTGCTTCCAAAATCAAAAGGAGACAATGAAAGCTGGTCTGTGATGATGCAGAAAATTTTGGTGTTAATAAATGATCAATTAAATTTAGCTTTTCATGGTCTAGAAGAAGGTAAATGTTGATATTATCTGTTTCATAGCAGCCTCTATTAGAAGCAATCTGTGATAATCCTTTTTCCATGTGTTGCAGAAACCATGCGTGACGGGGTTTCTAGGTTGTTGGTTTTACCAGGGAAACATCCTCCACCACCGTTAGGAGGCTACATATTAGCAGAAGAAGTTAGTAACAAGGCATCAAGAATGTCTGAGCAATCACTGATGTCTAATGTCTCTACCCTTATGTTTGGCTGTTGTCTAATGCTTACAAACTCATATCCTGTTAAGGTACTGTTTAGTTTATGCAATTTGTGTTCATACAATTGATTGTCAGTTCTGTGTATTCTTCTTAATTTGGAAGAACAATGACAAAGTGCAATGACATTATTAGGTAAATGTGCCTGTTCGCCTGTTGTTGGCCCTGGTTGAGAGAGTTCTGATGGTAAATGGTTCTTTGCCACAAATGTCATTGCCATTCGTGACTGGCAAGCAGCAAGAGAACATTTGTTCAGAACTTCCAGTTTTACATTTGAGTAGCCTGGAATTGCTTACGGCCATCATAAAGTCTCTGGGCAGGTATAACTACATGATAGCCTCTCTCTCTCCCTTCAAAAGAAAAAGAAAAATAGTCTAAACAGCAAAAACGGGAGATTTGAAGCTTTGTAAAATAAATGTAACATTCTTTAGAATAACGTTTTTGTCTTTTATTTTAATGCCATTGTTAATGATCTTTGTTATAATGTGTATTTTATCATTTAAGAGCTTACCCTCCACAGTTTTGGTGTTCTGGTTGTGTTTCTATGCATGACTTCCAAGTGCTTTCCTCTGATTTATATTTCATGTATTCATTTCTTGCATGAGGCAGAACTCTACTTATTGCCAATATTATTATTATTGCAGTCAACTATTACCGCATGCTGCCTATATTGTGCGGATCATTACAAAGTACTTCAAGACATGTGAATTGCCAGAGTTAAGGATTAAGGTCTATTCAGTCACAAGGAATTTGCTCATAACCATGGGTGTCGGTATGTAGAATTTCTCAATTGAATTGCTCTTCTGTTTACACTGGTATTATCTTCTTCTAGCAATGAGGTTTGTAGATTGGAATATCTTTCTTTATATAATTCCTTTTATACTCCTTGCTACGATTTTTATTGAATTTTGGGAACATATATTATAGTCTCCTAGAGTAAGGGCCTTGGCACAATGGTAATGTTTGTTGCCTTCTAACTTATAGGTCACTGATTTATATCTTGGCTGCTTGTGGGGGTAAATCTGTGTGCATCTACTCTCTGCATACCCTACCAAGTGGGAGCCTTGTGTATTGAGTCACCTTATTTTCACGTCCCACATTTCTCATCCATCAATGGTTATATGCGTGGTAGTCAAAATCGCAATTCGGAACATAATTCGGAACATAAGATCGTCCTAATCTACGATTTTGTCTCTCTTCTTCAACTTCGTCCTAATCTACGATTTTGTCTCTCTTCTTCAACTTCGTGTGCCACCAGATAGGGATTTTTGTGGATCAAGTGGGATCGCCATTGAAGATTGTTGCATGGGCAGCAACATCTCTGTTGATTGGGTGCGGTGGCTGCAACATTGTCATGTGGGTGGCGCAGGCTGCAGCGCTGTTATGTGGGTGTGGCGGCTGGATGTGTGACCTAAGTATAATTAGGTTAAATCTCCTCATCAGCCCAATAACCCAGCCCAACCCCACTTTCATATTAACAAAAATTAAAAGTGTGAAGGCTGCCTCAATCAAACGTCAACTTGATTCACCTATACCTAGTTAATCTCAGAAGGATTCTTCGTCTTCTCTTCTCATAATTTATGCAGTGCAGGAACTTAAAATATTCGAGACTTTTCCTAAAAATTAATGCAGTCTCTTCCTCTTCTCATACTTGGTATATATATGAATTTCATAAATTTTGTAGAATCTTACCATCCTAGTTACGAGTTTATACTACCCTTTCCGATCTTAACTAAGATCTTGATTTTCACTACCTTGGTTTTATGTAACCACTTTAAACATCATTAATAGCATACTTAGGAAAATGTTGTGGGGGTCCAGAGTGGGATTTGAAGAAATCATGACTCTGGGGAAAAAATGATGTTTGGTTGTTTGTTACTAAAATTGCTTTTGTTCCTAAAATCAAGAGCTAAAAATTATAGCTACAATTTGGGCTTGATCCAACTTTTTGGGCTTTTTTCTTAAAAGAATACTCTCCAATTAGATTGTTTAGAGGATATTATTTTTTGTGGTTTTTCCTAAAGCTACTTCTATGTTGAGCTTTGTGGAAATTTTGATAGGCCTAACTTCTTTTAAGGAAGGATGCCCAAAAAAGTTGAGCCAACACTTACCGCAACACAAATTCCTTTCTACATTTTCCCATTAAGGAAACTAAATACAGGGAGAGAAGGGGAGAGGAAGAGAGAAAAGGAAAGGAGGAAAGAAAAATGCTTGATCTTAAGTTTATGTGGTTTTAGTTCCATGTCCTCTCTGTTGTCATCATCATGCATCTGATTTTATGCAGTACTGTTTATTTGTGTATTTTTTTCATAGATTATTTCAACAACTTTACATGTAAGCTACATGGACTGTTTCCTTTTTCAGCTTATCTTTGTATGATTTAGCTGCATTTAATTTTACCATATATGCTGGCCTTTACTAATTAGTTATCTTGAACAGGAATGGCTTTATACCTTGCACAGGAAGTTTTCAACAATGCTTTTACCGATTTAAGTAGTATCGAGCAGAGGAATGGTGGCATATTAAATGGTTCAAATTCAAATCCCTCTGTTGGAGCAGTGCTACCGTCCAGTCATAGAAAAAGGAAGCACAGCAGTGCCATGGGGTCCCTTAAGGAGCATGATGAAGGTGGTGGTTTGGGTTTGGAAGTTCCCAAGAAACGTCCTTGGACTCCTATTTCTCTGAGAATAGCTGCACTGGAGACATTAGAGGCTCTTATTACTGTGGTATGTATGTATATGAGTAACCTTTTAGTATAAATAACAGAAGTGTTTGTTTCTTCATCACCCTTTCCCTACCTTTAATGGCTACTCTTTGTTCATAATATGTAATTTATTTGTAGGGTTATACTGAAAGGGATAAAAAAATATAAGTAATGGGACTGTATAATTGTGGCAAAAAATGAACTGTCAGTCTTGTTATTTGGACAGATATTTTAGGTAAAATACAAATATACCTAGAATAAGCCCAGCACAGTTACACCAAATATAATAAGAATATTAACACAATGGCTATAATAGTATTGTCAAAGAACTCAATGTTGGTTATTGCATGTGTTTGCCTACAACCTTTTTAATAAATTTATAATGACATCAACTAATCATGTTCTGTCTGTGGGAGGATTTGTTGGGACACTGCTGTGTTGTTGGTCCACGGTTTGTAATGTTGTGTATATAAGATGATACACTCTTATCTGTTTAATCAGTGAGCTATTTTTTTAAATAAAAAAGTAATAAGGAATTTATTGGAGCAAAAATGGGGGAACTACAAGTTGGATAAGGATAAGATATCCTCCAAACAACAAACCTTTTATAACTTGGCCCTTGGGCCTAATTCAACACAAGTGTGGTGAGGATTGTCCAAGTATTATAAGTTTTGTTTTCGATATAGGACTAAACGCCACCCTTGAAGATGCAATTACGGTAGCTTCCAAAGGAATCCAAGGTGGGCAAGGGTAGCCACAATTGAGGTGGCTTTCCAATAGAACTACAGACAGAAGAGAGCATGAAAAACAGCTAAAAGTATAGTGAACCTGCCCGTATAAACTGCATATCCAAGATACCAACTCCCTTAAAACAGCTATAAGGAGAATAACAAAAGAGAAGCTAAAAGTGTAACTTTATCCCTCGACAAGTAATTTCAGGCATTTAATATTGTTAGAGTTGTATACTCTGGCACAATTCACAATATGCCACTGTTATGTAATTCTAAGACCACCTTTATCTAGTTTTTTTACATATGTTAAACAAAATGACATACCAAAAATCGGAAATGAGGAAAAGATGTTCTGTTTTAAATGGAGTAAAATATTGTATTGCTTACTTACAAGAGTCTTTTGTTTTATGGCTGTTTTGACCTGAAACATTTAGGGATGAATTTTTTGCCTAAAAACCATCCCTGAAATTCTCTTCTCAAGTTTAAGGCACATCAAAGTGACCGTTTGAGATCACCATTTTCTTCTCAATTTTAAGGGATGTATATGATTGTTTTTTTGTAATTTTTCACAGGCTGGTGCTTTAAAATCTGAACCATGGAGATCAAAAGTTGATAGCCTTTTGATCGTCATAGCCATGGATTCTTTTAAGGAAGGAACAGTTGGTGAAGAACTAAGTGTGGTTCAACTAAAGGAACCTGCTGCCAATGTCTCAGATTTGCAGCTTGCTGCATTGCGGGCTTTATTGGTGTCTTTCCTTTCATTTGCTCGAGTACGGCCTCCACATTTATCCCAGGGTCTTGAACTTTTCTGCAGAGGTACTTCTATATATCAATTTGAATTTGTTTTGTTCTTATTTTTTTGGTATCAAGTATTGGTATTTTAGCAGGTTGTAAAATATTGGGCTTTATGTGTTTAAATAAGAGATTTTGACGACAGTTGTTACTGGGAATATTAATGCTTTCAATTATGTGAAATCTAGTGATTTTTGTTACTAGATGCTTAGGATGTTATGACTTGCATAGTTGGTACTGATATTGTTGGAAAGTATCTCCTATTGTGTGCTGTTAATAATTAGAGCTTGATCTGTATATTTCAATATATTCATGTTTTTCTGGACAAAAGAGGGAGAGGGGATTTCTGAAATGCTTGAGAAAATCCTTAACATGTTATGTTTTGTACGTAACGCAACTCACAACCTCTTTTTGTAAGAAAGTAAAAGGTTTTCAAATCAAATCATAATTATTAACAGCAAATATACTACCCTTAAACAGGAGATACTTTCCAACATTCCACCATAAGTCAAAGCATTACTAACCCTATGCACTAAAACATTTTACATATAAAATGGTTCTTGCAATCACAAGGAGACTATGTGACAGTCTAATCACTAAAGTTATCAAACTTGAGAGTAATTTCCTTGAATAGAGTGACTATCAATTTCTATATGCTTGGTCATGAAAGATTGGGTTTGAGGCAGCATGTAAATTGTAAGCTGCGTGATTACTTCAGTATAGCTTCATATTATCTACATTTCCAAGATGTAACCTACAGTAAACATTAATATTTAGCATTTACATTAGATCTAGCAGCCACATTCTTACTTTTCCTTGAATAGAGTGACTATCAATTTCTATATGCTTGGTCATGAAAGATTGGGTTTGAGGCAGCATGTAAATTTCTTTAGTCTAATCACTAAAGTTATCAAACTTGAGAGTAATTTCCTTGAATAGAGTGACTATCAATTTCTATATGCTTGGTCATGAAAGATTGGGTTTGAGGCAGCATGTAAATTGTAAGCTGCGTGATTACTTCAGTATAGCTTCATATTATCTACATTTCCAAGATGTAACCTACAGTAAACATTAATATTTAGCATTTACATTAGATCTAGCAGCCACATTCTTACTTTCCAGGATACAAGGTATCTTCCACTGAAACATAATATCATGAAGTTTTATTAAAAGTATGTTAGGGGCTTGGCCTCATTGTGACCTTAATTAGTAGTCCAGTTTTCAAAATATTGGGTTTGAGACTGGACATTTAAGTTACATGATGTCAGTCAGGAATGGGGTCAAATTTTTATCGTGTGATTTGGAAATATGGATAGGATGGGGTAGATTGAAGTAGTGTTTGATAATGAGAAGTATAGGGATGGTTACATAATGTCGCAATCGAGGTCATGACAGGGCGGCGTAAAAAATATAATTTTAAAATATGTAGTCTTTACCATAGTTTATTAAAGAAAACTACAGAAAAATCTTTTTTAGAAAATGGTTTTCGAAACCAGATTTTGGTTAATGAGTAGATTTCGTGTAGAAAAAGTATACGACGTTCATCCTAAGATAGTTACCATAGTTAAATTTGCAAAATAAATGTAATTTTTAACATATTTGTTTTTTCCTAGACATCAAATGAAGAAATAAAAATAATAATAATTTTTTTTAATTATTTATTTAGGCCCGACAAGGATTGACCTTATTCCTACGTATTTTCATTTATAATGGAAAATTAGGGTTACATAGTTTTTTCTAGAAAAAGTTTGTGTGTTGGATTAAAGTTTTGGTATTTTTGTTTGTTAATCGTTATGAGAAAAAATATTAAATGGGCATAAGATAACCATACATATATTCTGAATAATTCATTTTATCTTATTTATAACGCGTACGATTATATCTATCTCAAAATTTTTATATTTTAAAAATAAAATATAAAAATAAAAAAAAGGCTTAAGAGAAGCAAAAGAGAAAAATACCTAGGTCATTTCTCATTTTCATGGTGCAATTCCTCAAAATTTGTGTAGGTTGCTTGTCTTATCCTTTCTTTTTTGTCGTGTTCCTGTTCTTTTTGTAGCCCCTTATATAGAGAGAGCGGACAAGGAAAACTGGAGAAGGTGTGGAGAAATTTGGGAAAGAGAGAAAATATATGAAGAAAGTGGGTAGGGGAGTTGAGTTACATAAAGAGAACGGGAAGTTGGAGTAAGAGGATATTTTTTATTTTATCAATTAATGTTTTATTTAAAAGTAAAATATCTTTCCTTTTTTTTTTTTAATTTTGTCAAATTAAATAAATACCTTTTTATTTTATTTTATTTTATTAAATTATGCAACACTTTAATTATCCAGACGAAATGACACATAGCAGCAAGGAATGTATATGCTCACATTTTTACTCACATACCGATAGATATTTATTGGTATATATATCTGAAAGGATTTAGTAATAGAGAGGATATTGTACATGATATGTAGGGTTTATTTATAATATCCCGTGTTTTACATAATATAAATTTCTGTCAATATAAATATCCACTTCTCATTTTTGTGGTTTCATTATTGAATTTAGAATGATCAAAATTTCATGAAATTTTGTTTTAGTCCTGTATATCCCGTTTGCTTAGACTTGGAATCCTTGTTTGCAGGGAAGCAACAAACTGGAACAAAGCTAGCTGAGTTCTGTGCTCATGCTCTGTTAACCTTGGAAGTGCTTATACATCCTAGGGCACTTCCATTGGTAGATTACACCTATGCAGATAATAATTCTTTTGATGAAGCTCATAGTAATCTCCAACATGAATACTTTGGCCAGAGCAATAATGCCTCATATGGTTTACCACAAGTTCCTCCTGACTACGATGATGATCTTTGCGCTAGATGGCTTGAAAATGGCAATGAAGCTGATGTGTCGATGGGTAAAGATACAAAAAACAACCAAGAGCCTTCTGAAGCTTGCAGAGCAAGCGACCCTGATGCACTTCCCGAGCATGTATCTTCTGACACCAATATACAGGAGATGACCAAGATGGGTTCTGAGACTGCCACTTGTGCAGATGTTGAAATGAAAACTGTTGGGGATGAAACGGATTTCAAATCAGATCAACCTGGAGAATCTGTGGTGCATTTTCAGGAACCTGGACCCTGCACCACAAACATCCCCATGGCTGAAGCTCACAATGATGTAGTTGATGATATAGTGTCTGAGAAGATTGTTGCAGACAGTACTGTTCCTCATAATGAAGCCAGTCATATGGAATCAGACCAAGGAAGTTTTGTTAATAAAGACTATGAAATTGCTTCTCAGAGTAATAGTTTATGGCAAACAACCTCAGGCTCTAATATTTTTCAGGAATTTGCTTTTAAATTGGATCATGACAACAATTCACTAGCCAACGAAGATGATTTTCCTGATATTGTGGATGGAGATCCAGATTCTGATTCTGAATAAAGGGAAGATTGTGTAATTTCTTCTCATTCATAGAAGCATAAGGAATACTTAGTGTAGTTCAAATTCATATTCCTTTCCCATTTGTTTTTCCAAGGTAAAAAAGTTTGAAAGTTTAACCTCTGCGAAAAATGAAAATGGTATTCAAGCTTGACTTGAGTTTGTTACAAAATAGGAAACTTGGAGTTTTGACTATAGTTTGTTGATTGTTTCTTTTTAATCAAAACAATTTTTTGGTATGAACTTATCAGTTTAGTCTTTTATAACATTTTTGTATAAGGTGAAGTAAAATTAGAAAGGCAAAATCGGACTTGTCCATTGATTTGTTTAACCTAGCAGATTATCGTTTTGGTGAAAGAAATTATTTAAAAGGAGTATATTAGAAAATATGGAGGTGCCGATGATCTAATTTTTATTTATTTATTTTTTCATTTTAGTTTATGGGGTAGTTTTTGAGGTGAAGATTATGGGGTAGTTTGTCATTTTAGTTTCAGTCTATAGTACATTTATAATACGGAAAATAATGGAGAGAATGATGGAAGAAAATAACATAATATATCAGAAAAAGTTCTCTATTGAAAACAAATTTGTGTCAAATTAGTTCAAAAAGTGCATTTCCGGAAAAGTTAGAAAAAAAGGTCAGTTAAGAGAAAAGGTCAGTCAAGGGAAAAGTCTTGTAGAAGCTTTGAACCAGAATTGCTAAGCTGGTCTTAATTCTCGTCTATGGAAAATTAAGAAAAAAGGTCAGTCAAGGGAAAAGATAATATACCAGAAAATTTGAGTGGTCATGTAAAAGCTTTGAACCAGAATTGCTAGGCTGGTATGGTATTAATCCTCTTCTAGAATTTTTGCATCCTAATTCTTTGATATCCTCGCAAACTGGGGAGCAAATATTGTTGAGGACTAGCTTGAAGAAGCTAATGATTTTGAAAGATTGAGGAAGACTTATAAATGTCTATTAGACAGTAGAGAGGGAAGCAAATGAATGAGCCCTTTCAAAGTATAAAAGAGATGGTTGTTCAAGATACATGAAATCATTACATGTCTTCAAATGAGGAGAATTATTGGACGAGAAAAACAATTGTTGGAGCTTTCTTAATAAATCTGAGAATTTTAATTACAACAATATGATGTGTCACTGTGAGTTAGGCAAGAAATTGAGAGATTTGTTGTACAAAGAAGGTTATGTTGATCAAGTATGAGAGAGATACATTAGTTTTCCAATTAATCTTTGGAGATATGTAACTATTCCACTAGGATACAATTTAACAATATTATCAATTGGGTACGAGTGTGTGCTTACATGCTAAGAGACTTGCATATATGAGATTCTCCTATATATATATATATATATATATATATATATATATATATATATATATATATATATATATATATATATATATATTATGAAGTATTTTGCTTCTTCTTTTTTAATTATTTCTAAGATGTATAAAATTCTTCAAGATACGCACTAAAGTCTATTACTATTGTGTTCGATCTTTGCATGTACCCCAACTATTACCAGTGTATGTCTTCAAACGAGAAAAATTGTTGGAAGAGAAAAAAAATGCAAGATTTGGAGGTATTTTGCTGTATAAACTAAATTGTCTACATGAGCATTAGTTAGATATATTAGTCTTTTTAATCAATAGTTAGATATATTAGTCTTTCAATCAATCTTTAGAAATATAAATGATTCATTTTTATTGGAGGAGAATTTAACAATTTTATCCATTAAAGGAGGGATGATTGGAAGAGCATGTTAACAATTTTTATGCATATTTTCTTTTATTCATCACGGTGCCTTTCGTATTTCAAATTTTCAACATCTTTTAATTTGAATGTTTATTTGGAACTTTGTTTAATTTCATCAATCTCTTCCTTATCATCATCTCTTATCAATATTACGATATATTATGTCATCTAAGTCAACGCAAAAATATATTAACTTTGCAAATAATAATTGAGTAGAGATTAGTCTAATGAGAACAATCATATAAATATATTTCTTTAATTCTCTTTAAAAAAAGACATTATTTACATCTAATTGTTTCAATTCTCAATTATAATAAATAGAAAGAAAAAAAAATCTTAGAGTTATCATTTTGTCACTAAAAAAGAGTATCAAGATAATAAATTTTTTTTATATGGGTATATCCTTTTGCAAGCCACCTTAACTTATATCTTTTAATAGTCTCTGCATCCTTATATTTTATCATAAACACTTATTTGCATTCTATTATAACTTTGTTTTCCGATATAGATGTAATTTTGCAATTTTGCAAGTTTGATTTGACTTTAAAGGCGAAATCTCATATTGTATAACCTTTTTTTCACAATCATGTTCCATAACTTCAAAGTAAGTATTTGTCTTAATAACTGAAGAAACAAATATAACAAATGATGATGAGTAAGTTGGTCACAAATTATTATAAGATATTATAGATATATTCAACCATTTTATATTAATTAGAGATATGATAACATTATAATATACAAGTGAATATAACTTATTGAGTCAATTTTGTAAAGTTAAATTAAATATTTCATCATTTCTAAGATGATATCAAAGTCAACTCTAGAGTTTTTGGGACAATAATTATTAATAATGATGAATTTAATCGTTATTGAACCACTCATCCTTGATATGAGAAAGTGTGATAAGAATCTCCATATAAGGGGATGAGTTAAAAAATCTTATATCAACTAGAGATACGATAACATTATAGTATATAAGTAATTATAATTTTCACATTACTAAGTCGGTTTTGTAAAGTTGAATTATGTATCTTACCATTTTTAAGAGGATATCTAATATTATATATTAGAACATTAAGATTGTAAGGATAATCCTTTAAATACTAATATACCTTCTTATTTTGGTACTTATTCGAGCTTTTTATTTTGGTACTTATTCGGGTAGGTTAAATATATTGAAAATTTTGTGTTATATCAAGTTCTTTATAGAAAGTTTGATGCATTTCTGTGTATTATTCTTCTAAAGTATCAATCATCTTCATGATCATTATTATTGTAATTAACAAAATGAGGAGAGAATACAAAATGATTTGTGGATATAAAATGATTTGGTGATTAATGAAAAGACATTAATAAAAAATATTATAATGAAAAAAATAAAATTCCTATATTTCAAAATTTGTCTAATTTCAACACTTAATAAACTATATTCTTTTAAAATCAAGAAAAGCACGTTTAGGTACCAGGTCAAATTTTTTTTCTGGTTGTCAAAGTACTTATATAAAATAATAATTTGAATACCTTTAATTGATCAAAATCTGGTTCAATTTTATAAAGTACATCTTCTAGTGTAAAACATAATTTAGGATATGTGTGAGAAACATGGATATTGAGAACTTGCTCTGACTATATTCAACAAATGACCATGTTTTCTCCCAATTATACTATTTTGTTGTGAAGTACTACTATATGAAGTTTGGTGCATTATTTCTTTATTAGCAAAGAAATCAATCATGAAAAGCTTGATCCATTATCACTTTGTATTACCTTCGTTGTTGCCTACGTTGAGTTTGAACAAAAGCAATAACCTTGCAAGGTCTTGGTAGATTCAAATGTCTATTTTAAAAGGAAAAAATTATATTATCTTGCAAAATTATAAAAAATGGTTTAGAAATATTTATGACTATGAATGAATGATAGTGAATATGTTCTACATAAATCAATATAAAAGATAATTTTTTGGGGGATTTAGATGTATGAATGAGTAAAACAAGTTTTTTTTTCTTTTTGTTTTATATAATGACAAACATCATAAACATATAATCTATCATATTTAATAAAAGAAAAAAAATATATACAAAATATTGTGTATGACATTATTTTGACATAGAAAAATACTTACATAATAATTTGCAGTATCATTAGAATAAGACTAAAAGAAAACTGATAGAAATACTTACATAATTATTGTGGAAGAGGTGATAGAAACTTGATTTGAGTAATAATGCTTTCTCAAGAATAAAGTCAAATTATTGGGGCTACAACTTTGACTTTGATTTTTTGGTATCCAGTTCACCAACATAAGGATTTCTACTTTGGAAAACTGCATTACTAACTTTGATCATGAGTCTGATTTTTTAAATGAGTGAAAAATCATGTTTTCTATAACAAGTGTCATCAAAGTATGTGATATTTTTCACAATTTTAGAACTATTTTCTCTTCCGTAGCTTCCCTTTTAAGCACAACGTGTTTTTCATAAATAGAACCTTGTTCATAGTTTGTAACAACCATTGTCTTGGATTGGTTAAGTTGATTATCAAAAATCTGTCCTCTTGTTGCATAACAAGACAAAAAGACTTGACTCAAAGAGGACAAGGGATCCATTAATAGAATCTGAATTCTTACAACTAAATAGTTTTCCTTCAGATTTCTCATAGATTTAATAACTTTATCCTTTAAAAATTCATTCTCACTTTGTTTTAACTAAATAAGAGATTAATTAATACATCATTCTTTTAATTTAATAAAATATTTTAATTCTAAATATACAATTATCTTAAATATTTAAATAAAGAGATTTATTATCTTCAATATTTAAATATACAGTTCTAAGTGAACTTGTACCATATTTACAATCAGATTCATGGATAGCACCAAACCACTGGTGGTGAAGGTATATGGAACATATCACTTTCTGGTGTTGCCACTGGTGCAAAAAACAAACGACAAAGAATACAAATAAAAAAAATATATATATATATATAATATGTTACTTGCTATAAAAAAATCCACTTGATTCTTTTTTTGTGTTTGGAGGACTCTTTTGGAAATATTGTCTCTTTTATAAATATATATAATATGTTTGGAGTCCTAATTTTATGATATATTATTTACAAATTCAAGTCTAATTTTTCTAATATGAAGAATTATAGGTATATATAATATATAAAAAAAAACTTGTATCATTAATATTTATATGAAACTTGTCTTGTTTAATACGTCATATTTATATATATTATTTTAAATTGAACAAACGTGAAGGTGATGTTGCACTACACTACAACCATGTACGTTAAGGGAAGGAACAAATGAATATGAAGTGAATTTTATTTAATTAATGTATGCATCGTGGATGTCATGTTCGTGAATCCCCAATAAACGATTGAGTGTGTTTTGTTTCTTCATCTCTCACTGTACTAAGCACCTTTTCCACAACCATCACCACCACAAATCACCCAACCATGCCGACGGGGCTGCCGGCGGCGAACTCCTCCGTCGTGACAGACGACGAGGGCTGGGTGTGGGCGCAGATCAAGGCGGAGGCGCGCCGCGACGCGGAGTCGGAGCCGGCGCTTGCGAGTTACCTCTACTCGACGATCCTTTCGCACTCCTCTCTCGAACGTTCTCTGTCGTTCCACCTTGGGAACAAGCTCTGTTCTTCTACGCTCCTCTCCACTCTCCTTTACGACCTCTTCCTCAACGCCTTCTCCTCTGACCCCTCCCTCCGCTCCGCCGCCGTTGCCGACCTCCGCGCTGCCCGCGAACGCGACCCCGCCTGCGTCTCGTACTCTCACTGCCTCCTCAATTACAAAGGCTTCCTCGCCTGCCAGGTCCAATTCCTTATTCCCCTCAGTTCTAGGGTTTCCAATGCTTCGGTCCTAGTTTTTTCGCTAATTCAGTTAAATTTCGGTGCACATATTCATCCGTTCAGAAATCATGTATATATAACTTGGACGAGCTTATTGTTAAAGTTAATAAACTTATCGTAAATAACAATTTCTGGTTTGATAATTTATAATTTGTAATTGACTTTAATTTCTAAGCATGGTCAACACTACTATTTAATTTTGATTAATCGACATTTTAGGGTTTTTGGTTTTGATTAATTGTGATTATTTTTTATTGTGTTGTTGTTGACCCATCAGAAATTGGAATAAGTACGTCATGATTTCTAACGTTATTATTATAAAACTGACAGACTTATTCAACCTGAGATTTCTGGGTTGACAATTTATTACAATTTCTGATTGTCAGAGATGACAATACCAATTTCTGGGGTGACAATTTACAAATTGGATGGCAGAGTAAATATTTGTATATTGATTATTTACTCTTATTAATTAGTGGGTCCTAGGGTTTATTGTGTGTGATTGGGATTTGCAGGCGCACCGAGTGGCACATCTGTTGTGGCGGCAATCACGGCGGCCGTTGGCATTGGCACTGCACTCTCGCATTGCTGATGTGTTTGCGGTGGACATTCACCCGGCGGCGAGGATTGGGAAGGGGATTCTGTTTGATCATGCCACTGGGGTGGTGGTGGGGGAGACAGCGGTGATTGGGAACAATGTCTCGATTCTTCATCATGTTACGCTGGGTGGCACTGGCAAGGTTGGTGGTGACCGGCATCCCAAGATTGGGGATGGAGTGCTTATAGGTGCTGGTGCTACAATTCTGGGAAACATTATGATTGGGGAAGGTGCGAAGGTTGGTGCTGGGTCGGTGGTTTTGATTGACGTGCCACCGCGGACGACTGCAGTTGGGAACCCAGCGAGGTTGGTTGGTGGGAAGGAGAAGCCCTCTAGGCATGAGGATGTGCCTGGGGAGTCCATGGACCATACTTCCTTTATCTCTGAGTGGTCAGATTATATCATTTAAATTTCAAAGTTTTTATCCTTTAACTAATGAATACTCCAAATCAAATACCATGTTCCATTGCTGTTCTAAAGTTTTGTAATTTAATGTTCGGATTGATGATAATAAGGGTACCTGTAATTTGGTCTAATAAGGGTATGATGATAAGTTATATGAAAACTTTGATTCCTGCTTAGTATACTGTATAATGAGATATGGTGCAAGATTATATAGGCTGGTTTTGTTGGTTATGATACCAGGATTTTGTTTTAAGCTCTAAATTTTTGTTGGTTATAATACAGTCCGACCACAACACAGAATTCTCTGTAAATGATATTGTATAATGTAGTTAAAAATTTGATTTTGGCTAGTAGAGTATTATCACTTCAAATCTGATTATGTGCTCGAAGATCTTTTGGGTGCTGTGTAATTTGGAACACATAATCTGATTATATAAGGCTGATAAACTTTTTTTTTTTGGAAGCAAAAAATATTTTTAAAAAATTGCCAAAACACATCTTAGCAACAAATTTTCTGAGCATCACCTAACATAAAAGTTCAAGTTTTCACAAATTTTATTCTGTAAACATCTGATTTAACAACTAATTAATTAGCTATTTTGTGAAAATGATTATTATAAATAAGTAAAAACTATGAAAATATTTATGAATATTCATAGAAATATACATATATATTAGTTTGGTGTAAAACAACTCTCTAAATGTTTAATCTATTTTTTTCCTAATCAATCTTAAAATTTATCTTTCTTCAACTTTGTCAAAGAAATAACATAAATTGACATTTAATTGATGGAAAGATAAAATATATGAAATTTTGAAATTCAAAACTAAAATCTCTGGTTTCTAATAATTTTTCTTCTCTTTAACAACTTTAGTCACATCCTATCATATTTACATGTCGAAAGTTAAAAAAAAAAAACTAACGAAGAATGCAACTTCATAGTTGCAGTTGGGTTGAATTTCCAGATTTTCTACATTTGGAACGGGCTCAGATCTCTGGTTACCTTATTTTTCTCAATAGTCGCGGAACATAATATCATATTCCACTACATACAAAGATGAAAGATTCGAGCTTTGGAGTTTACTCTTTTCTGGGTTGGGAGGGAAGGAGGTTTGATGGGGAACAAATCTTCTCAATTCGAAAAAAAATAAAAAAAATAAAAAAATAAAAATTGAAATGATCAAAGTATTTATTAACTTATAACAATTTCTAAGCAATCAGTATTCTATCTGCTTTCATTCTCCAACTTCTGCTACGCGTGACGCCCTAGAAATAGGGAATCAAATTTTCTGATTACTATCTCCAAAATATAGCACTTTCGGAATAAACATAGCATAGCATCACGAAGAGAATTCTACCAAAATAGCATGCGGTCTCAATTCTTGATTGCGCAGCCATAGATATTCTTGCACTATATTCTCTCCATCTTCTTCTCCCATCCCACGTAACCAAAACAAGATAACCAGGAAAATATATCAACCCCAACAACCATGACAAAAGATAGCGTTATCCCATAACTGCACGCAACATGAGCACTCAGTCACAACAACAGCAACAGGGCAAACACAAGAACCGAAAAGAAGAGGAAGAAGAAGAAGAAAACCATTTGCTACATTCAGAATGCGAGACAATACCATTGTCTTCACCCCATATATCACCCTCAAACTGGGAACATGCAGACAAAGGAGAAGAAGAAGAAGAAGAGAAAGACGCGGTGTATGCAGCAAAGGACAAGGTGCAGATATTCGACTTGGAGTCTTCCGGCAGCGCAGGGTCCACGGTGGTGCCTCCGTTTTCGTGGAGGAAGCTGTGGCTGTTCACGGGGCCAGGGTTGTTGATGAGTGTGGCGTTTTTGGACCCGGGGAACCTTGAAGGAGACCTTCAAGCTGGTGCAATTGCAGGGTACTCCTTGCTTTGGTTGTTGATGTGGGCCACCATCATGGGGTTGGTGATACAGCTTCTGTCGGCGAGGCTCGGGGTCGCGACTGGGCGGCACCTGGCGGAGCTGTGCAGGGAGGAATACGCCAACTGGGCCAGGTTGGTGCTGTGGATCTTGGCTGAGATGGCTCTCATTGCTGCTGATATTCAAGAGGTTATTGGCAGTGCTATTGCTTTCAAGATTCTTAGTAATGGGTTTATCCCCATTTGGGCTGGTGTGGTTATCACAGCCACCGATTGGTAAGCTTAACATATGAATAATGTCAAATCCTCTTATAAATCTCACTACTGCTTTAACGAAAATATTAAATGAAAAGGTGAATGTGCATTTAAGGCATGTTTGAATAAATATTCTAAACATACTTTTGTAAAAATTACTATACAAAAGGAAACAAATGTAACAAGATGATGTATGAGGGTTTAAAATTACTTTTGCAAGAGTTGTATCAAGTTTTGTACAGTTTTTACCTTCAAAATGGAGAAACTGTTTTCAAACTTTGAACTATAGAACCTAAATATCACCAAGTAGCAACCTTAAAATTGCGTTGAGGCTCATTCTCCTTAATGAAAGTTATTTAATTTTGAAGAAACAAATCCACATGTCACTACTAAATATCAGAATTTGATACCAAAATATAGAGAACTTGGTCAAGTTCTGTCCTTATATGGCATTCAATGTGAATTATTATGGATAAGAAAAATTCGGTTTACTATGTATAATTTAATGATGAGAATGGAGAGATAAATAAATAAATAAATGTTGTGGTTCGCTGTTTTAAATTCTGCCTTTTTTGTGTCTGGTTGAACAGTTTCTTCTTTCTATTTCTCGAGAACTATGGAGTAAGGAAGTTGGAAGGTGTTTTCGCAGTTTTGATTGGAACAATGAGCTTTTCTTTTGCATGGATGTTCTTTGATACAAAACCCAGTGAAGAAGAACTAATGATGGGTAGAAATTTATCTAATGACTTAGTTTGAGCATATTCATTTGATTTTATGATGTAAAAATATACTAGTATTAGTCGTTTTTAATGATTATAATTCATTCTTATTTCCAATGTCTAAAAAGATGTTACTACTAATTTTCATATTTCTTTCCATATTGGTGCTTCTTGCAGGTCTTCTGATCCCAAGACTTAGTTCAAAAACTCTTCGCCAAGCTGTGGAAATTGTGGGGTGTGTGATAACCCCACATAATGTGTTCCTCCATTCTGCATTGGTACAATCAAGGGACATTGATATCCGTAACAAAGGCCAGGTTCAAGAGGCTCTCAACTACTACTCAATTGAGTCCTCAGTTGCACTTTTGGTCACATTGGTCATCAATCTATTTGTGATGACAGTTTTCGCCAGGGTGTTCTACGGTACAGAACAGGCCAATGGCATAGGATTGGTAAATGCAGGGCAATATCTTGAGGAGAGGTATGGAGGAGGGTTGTTTCCAATTCTCTATATATGGGGTATTGGTTTACTAGCAGCTGGCCAAAGTAGTACCATCACTGGCACATATGCGGGCCAGTTTATAACAGAGGGTTTTCTTAAGCTCAATATAAAGAAGTGGTTGAGGGCATTGATCACTAGAAGTTGTGCAATTGTTCCAACTATGATCTGTGCAATTGTTTTTAATACATCAGAAAGTTCATTGGATACCTTGAATGAATGGCTTAATGTGGTCCAAGCAATCCAGATTCCTTTTGCACTTATCCCCCTTCTTACTTTGGTGTCCAAAGAGGAGGTGATGGGGTCCTTCAGAATAAGGCCTATAGTAGAGGTAAATTGTTATTATGATCCTATAAGTTCCAAATACCATGAATTTGATAGCCAAGCAAGGCAAAGTGTAATACTCTTCATATTTAACAGTGACCTTTTTAGCTCTAATTTTATTATTCAAAAACTAGCCAAGTTCTGTACTGATTTTAGACTTGGTATAAAGGAATTAATGCTAAACTTGTGTCTCAAGTTAGATCTCTTGAGTCATGCATAAGGATTATGACAACTTTTACGAAACAATTTTGTTGTGCATGTAATTGGTTTTCAGTGGCAAGAAATGAAATGGTAGATTAATGATGCTCCAGTTGGCTATTTAACATAATTTTAGGATACTTCTTTTTTTCCTGCACCATTCTCTCTCATTATCTTAATCCAAAGTTGGTTCTGAACTCTGATTTTACTTGTTTGATAAAGGACTCTTTCATTTCGCTCATATTAAGGGTTTTCTAAGCTGGTGATATCAGGCCATAAAAACTGAAGGGGAAATTTTGATCAATGAGGTTGATTTGAGAAATTCTCTGGACATGACAGGATGATTTCAGTACAATATATATAATGGAATATAAACAGTTTTTGGAATGCATTTGTAAAATTAAAAGCTATATTTGATTCCAACTGAAAAGTTACTTACATAAAGTATTTTAAGCAGACCAAGATATAAACAACTCAATGATTTTGTACTGATTTTTGAGATAGTTTTCATACTTACCTCTAATTTTGTTCCTTTTTTGATGTAGAAAATGGCTTGGAGTGTGGCTGTGCTGGTAATAATGGCTTATGGATACATGTTATTAGATTTCTTCCTGGATGAAGTGGATGGATTATTGTTTGGTTTTCTAGTCTGCCTTGGTGCTTTAGCATGGATTTCATTTATTATATATTTGGTTCAACATGGTGGTGCCATACCGTCAATCCTGGCGAGGTCCCCTACTTCCAGAGGCTTTTCCTCTCTTTCTGAGAGCTAAGCTTGCAAATCCATATCATTTTTGGGGGCTAAAATGAAAAGGAAGAGTGTTGATGATAATGTATTATTCCAAAAGGAAGCATTGTTACAACAGAACTATTTCTGAACTAGGAAAAGAATGCAAGTCCACGTAGTTGAAATACAATATACTTTGGCATTGTCTTCTTTGGAAACCGAGAACTCACTCTTCTTGCACAAGATTAAGGTATCATTATGGTGATATAACTAAGAAATTTTTACTAATTAAGCTCTGCAGGATTCTTTTGTGAATAAACAACTTGATTGGTTAGGATGTAATATATAGTCAAATAGATTTGTTTTTGCAGTATCATTGGATGATCACTTTCAAGTTGTACTAGTCATAACCAAAGAAACATAGTTGTTACAGTATCATTTCACCTTTGCTCTTAGTTATTATTTGTTAATTTCTCAATGATCAACACATTTTTTTTATGTATTTTCATATCTACATTTGCGTTAATTGGGAATGAAGTCATTTTTGGATTATTTAAGGGCATGTGGGTGCTTTGGTTAGCATTAACTCTACTGGGTAACATGCATAAACACTACTAATTTTTAATAAACACATCTACAATACTATATCTTCTTACCGATTCTAAGATTTAGTTTTTAAATGAATTTTTTTACTGTTTTTCTAGTGAAAAAAATTGGTGGCAGTTCTGTGTTTTTCTTCTTTCTTTTCATTTCCATTCAAATTTTTTCTTGTGTCATCGCGATTCCAGTTGCACTGAAATGAGGCAATGAAAACTTGTTTCTCTGCTAATAACATGATAGATTAGAAATTTATGAATGATTTTGGATTCAAAATAAACATGTTTTAATATGGTAACTCCACGGATGGAGAATATGATGATGTTTCTTTGGACCGAGCCTCTCTTCTTGCAATGATCCTCATTCTTATCTCCAAGAACACAACGACAATGACCAAGACAGCAATAATGACTCCATAAGCAAGAAACCACTTCGATCCCTCCCCTCCTAAATGGAGTCCATAAAAGGTGTTAAGAATTGCAAAGATAATCAAAATCCTCCCCACGTTATGATGGTACCAATTCCAATACTTCCTTATCTTCGACTCCCTTCCTGGTCGAATTATAATGGCTAACACCTATCAAATCAAATCAAATCATAACATGAAAGAAGATCAGAATGATTCATGACTATTCTTTGTAAAAAAATAGAGTCTTCTTCATGAAAAATAGAGTTTAGGTTTAACTTTAAAAATAAAATCTTGAATTTTATGAAATAGAGGTTTGTATATATATAAAAAGACGTGGAATTTCTAATCGTCTATGTTAATAAAGCTAACTGAGAGAGAAATTAATTCATTAACCTGGAGGAATCCAAGGACGATGATGATGATTGCTATGTTTTTGTGATGAGTGACTTTGGAATTGAGTTTCTTGGATAAGAGCAATCCACATAAAATTCCAATTACGCCGGCCACGAAGCCAAATGTTTGAATGGAAGCATGGAGATAAAACCAAATGGGATCCCATTGTTTGAAGTAGCGACCAATTATGGATCCTATAATCACTAAAATGCTCCATCCCATCATGTTCAGAACGCCATGGCTTCTTCGAAGTTTTAGGTTAGAATTTTGACTAGTTGAACCTGTTGTTGCAAGAGACCCAAAGTTATTACAAGATTCAGATTGAATCGCATGAAGAGGTACATTAATTCTTATCACTTTCCAACTGATCAAACCGTTGATTGCAACTTAATATGTTGGCAGTGTGTTTCAAGAACTTTGTCATCACAACTATTGCTTACAGTTTTTATAAAATCATAATTTTACATTGACTCAATTGGAGAAGTTTCATAATTGAGGGTATCACATAAGTTTATATATGAAGATATGCTGATTAATGTAGAAATTGGTTGATTAAAATGAGTAAAAACTAAGATGAGGAAACAGTAGTTAATAATACTTTAACACACTCATCATTTATTATGCAGATGTACCATCTATTGATGTTGATGATGATGAACAATAAAAGGGTTCTTCACTAACCTTTAGAATAATTTATGGTTATGGATGTCTGATCAATATGTTGGGGCAAGTCATATTGTGGATAATCAGGGAACTGGCCATTGGGTCCAATGGCAAATATGAGATTGTTAGAAGGTTGGGTGGTCTTCAATTGGAAGATCAAGTAACCTAGTGAATCAGTTGGTGGAACAAATGATGCATTCATAACATAAAGGTCACTTTTGTCTACAATCACGTCACGTTGTGATTTTCCACCCAGATAAAACAATTTCATGCCCCCAGCACCTGGTGATGGCATCCACCCCACAATTGCACTAGAACCCACCATGCTTCCATCTTTGGAGAACCCTATTGCTGCATAAGCTTTTGTGTCTAATGGGAATGAGAATATGAAGCTCCACACATCTGATGAAGCCTTAGCATACTGATCAGAGAAACAAAAAAAAAAAGAAAAAAGAAGAAGAAAGATAGCTCTGATTAATTTTTAATGCTACACTCAAATTCAGTTCATATATATATATATATCTCAAATAGTCTAATATATGTGTAAAGTGTTGTTATTCACACGAAGTGGTGGAAAATCAGTACTTTTGAAAAGTCTATCCACATTTATTAAAATTTATTTTGAAAGTTATAAAGTCATGCATGAAACTTAATAAATAAGAAGAAAAAAATGTAATCCACATTCAAACACATACTCTAAGGATGAAATTGTGAGTTGGCCAAACAGGACTGCAGAGAAGTGAACTTGTATCAAAAGGGATAGGAAGCTGAAGTTGCATCAACTTAGAGGAGCATGAATCTTGAGAAGTCACAAAGGTTGATGAATTATAGAGGATAATGAACAACACTATCTGGCAAAGGCACGTTAACTTCATTTTTGTGTGGAGAGCAAAGACACAAGCAAAGTAGGTACTTAGAATGTGCCACTAATTATGTTCAGTTTTATAGGGGAAAATTACAAGCATCATTGAAATTAACGGGCTGTTTGTGACAATTGGCATTGCCGGCTGGAACAGGACATGCAGACACCACTATTGTTTCATTCAAATGTTAGATAAGAACAACTCAGCCAACTGCGTACGGTGTTAATTTTCAGCTAGAATATTAATCAAATTGACTCATAATGATATCCTAGTTCATTAATTTATGAGTTAAAAGAGAGTTACTTGCTGGAACAACTGTCTCCTTGCATGCCACTTCTATGGTAATCATAAACCTTGACAGTGGCAGAGGTAGAATTAAGATTAACATGGTTTTTTTCTTTTTTTTAAGGTGACCATAAATACTTTCATGTATATGATTTTAAAGGAATTTTTAAAAATTTGGAAATGACCATAACATTCCTATGATACCTCCTTTCTCTGTCCCTGTTCATAAGGGTTCTGGATTTGACTTGAACTTCTGCTATATAAAAAAGGAATTATGAACTGATAAAAAAAATTAAAGAGTTTTGACATTGGTATTTCAGTTTTTCTAATAATATTTTTTATCTTTGTGTAAAATAATTTCACATTAATGCGTGGGAAGATCCTTAAATATGTGAATCTTGCATAGGAATTAATAATTGTGCAGAAAACCTGATGTATAAATTAAACTTGAGTTAGCTTAAACTTATTAACTTTAATTAATGTTTTTTTTACTTCATATGCTCACTATATGTTTTGAACTTTTGATTTTCATCCTTCACTGTAATAATACTAGTTGGTTTTCATCTTCACACTTAACAAATTCCAATTTTGGCCTGGATTTAATTTAATTTCATTAATAAATACCCACGTATTTAACATAAAGATGTATTAATTTGCAATAATGAATTAAGCTCCAACTTTCTTTTCATGGAATTAATTGCAAATTTTATTGGGGTCATGGTTTTTGGTATATGTATATATGATTGCTCATGTTATGTGAAAACATCCCTTTAAGAGGAAGAGGCATATATAATTAAATATATGTTTAAAATAGAATTAATTCATAACCAATCCTCTTGGTACAAAAATAAGTTTACAAATGGAACTAAAACTCCGAAATAAAAAGCAGTGGTGAAACAAAACAAAATGTATGAAGTAAAGAATTTAGTCTCTACTGCACAGTTGAGTCTCAAAAGTAATTGCCATGGTGAGTAATATGGCCAGAACAATCCCATAACCTATATTCCATCCACTTCCCTCCTTCCCTAATCGGATTCCGTAGAAAATGTTAGCCACGGCTAGTATGATCAAAATTCTCCCCGTGTTATGATGGTATAAATTCCAATACTTTCTCACTTTTGATTCCTTCTTTGGTCGACCAAGCAAAGCCATTATCTACAAAAGGATATGCACTAAATTTGTGAGTATTCTATCCCTTAGGTAGAGACATTTGACATTTAAATAAGGACGTGTGCTCAAAGTTATTACATAGAAGTTACTCTCAAGTGTTTTTACTCAAGGCATAAAATTAATCAGTAAATTAGGGTGAATAACACAGAACTCTTAAATTACAATAAAAAAAATAGGACAGGTTTAACTAATATTGAGTTACAATCTATTTTTCATGTTGTTATTGGTCTCACAAGAAGTGGACACCCACAAGTAGAACATACAAAACATATTTCAATATCTTTTGTATTACTTTATAAATGTTAAGGATTAAATTCATTGATGATATACTCTTAAAAATAATGATACTAAATTAATGATTTTGTTTTTAGTACTATAAAGATACTGTAACAAGTTTTGGATAAAGTGCAAAATTATGAAAATGTAAAAATAAATAAAAAGTACCTGGAGGCAGGCTAGAACGAAAATGATGATTCCAAGAGCCTTGTGAAGACTAACGTCAACATGGAGTTGATTATTCAAGACAAGACCACTAATTACACCAATTACTCCCAGAACAAAACCCAATGATTGAACTGATGCGTGGAAATAAAACCAAAATGGATCCCATTCCCTGAAGTAACGAGCAACTATTGCTCCCATTATGATTAGGATGCCCCATCCCAAGATATTCAACACTCCATGGCTTCTTTTCAGGTTCATGTATGAGTTTCCCAATGCACTTGAACCTGCTTCCAACAATACCATAAATTTTCAGTGTCATCCCTAATTATTGAGGACAAGCAAGAACAATAGTAGCACTTTCCCAATTTACATGAGAATCCACTGGACAGAACAAAATGTTGTGCTTTAGGCCAAGCTCCATACATACTACATCAAATATTTTTAGAAGAAAACGAAATTCAATACAGATAGAGCTTTATGCAGCAATTCTCAAACTATCAATCAACTCAGAACATGAGTATGATATGATTATTTTAATTAACTAACATATGGCAGTAGAGAATTTATGAGAATAAAATATTTTTTAATCTCTGTAAAATTTAGAATAATTGGAAACTAACCATGTTATTTAATAAAACATTTACTGTAATTAGCACGTGTTCTGCAAAAGGAAATTTCGAGCCAAATTTAGTTGATAAAACTATATATATAAAAAAAAAAGAGTTTGGTTTGGTAGAAGGTCGAGTCAGATTTACATTTCAACTAGACTATTCTTACATAAAGATAGAGAAAAGAATGTCCTCTCACCAACTACTCAAATAGTTTTTGACAGTAAGAAGGGGCCATGTTTTTGTTCAATCATTTATCAAATCAACTCAACTCAACCAAAAGGTCATCATCACTAGAATAATCGTCGTTGGTCTACTTGTTTTCGAAAGATCTTCTTTTTCTTTCCATCTATCTCTATCATATCTATCACTCATTTTAGCATTATATATTTTTCCTATCTTTCTTTTCTTCTGCTTTTTTCATAAAATATGGTAAATAGAAATTAATGAAACTAGATTCAGTGCAGTCATTTTTTGCAAGTATCCAACTGTTCAATGAAGATTGGATGACAGCGATTTCAAATTTGTGGTTTAAGTTGATTAATCAAGATAAAATGTGAGTTGTCTGGTTTGAATTGTTCAATGTGTGAGAAAGGGGTGCATGTTAGTTTCTTCTCATGCATGTCCCTAGCCAGATACACATAATCAATACGCTATTCTTTTCACTAACCTGTTGCGTAATTCAACGTAATGGAGACTTTGTCTTGGTGGTGTGTTAATGCAAAACTTGGTGTTGAAGGGAACACACCGTTTGGTCCAAAGGCATAAATCAACTGGGACAGAGGTTGGTTGGTTTCTAACTGGAAGGCCATGTACAAACGTGAGGACTGTGATGTAATGAAGGTTGAGTTGGTGAGAACTTTCAAGTTGCCTCTATCTGGCACCACTTGGTTTGGTGCGAGTCCTGTTAGATAATACTGTTTCATGCCTCCACCTAACCCACTGGATGAGATCCACCCCACAATGGCACTTGAACCCACCATACCTCCATTGGGAGAGAATCCAAATGCTATGTAAGAATTTGGGTTCGGTGCTGAGAGAACGAAGCTCCATATGTTTGGAGAAGTCTGAGAATACTGCATAGTTAATGCATGCATAGGTCAGTTTGTTTGATGTTAATTTATGATAGGTTACAACTAATTTTGTTTGAACTTATAGTTTTTCTCGAGTAAGGAATTCCCATAATCCAAAGTCATGCAACTAATATTGGGACAGAGAAATCAAGGAGGTTTTACTTTTGCCAAACAATACCATTATACTTAAGAAACTCGGTTATCGAACTTTGTCTGTCGTTTAACTTATAGTTGAGCTTACAAAGTTACTCAACCATCTTTTCAGCTCTTTCTTTAACTTGTTTCAATAAATTTGACTGAGAAGCTTGTCAAAATAAGCTAGTTCTTTCAGCTTACGAATAAGTTTCATTTGATAAATCATCAAATAATTGAACTGTTTATCCAAACACACATTTGATCTCGAAATGGGATACACAATCGTAATTAGAATGACAATGATGTAATTTTATAGGAATATTTTGGACCGATTAAAACTGGTTAAGTTCAAGAATAATGCACTACTTACTCTAAGGATGTATCCTTGAGCATTCCAAACAGGAAGACAATTGAGATTGGTTGTGTCGAAGAGGAGAGGAACACTGAGGTTTAGCTTGGAGACGCAGGAGTCAGCTGCTTGCGAAGTGCTTCCATCCACTTGTGAAGAATTTCCATCCCCTTGTGAACTTCCAATGTTGGCTGAAGCATGCAAACAAACAGTGAATATGAGGAATGCTGTAGATATCTTCATTTCTCTCTATTGTTTATGCTGTATGTTTTGCAAACGTATTCGTGACATTGTTAAAGCAAGAAAGAAGTATTGCTATATGATTAATTAAATGAAAGGGAAAGATTGTTACAATTAGACAATGGTATTGGTAGCAGTGTATCAATAATTATGTCCTTATTCGATTAAATAGATTAGGTGAAAGGGATGCCAGCTAACTTAAACCATTAAGCTTCCTTTATTCATAATAAAAGATACATTTTGATTATGAAAATCATCATATAAATATGATATAGATTAAACTTTTCAGTCCTCAAAGACATTAAAAAGTGTTGCCAATAATCTATTATTATGAAAATAAAAGTAATTTCCACAGAGATTTTCGTAAATTATATTTGCTTTGTGTTTTCTGAAGGGGAATTAAATGACTTTCTTTCAAATATAAATTGTCCCTTTTTGTATGCGGTATTCCGTAGTATATTAAAAACTATTATAGTCTCTATACTCCTGGTTCAGTGCGGTTAAATTCATCAATAAAAAGGGTTAAATCTGTACGTTTTTTAAAGTTTAAAGATGAAATTCCTTAACATGAAAATATTTTGATTGAAAAATAGAAACTAAAAGCACATCCATTTTTATCGTGTCGTAGATAATTTTATTTGAGACTTCAAATATAGAATGCCTACTATATATGGAGTGTGTGGAAGTGGAATTTGTTTTATTTTCTATTGAAATGAGATCGTTAATTTTAACTTTTGAGTCTCGTCTACAGGCGATTTGAATCATAGTAGATCCCAATAAAAACTTTAAATGGGAATATCAATATAATCTAAAAATTATATTGATTTTTCCCTCGAGAACTCTTTCTGACATATATTTAATTTCCTCTTCTTTCTGGTGTATATCCATTTTATTTCAACTTAGGTCCCCTAAAGTAGTCACCTCTCAATAACTAATTGTCCGGCTTGTTTTTTGTTCTTTATATTGGGTCAGTATACCTTCCGCGTACCCAAAAGTTTAGAGTTACTTAATATAAGTAACTTGGTTTTTTGTTCGATAAACAGATTTTGCACAACCACTGCGTTTTACTACATGTATGTATATCATGCATGCTCTAAAATATATATAAGCCAAATAAATAAGAGTAAGTTGTCTATATATTCATAAAAGTAAAATGGGTTTTACATTCTTGTTACTTAATTTTTAAATACTGACAAAAATTACACTAGCAATGTATAAAAATCAAGGTCAAAGATTAGAACAATGACCAGCATGATTTTGTGATAAAAAGTGTATAACCAAATGGTGATAGGACTTTTTTAAAATTAAACTACAAGTAGGATTTTGTGATAAGGATATTATCATTACCATCGCCTGAAACCTCTTCAAAATTAACGGTAAGTATCTGCATGAGCCCTTTTGTTTGTTATAATGAAGGTCTATAACACGCTCTGAGAGGGAGAAAGGAATAATGGATCTCACTGAAATTTGATATAAAAACAGAATCGGTTCAAGGATATTTACATTTAGATGCTTTGATAATGTGAATATACAAATTACTCGATCTTTATTTATTTTTACAATTTAAAATAATATTAAAATTATATGAGTAAATACTTTTAAATAATAAAATAGTTAGTAATTTAACTTTTCCTGGAAATGTTTTGAACAAAAAATGTATTTTATTAACTTTGATTTTAAGATTTTATAGAAAAAGTTAAAAAATATTATATATTTTGAAAACTACGGTTTTATAAATTTTAAAAGTTTTAAATTTTACTTTTTAATACCTTTAATTCTCTGAAAAGTGTGGTGTAAATTATTTATTGTTTAGGAAAAAAAATTGTAAAAGTGGACCCTAACCTAAGTCCTAAGTTGAAGAACGAGATTGCTTCAAATGAACTCGATCCGGTTGTTATTCCTTAACTTCCAAGTCGGAAAGAACATCACAAAAAAGTGTAAATGTAAGACTAAAAAACCTGTTGTTGCTACCCAACCCAGTTGTCGGCTGTTTCCTCTCTCTCTCCCTCTGTCTCGAAAAGACAACTCAATATTCTAAGAAATGGAACTGTGTTGCTCATAACCAACATGTGAAGTTCCACTATTTACTCTTTGCTTCTTGTTTTGGCTTTACTAGTATAGTTTTTGATACAACACTCCACCCACTCTATAATGCCCAACCAAAGAATTCTCTGGGTGAATGAATGAGTTCTGAATAGTATGCCATCAAATTTCAACCGCAGACATAATGACATATAATGACGCACACTTCATTATTAGCCACTAATCATATTAATGTTTATCTTGCACTATTGAGAACTGAAAGCAATCAAAGAAAAACAGATATTATTTACTACTAGTTAACTTTGTCTGTGTTCGGTTTTCAGAAGTTTTTTCAAAAAGTAAAAGACTTAATTAAATTAACTTCTAATGATCGCTTTTTACACAAATAGTAAAAACATTATAAATAAAAAATATTAAAAATTTTAATTTATGTATAATATAATTTGTAATTATGATAAAAAGATTTAAAACTAATGATATCAATTTTAACAAACGAAAATAGCACATTGCTACAATTTTGTAAAATTTTAAAATTGAAGAGCTTGATTAAGTTCTGAAAAAGCACGTTATTGTATTTTTTTAAAACTGAAGAATCAAATTACACAAAATAAATAAATAATAATAATAATAAAAGTAATTAAGCCTAAATATAACTAAAAATTCTTATTTAATTTTGCCATGAAACTCAGTTTGAAACGGTAGAAAATTGAGGTTTACTGTTCAAGAAATGCTTCTTCAGATTTTGGTACAAAGAAACTCTAGTTATTACCTAATTGTCAGGAAAACGGTCGTTATTTTTAGCTCATATATATGCGATTAATTAGTCAATGTACTGTCCTTTAGAAAATAAATTTATTTAAAGAGAAGAATAACAATCAGTTACGAGAGTACTTCGAAAGAGTTAAATTTATACTAACCTTTTGAGTAGTCTATTCTTGTGGAAACCTTGTCTAGGTGTTTTGTTAGTACAAAGCTCGGTGGTCCAGGGAATAAACCGGTGGATCCAGTGGCAAATATCAGAGAGGACAAAGGTTCAGTGGTTTGTAACTGAAACACCATGAACAGACGAGAGGACTGCAAAGTGATGAAGGTTGAATTAGCTATAACCTGTAGGTTGCCCTTATCAGGAACCACCTGATTTGGAGTGACCCCACCAAGATAATACTGCTTGATCCCTCCACTGGCTCCTCTTGATGCCACCCACCCCACCATGGCACTCGAACCAACCATGCCGCCAGTGACAGAGAATCCCATAGCTATGTAAGAATTTGCGTCTGGGGTTGAGAGAATGAAGCTCCAAATGTTGACAGAAGTCTGAGCATACTGTAAAGTTTACACATAGATCAGTATATACATGGGGTGCTATTGGAATAAGGTTATATACACGTGATGAAATTCAAACATGGTGCACCTACTCTGAGGATGAAACTTTGAGCATCCCATACAGAAAGGCAGTGCAGGTTGGTTGTATCAAAGGGGATAGAAACATTGAGGCTTAGATTGCTGGTACACGAGTCTGCTTCTGGGCTTGCAAGGAAGAATGAACCTAGATAAGTCATCATGAAGAGAAGTCTTAGAGCCTTCATTTGTCTCTATTATTATTGGTGCGAGTGGTGTCAGTTTGAAAGATGTGGTGGCATGATAAGTCTTACTAATCTTATTGAACCTGGGCTTACTATTCTTACTGAAGCTAAAAGAGGAAAAAATAAACGATGTAATGATTGTTATTTTGTAACTAACATGGTGCAGGGCCATTCTCAATTATGATCATAAATTGAAAACGAAGATTGAAGTACATGAAAGATTAAAAAAACGAAAAATAAAAATGGTAAATTGAATAAAAACAAATGGCAGACTGAAGTCCATACGTAGTGCTTCACTGCCTAATTAAAGACGACACGAACTCGTGCATGAACTCGAACGTGATGCAAATGTATGTAAAGAAACAGAGACGTAGGGTAAAATATAAATGATGACATTAAGGAAAAGTAAATATATTCATAATTCCATATGATACAACAACATATTCCATTGTACAGTTGTACATTCTTCCAACAATAAAGAAAATGATAAAAAACCCAGTCTCCAAATTCATGGGACCAGGCTCGGGACAGCTCCCAATTCCCAAATAATACTGTCAACCATCACTTCATTTTTTCCGGCCACACTTTAGCAGGTCTAGATTCCAATCCAAATGTCCAGGTCTCCACTCTATTCATTTGTCTCCAAATTGACAAATGGTACAACATCCAAATAATTTTATTCATATGCCATTCTTCTTTGGCAAGGTACAGAAATTTACAAATAAGTACAATACCATAACCTTAAAAATCTGCATCATCAGAGACCCGACTTTGAAGTCCATCGCGACCTACAGATGCATAGATAGTTATAAAATTAAAGAATTGCAATGGATTGTCCTATTTCAACGTAATGATTATTGTTTTCACACAAATTTGAGTTAAATTCACCACATAAAAAAAATTATATTAAAAAGATGTTCAAACCAAAGAGAAAATTCATCGAACTAAGTAAAATAACAATAGAGACCACTATAAAATAGCAGCAGATTACCAATTACAGACTACCTAATACCTTTGACATATCAACTGTTAGCCCCTTACTCTTTTGGCCAGTGTTATTCCCCTGTTTAGGTGTTCTACGCCATTTCAAAACATATATGTCTGGGATGTAGTCTATCACGTGTTCTGAAAAGTCTCATATGCTTACACACATGTACTAAACAATGGTGATACCCGTGGAAATTTCATACCCATTGACCGTAGGCATCTTTCTCGGCACCAGGATTCTCACTCAAAGCCAACTATTAGGATTGAGCTAGTATTCACGTAATTGAGTAGTTTGCCGGCTAACTACCAGAATTCCTATTACCAACCAAAAAAGTTCCAATTCTATTAGTGATCTTCAGCCAGGTACGTGAGAGGGAAAGGAACCTGCGGCAGTTGGAGAGGGACAAAACTGCTTTCAAGTGATTTCTTTGTCCACAAAACAGTTTCTTAACTCCCCAGCGTTAGCAATGTGTGGTTTTTGCAAGGATTGGGAAGCCTTTTTTCATACTTAGTTCAACCAACAACCACTTTCTGAATTTCTTACTGTTGTTGGGGAACGCACACCCACAACCACAATGGTGTATTGAGCCTTACTTTGAGGATTTCTTACAACATCCCAGGTTGTACTTCTTGTTTTCTCTTCAATGAAATCTCTTCCGTCAGAAAAAAAAAAAAAAAAAATTAAAAAAAAAAAAAAAGAGATTGCTTTCTGTCTGCGTACGAAAGGTACGGGTATGCTGGTTGAAAGTAAAATCGAACTTCGGGCTAAGGTGTTCCAAAATGATAAGTGATTCATTCTTATGTATAAATTAAGTCACAATCAGCAGCCTTTGTATCAAGTCACAGCCAGCATGTTAGCGTAATTAAATCAAACAGAGAAAAAAATCCATATAAACAAACACTCGATAGTTCAATTGACATTAAATTAATCTAACCAAACTCATGCCTCATGTCAACAAATTTCAGATCTACCCGCAAAGTTCAATATAATTTTAACCATTTTCCAAACAAATGCTTCATGCATGCTAACTAGAATAGACTACAGACCAGCTCCTTCATCCTTAATCCATCTGTCACTAATAGTAATATGTAAGTTATAGCAAACTAGTTGGGTGGTTAAGAGCAACTGAAACAGAAATAAAGATAACGCTATATAGATGACAGGGTGATGAACTTACTGACTGAAACCAACTCAGGCAAGCTAACATATTTCGGACAAGATCCTTTTGAAGTAACCATGTCAATTTTAATGTCAGATCTAACAGCACAATCTCGTGGCTGCAAAACAACAGACAATATATTCTAGAATTAATAATGGCCAAATTACTGTTTTTGAATAGGATACCATGAAATCATAGAATTAATATTTAAAAGTACAAGGTCAAGGGGATTCTCTCATAGAGTCCACGAAAGTTTGTTTACCAGTAGGGTGTTGCTTAAATTTCTAAAAATAAACCAAGTCCCATAGTTTTATGAATTTGGAGTTAAATATCTTTGTCATAACTTTCATACAGATCTATAGCATCTCAATGATTTCACAACTATTTCACAGATAGGTCTTATGCAATATTACTTCAAAATTGACCTGAAAGGACAATAGTGATATCATTTTAATAATTGAAAATACTAGCTACCACTGACTGAACTAATTATCTCTTAACCCATCAGTTTATATCTAAATGTGCCAATCTCCTACAGAAAATAAGACAAATATTTGCACATATTTTAGTTTCTTGTGAACTAAATATATATTAGAGAGTAGAGCAGATTTCATACTTGGAAGTCCTTGTAAAAGCATAGGCGAAGTTCCTCAATAGAATCTTTTGAGCAGACAATTAAAGGGGATGCATGAAAAGCATTCTCAATGGCAGAGATAATGCCTCCAAGGGGATACTTTTCTGTATTAGAGGGAACATATCCAGCATCATTTAGAACGCTCTGGAAAAATGTTGAAGAACACAATAGTCAGAGTATGTCCCTCGAAGCAAGAATCAGAGTTCTTTACAATCAAAAGTTTTACAAATACAGTGTAAACTCGAAACCAATTAAGCAGTTTTTCAACAATTGAGAACCTGGGGAGCAAGATTCTAAGTCTTCAATGCCAAAAGATAAGATGACAGCCCAAGTTGCGAACAACATTTTCATGCAATTTAGACTTCATGCATATATTTGGACCATATTACAGCAGCAGACTAATTAGACTGATTCCCCAGATAGAAAAGAAAAAAAGAAAATGTAATAGATACAGAACAGAGCAAAAAATTACTATATTCAGCAGATCCAATTTGTACGAACTAAGAGGCAGGATTGAAAAGAATAAAATACTCCCAAAGTACTTGGGACTAAACTCTCTTCTCAAAACTTCCTACTCTAAAACTGCTCTCTCTCCTGGCTAGCTTCTTCCTTTATAAAATCATGACCAAAGGGACCACCAATTGACAAATTCATTAATCAATAGACAAATTTTATCATCCTGACACAGAAATGTTATCAATTGAAGGAGGAGGCATGGATTGACTAACATATTAATCAGTATACAAGTTTTATTAGTTTTTATGGGTGATGAAAAGGAGCAAGATAAAAGTAAAAAATAACAGTTGCATAGAATAATGACCTTTAATTGTCTAAGTACTTGTGTTCAGTAAAGCAAGTTTAATGTTTTATCTGTGAGAAAAAATGATAATGATCAATGGCTCTAAAAAAATGTAGAAATTTTTCAGTAATTAAGCTATCAATGTATTTTGATCATTATTTAGTATGAGTTCATTGCCTCCAGATATAAGAAAGAAATTTCTGGTACAAAAACAAAATTTAGACACGACAAACTTACCGTAACATTATATTTGAAATAGATATTCAGAGTTGCCAGAAAATAATCATATTCATTTCGAAACACAGGATAAGAGCATGTGCCATGTTTCTCTGCAAATAAAATTGCAATATTAGAAAAAAGGAATATCAGTACAAGAAAACCATATCATTTTGCCTAAAGAAAATAGCAAAAAGGTAAAAATAGAATAAACGAGTCGATAAGGAAATTTTGTAACTACCAATAGAGATGTAACTTTGAACACTTTGTTCAACACCAATTTAATTCTGAATAACAGTTCCGCAAGTTGCAGATTTTAGAGAAACAACACAACTATTACTCAAGAGAAACAACGAATACACTCATTAAATCATGTAAGCAAGCAAAAGCTATGAAAGATTATTACCCCACTGCCGACGTAAGCCAGATGTGATAACCCCAGAAGCACAAATGAAAAAAGAAAAATGAGATTCCATAATAATTTAAGGTTGAATAGGAAACTAATTAACTCCGACAACCACCTCATGAGCCCAAAATGAACCTTTCCCGCCATGGCATGTTGATGGCTTGCCACAGCTCAATGATGGCCAATATTGCTCTAAAGCATTAGTCAAACTAGATATCTACACAGAAAATGAAACATGATAGAACTAGAGAGTTAATGCAACCACGTTAATTGAAGACACCAAGTTCTAATAGTATATAAAAGTAACATTAATAAAACCAACCAAAATACAAAAAACAATTAACAAGGAAAAGAATTAAAAAATTGCAGTTTCACAAGCAAAAGAAAAGTGCCTTGGCTTTCCTCAATCAACACTTAATACTTTATCATTAAATTAATTACCTAATAAAACTAAAAGGAATAGATAGAACTTTCCAGTATAACTCTGAAATGTAATTCAGTTTCATTCTTCACAAATTTCTCAGTCATCAAAACATGAAACCAGTAAATGTTATTTGTGATCAAATAATTTGCAAATTAAGGTTGTGGAATATACCTCTTTTGGATTGAAACTAGCTCCAGAACAACAAGATGGCCAGGTTCCATCGTTATAGTCAGGCCAAAGTCCATCTATCATACATGTAGATATAATCTGTTAAGCTATTTGTTGCTGGAATTCCATACTCAACAGAGACATGAGCAAAAAGGTCAATATGTTCTTTACATCCCAAAACAGATTTATTTCTTCACAAACAAAGTAATCTAAAAGAAAAGAATTGATGCGGAAGAAATGAGAGACAAAAAAATTGAGGAAAGGAAACAAAAACTCAAAAGTCATACTTAAAGCTCATTTATCAATGAGTTTAAAATATCAGTAGAGTTTTACAATATTTTTGTAGACCCGACCAGGGATTCACACCTAGAAGAAGATATTATTAACTCAGAACATAGTCAATGCAAGTAGGAAAGTTCACGTAAAACAAGCAATAAGTATTCCACACGCTCTTCGACTATGTTTTTGCATACTTATTTTCACAGAAAAAAAATTCCATGCGGTCTAAATTGACAACAACAACCTCAAATGGAGAAATTAACTCAAAATATAGACAATGCAAATAGTGAAATTCAAGATAAACAAACAACAAGTATTCCAAGCAGTCTAAATTCAGAACTACAACCTCAGAAGGAAAAATTAACTCAGAAAAGAGTCAATGCAAGTAGCAAAATAGAAGAAAAATAAGCAATAAGTATTCCATGAGGTCTAAATTCTCTACAACAAAAAGCAATAAGTATTTCATCACCACGATAATGCCGCATTGGAAACCTAATACTCACGTATGGTGAATGTTGTCGGAGAATTGGGGCTGCAACCAGAAACGTAAACATGTCAGCCTTTTATCAAGTGCTTCACAAAAGTTGCATAATGAAATAAGAGAAATTTTACATGCAGTTCCTTAGCTACCTTTGGCATTGTTCTACCATCAGAATTAAAGCTTTATCTTGTTAACAAAAATCCATTTCATTTGCTAATTATTATCATCACCCAAAAAAAAAAGGGCCCAAATTCGACGAATCAGGCACAATACAAACGGCTTAATCACTCCACATGTTTAAGTCTAAGGTAAGAGTAAAAATGTAAAATGATCAATCCTAAGAATTGAACCAATGGAACATGTGAAATTGAGAAATGAAAAGGAAAGGTGGTGTAAATTACTATATTACCCTCTGCAGCAACCGTTGGAGGGACAACAACTGCGCGTGCGCTGGCAGTAAGTGCCGGGCCATGTCAAGGCCAACGCGAAATAGTCAAACTCTCGCTGACCATCGAACGACGCGACTGGCGCGGCGTGTGCTGGAGGCGTCGCCGGCGCCGTCAGCGCGAGAATAGCGAGCACCAGCCACGAAGTCGAAGGAGGCATCGTTCCTTTTCCGTTGGCGATCGTTGCGTGGGAGTAAATATGAAAAGACCAAGAGTACGACGCTATATATAGAAGGGAGAGTTAGTTGCGCACATTTTAAATTAATTGCTCCATTCTCGAGTTTCACACGGAACTCCAATGAGAGTCTTTATATTCGGGGTATGTGCTAAAACATATTCATCCAATCAGATCATAAAAGGAAATAGAAAATAAGATTCATAAATGTTTCTTTTTATATCATTTTATGGAATGTTCATTTGTGTATAGTTAAGCTTTATAGTAAATAAATATTTAAAATGTACAAATTATGTTATTATTATTATATTTTAATTTATGATCAGTAATTTTCAAAAAATAATAAGAAAACTTGCGCTGAACTTAGAAAATTTGAGGCGAAAATAGAAAGTCATTTACCTTTTTTCTTTTTATTGTTTGATATATGTTTAGTTCACGTTAGTTGTTTTGATTATTTTTTTCTGGGCAGGAGAAGGCATGTTGGGCTTTAACTTCTTTCACCCCACTAATTTCTTAGCCCACTTCCATGTATGCTGGAAAATATACTATACGAAAGCTAAGGCCCAAAATTAATGGGGTTAGGAAGAAATACCTTGGAAGTTGTTGGGCTCGTCTGGACTTAATAATAGGTTTAGTTACTTAGACTCTTACTTCCTCTGTGGTTTCTTCCTCCGTCCCAATACTTTCTTCCTATATCATATATTCAATTAAAATGATAATATTGTTCCTACTATAAATAGATTTTGAAATTTTTATTTCAGAAGTTTTCTATAATAACATTTTTTGAGATTTTTCGGAAATATTCTAGAATCATCTTTTTAGAAATATTTTGAAAAAATGATTTCTGGGATGCTTCTAAAAACTTATGGAAATATTAGTCCAAAAATTTGTTACAAAACTCATTCTGAAAAACACACTCCAGAAATTAGTGTTGAATCCATAGATAAGTTATCGATTGTTGAATCTGAAATGTATTTTTGGAAAACATTTGGGATATCACAACTATAAATTAAATGAAAAACAATATTTAGGATATCACAAATATAAATTAAATGTGTGTTTTTTTTACTGAATTTTTGAACGAGCAACATATTACATGATTTAAAATATAAATTATCAACAAATTTATAGATTTAAAGTGAAAATGCAACAAATGAAGGTAGGTTGAGTAATCCAAATATACATTTAAGCCTCCTATATAAGTAAAAATGAAAAGATTTAACATTATATAAAGAACTAAGGTTCATAACATAATTCTTTGAGATTTTTTATTGAAAATTATATCAATTTCTGATATAAGTTAGACTAATATCTTATTGGTATTGTTTTTTTTAATGAATTTTCTTAAATTAGTGTTACTTATTCTCAGTAAATCCTCTTAAATTAGTGTTGTTTCTTTCCAATAAATCATTCTTAAAATATCTAATAGTGGTATTAGTAGAGATGAAAATTAAACTTCCTCCCCACCCTTAGATGAACCCGGCGAGGTGAGTTTGGGTTTTGTCTACTTTAAAAAGTTAGGGGCGGGCATGAGTAATATAATCAATCCTCACCTTCATCCTTGCTTATATATTTAAATTTAAATCCTAAAATTTTAATATTTTTAAAATACTTCATTTTCTTTCTCAATTATATATAAGGTTATTTTTCTATATTTCACCATTTTGACTTATTTATTTTTCTGTTCATTATATTATTCTCTTCTTATTATCTTTCACTTTTTTACATTTTCTTAATCTTTTCGATCAATCTTATTTTTCCAATATTTTTAATAAATTTGACAAATATAAAGTTAATTTTTCTTCTTTTTATCTTTTCTAAATATTCTACAACAATATGAGTAGTAACTAATGTTATTTTATTTATAATTTATTTTTATTAGATTTAATATAATATTTATTAGATTTTATTATTCTTATTTGTTATATATCAAATTTTCTTAATCAAATAATTATATTTTAAAAGATTAAAAAAATTAATAACTAAAACTTTTATAACTAATTAAATAAGAATTAAGTTAATAAATATTTTTTCATAAACTATATATTACATAATTATAAATATTTTAAAATGACAAATTAAAAAATAATTAACTGTTTAAATACAATGTTATAATATAATAATATTATTATTATAATAAGTATTTTATATTCATATAAATAAAAATTTGATAAAATATTTTTTATATAAATATATTTTAATATAAATATAATAAATTAAAATATATAATTAATTAATTAATAATAATAATTAAATATTATAAAATTATAAATATTTATTTTTTATAAAAAATATATTAAAATTATTTTATTATAAATATAATTAAAAAAAATAGTGTAAAACGGGAAAGGGTCAGGCGGAAAAATTCAAAACTTAACAAAAATAGACATGAAGCCTAATTTCTAATATGAAAGAGATCGAGACACAAAAACTCAAAATTTAATAAAAACAGAAATGAAAACTTACGATAACATTAAAAAAAAAAATCAGAAAGATCATGCATAAATATCAAAGCCGCTTATTAGGAATTCTTTTCTTAGTGCATATGAAATTATTAGGTTTGAGGAAATCCTCCTTCTTTCGCTTTCCATAATTTAATAATATTGTTATTTTTGTAAAATAGTTTTGGAGGCTTAGTAATTGTATTTTGTTTTTCAAACTTAAAAGGACCAATTAATAAACAGATGTAATATCTTTTAAGTATAATCTTATTCATGTAAAGTTCATGTGAAATTGAATTTTTAACAGGTAAAATATTTACCTTCACACTATTTTAAATGCATTAAATTATAAAACAAAAATGAAAGTTTGTAAATTTAAAGGGCAAAAGATGTAATAATGACATGTCAGAGGATTGTGTTCCATGAACACCAACCAGATTCTGGTTGGATCAAGAGTCTATATTATATATTTGTTGAAGATGCAGTTTGACTACGCAATCAATTGTTGTCACATGCTGGACTTTACTCTTTATGAAAATCTATTTCCTTTCAAATAAATAAGTAATAAAAAAAAAAATCCCTTTATACAAAGAACAAAACTAAAACATCACCTTTTACGGTGAATCAATAGATCCGTTCATACCTCATTTTGAGTCAATAAAATCATTTTGATACCTTCTTATAAATCTTATCAATTACAGTTCTGCAATTAGGATGAGAATTAAACCGTATACGTGGATACCAATCCATCTCCGTTCCGAATTAGGAAATGGTATTAATGTGTCATTCCATTAAAATTTTGTTCATCCACCCTCACTTTAAATTGGAATCTGCTTTTGCTTTTTCACCATTAGACGTCCAATATCAAACAAACAAACATGAGATAAAATTATAAAAGATCAAATACCATCACAATCAACGTTCTTCAACCTCTCCCGGCGACTGAAAACCACAAACATATCTGAAAGAAAGATTAATAAATAATAAATTTATGAGTGGTCACCAAAATGTGCGGCAAAAATATAAGAATTTCAAGAATTTATAAGACCACATGTTCTCTTTCTGGCTTTGTGGGTTGCTTTTTCTGTGATTACAATATAAATATTATAAATTTATTAATTTCCCTCTTTCTATCTATATCATTTTAATTATATATTTGTAAATGAATTATATATTATTATTTATCATTTTATATATAAAACTGTTTTTACTCTGTCCTGTCTGATCTCAATTATCAGATTTTTGTTGGATTAACCGTTTTATCAAAAAGCATGAGCAAAATTTCATGTTACCGGGTACAATAAAAGATATTTAGAATAATAAAAATAATATAAAATGAATTATTATTTTAAAATATAATATACAAATTATTGTTCATAATATAATAAAAATAAGTTATATGATTAGTACTTTATTTTTAAACTTCACTATATAAAATACTTATCAATTTTTTTTCACTTTTATCGAATCAGCTTTACATACATTTTTTAAATTTTATTTACTTCAACATTTTTTTATTATATCTAATTATTTTTCTACCAAATTTTGAAGTTAATAATTACGTATGTTTTAAAAAGACTTAATTGTTTTATTCTGTCCTTTTGAGTTTTTTTTAATGTATTATTTATAACATTGATTTGTATTATAACCGTTTAGTTTTACCTTTTTAAGTTTAATTTGTGTTAAGCAAATCTATGTAAATATGATATTTTAATTTTGTAAAAATTTTTAATTATATCAATTCAATCTTTCTCATAACATATGATAAGTGATGGAAATGTTAATTAATATATCTCAGTTGAAACAAAATAATATAATTAATATACTGACGAATTAAAAGTGCAATTAAACCTTTAAAATTAATAACATCTTTCTTTTCTTTTTGGGTAATAATTATTTGCTTTTTGTTTTTCTATTCTGAGTCGATGTGGGGATATTATAAAAGCTTAGAATAAAGGGGATATGATTTCCAAAGCCTCAACTTTAACTTTGACTCAAGCTCACATTTCAACATGGTTTGGTTCCATGCCTTGGTACAAGCAATGCAGCAATGGTGGCTGGGGCGAATGAGTTGGCACCAGAGTAGGTGGATTGAGATGTTTTTTTATCCACTGTATACAATTCACTTCTTAACAAAACACATCATTAGATTCCGTTTGTTTGTTTTATATTTTCAACTTTAGAAGCATAATTTAACTTTAATAGGTATTCTTTATCAGGTCATTTACTCTAAAGGATTTACTTTTCTGAAAGTAAAAAAGTAGTTAACACTTTCAAACGATATGTCATTCATATAGTACTACATTATTAGGTATTAACAATTATTATGAAATAATTATTTTATTTGTTAGAAATGGATATAGTTTTGTCTTTTTTACGTCTACATGTAAAGGAAGGAGAATATAAATGTGCAAAGCTGTGGTATAAACAAGACCCACAAGATTGGAAAGATGGGAAGAGAAGAGTCACAGTTGTCTAAGTTGGACTATTGAAGCAAGTTGAGAAAACTTGATACTGCTCTTCTGTAAAACCAAACCTCTAACTGGGTTGAGGTCCCTTTGCCGTGGAAAGTGACTGTATAATCACCTTGAATGGAGCTCTGTGATGTCAGAAGGGAGCGACAGGAGAGAAACGTGTCAATTTGGCCACCCATCATAGGATTCATAGGGTTTATATAATGAATATTTCATTAAAAACCATTCTGCACCGTACAGGAATGACTAATGACTTATATATACTGGAATCCATACATAACAAATCAAAACAAACTTTCCAAGTACACATAACAAAGGACAAAACTACAGCAAATAAAATATTTATTTGATAATAACAATACTGTATTTATTGAAAGAATATAAGATGTACCGTACAAACATTACACGTGGAAAACATACAAATATTATATATATAAGGGAAAAAAGAAAAGTATAAGAAAATACACTTTTATAATAAGTATAATCATTAATAAATAAATACAGGACTGCAAATAAACATCATTTAAAATGGTGGCATCCATAATAATGTAAAATTAGAATTTTCTGCGCAACAAAAAAAAAATTAGCAGAAAGAGAGAGCTTAAAAAGAATTTCATCCATTAATCGCATATCCAGTGCTAAATGAAAAGTGTATTAAAAAACAGAACTTCAAATGCACAACGGATTTTTCTTATGGTGGTTTTGTCAAAAAGAATTAAAAAAAGCAAGGGTGAAAGTCGAGGTGTAACAATAGAAAGTCATTTACATTCTTCTCCACATAACGACCATGTATCTTCATGTAATAACATGTTGTTTCACTTCAAAATATCTCTAAAGATAATAACCATGTTAATTTTGGTTTCATATAATTTTTGAAGAACTAATCGGAAGTGGTATTATTTCGCTCCTCACACCGTCTGCAGTTAAAAATTGGTTCATCGATACTTTACTTTAAATTCGAATCTGCTTTTCCCTGTTCCACATCAAACAAGCATGAGATAAAATTATAATATAAAAGATATAAATCCTATTCTTATCTAACAAACCCCAAAAATACATCACAATCAACGCTGAAAACGTCATCCAACCAGTACCGGCCGCACAAAACCATGAAGAAATCTGAAGTGGGTAGATTAATAAATAATAATTTTTTATGAGTTGTCATCAAGTGTGCTGAGTTGACAGGTTTTTTATTTTTAAAAGAAAAATGTATTTTTGATATTTTCAATTAAAGTTCTTACATTTCAATATCCCCTGAACTGATTCTTAATTTTTAAACCAAAAAAATCTTAAATTTAAAAATATAAGAATTTAGTCTACTTTTCAAGAATTAACCATGTCTCAGGCTGAATGAGAAAATAAGTTTACACGCCTTCTGAAATTTTCTAATCTCTGGATGTTGTTCCATCAATTGTCGGATTGGAAATAAAGTTTGCTAAAAAAATATTTCAATTTTCTTAAAAAAATAAATTACTATTTAAATATTTACCCATCAAAGTTAGTTCTTTTATTTGAGTTGTAACTGAGAGTGGGGCGCTTTCCGCTTGAATAATAATAGTTTTTGTTTTCTTATCTTATGCTGACTTCGTCCAAACGAAAGTCAAAACCTTTTCATGAAAAGAGCTACGTAAGTAAAGACAGGAAACTAAAGTGAAAAGGAAAAGCAGGAAGAGCAAAAGCTTTTTGGGCCTATAAAATGGAGGAAGTGTGAGCTAAAGGATTGAATTCATAGACTGTCATTCACTCTCCAGAGTAAGATGAGTGAGAAGGAAAACCCAAATCCTGCTACGGTTCATGTTGAACCTATCAACCACCCAACTCCGAAGCCTCAGCCCAAGCTCCCTGACCTCAATATGCTACCTGACCCTCTAAGCGACGAGGAGAATCATGAGGCTCTCTCTCCTCTCCACACACTTATTCTTTCCTCCATCAATTAACAGCAATAGTTATTACTACCTTAAAATCTGAAAGTTATTTATTTGTTTATTTCAGGGAATTCAGAGTGTGGAGGAAGGTCCTTCTACCGCGGCTGCTGCGGTTGAGGCTGTGGATACCTCCAGCAAGGCCAAGGCAAGAAAGAGGAAGAGTTTCTTCAACTGTATCAAATCTATCTTCAAGAAGAAGAAGAAGACCGGGGAAGAGGATCCTGCTGCTGCTGAGTAAAACAAGTGTTGATGACACCACTGCCTTTTGTTTGTCAATTTCAATGTTGTTGTTCTTGCAACACACTGTTGCTATTATTAGGTCATGTGTTTTTTTTTTTTTTTTCTGGCTTTGTGGGTTGTTTGATCTGACGTGATGCAGTAGTTACTCTGTTTGTTATGTCATGTTCCCTTGTTCTCGGATGAATTTGTTCCTTGTTTCAATTTGGATTAATTCTGAATCTACTTTACCTCTACCTTTGAAAACCCTAGATCTGTCTGAATAATTGACATTTAAGCTTAAATTATAATATAAATATTAATTTTCACTATTTAAAGTAAATTTATTAATTTTCTTCTTTCTATCTCTGTCTCGATGGCCATATTTTTATATCATTTTAATTATATATTTGTAAATGAGTTATATAATAGTATTTATTATTTTATATATAAAAATGTTGCGTGTTACTTCGTCATGTCCGATCTCAATTATCACGTTTTATCAAAAAGCATGCTCAGAATTTCATGTTATAGGGTACAATAAAAGATATTTAGAATAATATAAAACAATCCAAACATTTTACCGACTCTAATTCTCTTTTCTTTTTCTTTATTATTCTCTCTCCGTCCAAATGAATAAATAATTATTTTGTGAGGACCAATTTAAATTTTATAGTTAGTGCTGATAACCCTCCTTCCCTGTTTGATAACTGTTTAAATGAGAATCCTATTAATAAACTACTTGCACAGAGGGAGTGACGTGAAAAAGAAAGCGAGGTACGAAAGTTGTTAGGTGAAATTAAAAAAGAAAAAAACATTTAATTTAAGAACAAACTTTAGATTTTATTAAACTTTTATTTTAAGAAAAAAATATATTTATTTTTAATATTTTATATATTCTATTTTTCATTTATTTTTTATTTTTTATTTTTCTTCCACTACATTCCTTGTTAGCATTGTTAGATTTCTTTTGTTTTTATTATTTCTTAGTTAATTCTATTTTTTTAATTATCTAGAAGAAATTGGATGTTTCTATATCAAGTTATATACAGTGATTTAAATCATAATTTATTAAATTTGTCAATTTCATAATAATTATTTTTAAACTATGTTAAACATTATTTATAATTAATTGGATAAAAATATCAAATTATTTTGAATTGTCAATGGAGATTAAACTCTATAGGTATTATGATACTGTACTTGTATCATTACACAATCTAAATATATATTAACGTTGTATGTACATTATCAGTCTTTTTTATGCATATTCTTATGAGAGTTTTTATTTTAAATATACTGTTTATTTAAATTAAAATATATAATTATAACTAATTTAATCAGTATAATAATTTTAGTGAATTGAAAAAAATATGTATCAAACATTTTTTTATATTAGACAGTAACTTGTTATAATATTTAGACAAAATATTATATGCTTTGAGACTATAACTCATTTTATAACATCTGTCTATCTTTAATGAGTAAATATTGTCTTTAAAATCTTATTATCATATTCATGAATCTGTTATTGTTATTATATATTTTTATTCTTATATATAAAGATGTTAAAAATCATAATATCTAAGCCTTTAAATTGAATCCTAAATAGTGAAATTTGTTTTTCTTCTCAGTTTGGGTAATTTAATAAATAACTAATTGCTGTGTTGTCAACAAGTGTGGCATAGTCGATAGTTTTCTTTATATTCATGCATTAGATCTTTAAATTAAAAAGAAAAAAAGAAAAAAAGAAAGTCTAAAGCCTCTTAGCCTGCGTACACTTTGACTTTGACTTTGACTGAATCTCACATCACATTTCAATTCAATTATTCTTGAGTTGGACGTGTAAGTGGTAGCACGTGAGTTAGTGATCTGAGATGACTATTTGTCTTCGCCCTAAGAAACTTCTTTAGCCACTACAACATTTATTATATTATATTCACTACTCCTTCACAAGGAGATGGCAAAACGGACAACCCTCGCGCTGGCCCGCCGTGACATGGTGGGTGCGGGTTGGCATTCCGTTTTGGTTTGTACCGTCAAGTTCGTTATCCTGTCGAGTCAATACGTGGTATGTGTAATTAATAAAAAAATATTTTTTTATTATAATAAAATTAATTATAAATATAATATATAAAGTTAAAAATTTTAAAAAGAGAAATTAAAAAGTTTTTCTCTCATGTAAAATATTCTCACTTCTGAAACACAACCTTCTATCTTACTGTTACTCCTTATTCATCCTAAACACTATTATTTTTATCCTTATGACTTAAATTAAAGGTGTAAGAATTACTCAACCAAAAATAATGTGAAGTTTTATCAAATAAAAAAGATATAGGTATTTAAATTTTTTAATATAAAAAATATAAATTTTATAAGTTTTAACGTTATATATATATATATATATATATATATATATATATATATATTTGTTATTATTTATTATTATGGAAATTTTATTATTATTCTAAATTATAATTTCTTAAAATAATGTATTAATTTATATTATTAAATTGAAATAATATATATATATATATATATATTGAATTATTGACAAACAAATAATAATCTTATTATTAAACTTATTAAAAAAATTATTTTAAAAAATAAATTATTTTTTTCTAAATTATGGCGGGCCAGACCGTCAGCCGCTAACCCGTCCCTTGGCGGAGCAGACCAAGATCTACGACCGCCATGACTATAACGGGTTAGTCCGTCTTGCCCGCTTTTGACGAACTAAAGGCGGGACGGGCCAAAATGGAGCGGATCGACTCGTTTTACTATCCCTATTCACAAGACATATTATTAGATTTCTTCGTTCTTTTTTTTAACTTTAGATGCACAGTTTAAGTTATTTATTTATTTTGTATTTTTATTTTTTACGAAAGAGGGTAAAAAAAAAAAATTTATCAATAGGTTAAAATTTTAAAATTTTACCAAAATAGGTAGCACGATTTTGATTTGCGAACACTAAAATCTAGATACGTTATTTGATTTAAAAAAAAAACGTCTTTTGTAGTGTATAATCTATTTTATATTAAACATGTTTCTATTTTTATTTTTAAAATGATTTTTTTAATATATTATTTATTCAATAATTAATTTCGATTTAATTATTAAATTAATAAAAAATATAAATAAATTTAATGCAATGCGTCATGTTAAAGTATTACTTAAAATTTGGATGCATATAAATTTCAATTCAAAAATGATTTGTTTATATCGGTCTAAATTTTTATCATAACTCTACTATGTATCAAAACATATCAAGAAGACTTATAATTAATCAAATTTATTATAAAAAATTAAAAATAAATTAAAAAAATATTTTTTTAAATAAAGGATATAATTGTACAAATTATAAATTTTGACAACAAATTTGTATTTTTTTAAATATAATATTTTAATATAATATATTACATTAAATTTATTCCTATTTTTCTAATTATTTTTATTTTCTATTAATTTTATAATTAAATAGAAATTAATTATTTAATAAATAATATATTTTAAAAAATTATTTTTTAAAATAAAGACAATACCTTATAACTCGTGTAGGTAACAAAATGAGTATATAATAAATTATACATAATTCATTCATGCTATGAAATACATTTTAAAAAATTTAAACAACTAAAATCGTAGTACATAATACTATTTTAGCGTTTGGCCCAATTCAAAATTGTGCTGATTAGTATGATTTGACCTGTTTCGGTAAATTTTAATTTTTTCACTTGACATTAATTTTTTTTACCCCATTTGATAAAAAAACCCATAATTATTATTTATTGTATCATCTAGTAATGTATATATATATATATATATATATATATATATATATATATATATATATACATATATATTATTTTAGTTTTCATATGTCATTCATATATTATACCACACTCTTTAAGATGGTAAAGATTAAGATTAAATTGGTGAAAATGAAAAATATTAAGAAAAAAATAGGTGAAGACAGCAAACAATGAATTGAAAGATATTTGAAAAGAAAAAAAGTGGATTCAAATGATCAAGGTGAAAAATAAAAGAATTGAAAACTCTTATTAATTGAAGTGAAAATTTGAGACAAATAATCCGTAATAAATTAAAGGTTTATCTAAACAAAATTATACGAAAAAGATAAAAGATTAAAGGACAATTACATAAATTACAAATAAAAATTATATATATATATATATATATATATATTATAGATTTACTATGAAATATAAACGATTGCAAATGATAAGTGATATAAACAATTATTGATATAAACGGTTACAATAAAAGTAGTAATTTTTTTTATTTACTTTCTTAACAATTATATAAAATAAAGTATAAATAGAATTACATAAAGACAACTAGGCATGATAGTCCAATTATGCTAGAACTTATATTCTAAAAAATGGTATGAACAAGAAAAAAGTTATTTCAATAGTGTCTTCATATCACCATTTTCGTTAATTTTTTCTTATTATTTTTTCTTTTATATTTGATAATAAGTTAGATTTAGTCTTTTTATACATTTTACATTCTCTATATTTTCTGTTCATTGCAAAATTATATTTTCATTACATATTTACTTTTTTGTATTTCAAGAACTCATTGAAAATCTAGATTAGCTGTGAATAAAATTTTATAATCTCTTTATTAAACTATGTGAAAAATCTTTGATAACAAGTTGATTTCATATTGATTGTCAAGTAGAATTTTGGGGTCAATATAGTTATATTCTAGTATGTTTGAAATATAGAAAATCTACTTAGTAATTAAAATATTTCAATTAAAAATACTTGAAGTGTGTGGAAAAAATCAAACAACAAACCATTTTTTTTCCAAGAGACAACCACATGAAAAACATACAAATATTATATAAAGAAAAACATGGAAAGTATAAGAAAATAATTTTGCAATAAAAAATCATAAAAATATAATAACATTATAACCATTAATAAATAAATACAGGACTGCAAATAAATATCGTTACAAATGGTGACATCCATGAAAATGTAAGATGAGAATTTTCTGCGGAAAAAAAAAAAAAACAGAAAGAGAGAGCTTAAAAAGAATTTCATCCATTAATCGCATATCCAGTGCTAAATGATAACTGTATTAAGAAACAGAACTTTAAATGCACAACGGAATTTTATTACGGTAGTTCTGTAAAAAAATAATTAAAAAAGGAAGGGTGAACTTAGAAATTTTGGGGTGTAAGAATAGAAAGTCATTTACATTCGTCTTGTTGTTGTTTCACATTAGTTGTTTCGATTGTTTTCTTCTGGGCAGCTGGAGAAGTCATGCTGGGCTTTAACTTCTTCCACCCGACTAATTTCTTAGCTCACCCTCGTGTATTGGAAAATATATTATACGAAAGTCAAGCCCAATAAATAATAGGTTTAGTTATTTTAATAAATCATTATTTATCTAATTTAAAAAATATCAAATAAATATGAATTAAATATATTTTTACTTAATAATTTAATGTAGATATAATTAGATTAGGTTATGTTGATTAGTTAGATGAGATAATTTAAAAAATATATTTATTAAAAAGTTATTTTAAAATAAATATTTTTTTTATAATTATAACATAATAGTGATATTTATTATACTTTAAACTTTATTCTATAATATTTTTTTCAAATATAATATATTAAATTATAATATTCTAGGATAATAATAAAAAAATTCATAAATAATAAAAGATCCATTTTATTAAATTTTAATAAAAAAAATACTACAAAATGACAAAGACAACAAAAATAGATAAAGAAAGAGAATAATAAAAAAATAAAAATAGAAAAAAAAATTATACTATATCATGTCTATTAATAATAGATAAATTTATTAATAAATAAATTTGTATATATTTTATTTAAGTAATTTTTAAAAAATATATTATCTATGAGATTACTATTTTAATTTTATTAAGATATTTCATTTTATTATAAATATTTAAATTGATTTTGTAATCTAAGATAAATACGTGAAAATTTAATTATTTTTTAATGATATTTATGCGTTTGGATTTTAAATTTCGCATCTCATCATATTTTTATAAAAAGAAATGTTATTTTTCTAAGAAAAATTTAAATAACACTTAAATAATATTAATATAAATTAATAAAAAATATTTTACTAAATATAATTTAAATAAATAAATATAAAAAAATTACTAGTAGATAACTGAAAATAAAAAAAGATCATAAATAAATAAAGAAAATCAATATATAATTTAAAATAAATTAAATATAAAGAATTTCACACTAGACAAAATAATATTTATATATTTTCTTTTATCTCTCGTCTACATTCTTTCTTGGTTTCTTTTCTGATTTCATATCTCATAACTCATTTGTATACTTAAAAGTTACTTTATTTTTAAATTTTATATTAAAAAACTTTTACGATAAACTTATCTTTTATTTTAAGAGATAAGCCCATTCTCATTTTTCTAAAAAATATATATATAACTTATTAATTGTTCATATATATATATATATATATTAAATTTTTTTATTTTTTAAACAATTTTTTATAATAGTTTAATAACTAAATGAATTTTTTATTATTACAATATTTAAATTATTTATAAATATTATAATTTAATGTATTATATTTTAAAAACTCGGTAAAGGTTGATGTTACTTCTTCTACTTAAAAGCTTTAAAATTTCTTTTGAATATTACAACATAAAATAGAACCTCTTATATATATATATATATATATATATATATATATATATATATATATATATATATATATATATATATATATATCCAATATTCACTGTGGACAACACCAAACGAAAAAAAAGTTATATTATTATTCAAACATATAATTACTTTCGGTTATAACTCAAATAAAACAACCAACGGAAATATTTAAATAGTAATTTTGTTGTTATAAAAGATTGAAATATTTTTAACAAATTTTAATTCGAATCCGACTGTTAATAGATTAGAAAAATTCAGAAACACATGTAAAATTATTTTCTTATTCAGTCTGAAAATATGGTTAATTTTTTAAAAATAAACTAAATTCTTATATTTTTTAAATTAAGATTTTTTTTTTGGTTTAAAATTTAAGAACTTAAGTTACATTTGATTGAAAATATAAAAAATTAAAAATAATTATTCTGAAAATAAAAAACTGTATCCCAATTGTTGACAACACATAAATCTATTATTTATTAATTTACCATTTGAGATTTCCACATGATTCTGCGTTGCCTGTGACTCAAGAGGAGATATATTTGCCTATTGGGTCGAATTTTTCAAAGTCCTATATATTTTTATTATTATTAATTATAAAGTTTTGTTCTTTAATTATGGATTCTTTTTTAAAAAATAGAAATTGTAGTACATTATATGAATTTTTAAAAATTATTTTAAATGAAAAAATGACATAAATAATTATGTAAAGACAAAATGAATAGAAAATTTTATAATAACAAAAATAATTGATATAATATAATTATTGATAATTTCTTTTAATTTTTAAAATTAAAAGACTAAAACTAATATTAATAAAAAATAAAGTTGCCTGTTTATTTAAATTCATTTGCTTTTTAATATGAGAACTAAAATCTAATTGAAAGTAAATAAATATGTTAGGGGGTGATTTCAGTTTTATTGATTATTTATTTAGCTTTAACTAATATTTTAGCTTATGAAAAAGTGTTTGCAAAATAATTGTGTTTGAAAAGTTGTAATTTTTTATTATCTTTTAATGTTTTTGTTTTTCATTACAGTTTTATTCATAATATTTTTTATATATAAAAGCTAATTTTTATATTTAAACAAAATTAATTATCTTAACATTAATTACTTTAATAAAAATATTTTTATTTATAATTTTTATTATGTAACAGTAGCGAATAATCAATTGTACATATAATTGATTATTAAAATAATCAATTTTTCATATCTCTTTAGGAGTGTTGTGTAGGGTTCATAATACCTATCTTGCCCCTGTCTTTCTTCATCACACAGGCTTCAAATTCGTGCTGACTCCGATTTGAGAAGAAGAAGAAGAAGAAAGGATGTTTCGAATTCGATTGTTATGGTTCACCTTTGGATTCACATCAACATACGCTGTGCTTTCCCAATACGTTTTGAAGGACTTGTTGGTTAAGCGTAACGCGCTTGCCTCTCGCATGGAACACGAGTTTCGCGTTCTCGAAACCAGAATCTCCCACCTCGAATCCTCTTCAACAGAACCATCATCTATTCCCGCTCCCGTTTCCGATCAGGTAATTCATTTTTCGTAATTTTTTCATCGCTATGTTCTTGTTATCGTTTCGATGGAGATTTTTCACATTTTAGGGTTTGCAATTCGGGGTTGATAAATAATGATATTCTGGCGCTTGCAATTTTCATCTTAATTAGATTTTTTGCGTATTTAATCCAATAAATTATGATCTGGAAAGCACAGTAATGGATTGGCTTGCACTTGTGACTAGACTGGTTACATCTGTCAATGAGGTTGTGAGTTTTATTTGCTCAATTAAATTTAATTCGGTATTGTTTTGTTGTGAATCTGGTGAAGGAGCAGTGACCTTTGATTCATAGAAAGCATATAGTTCACGGGCTTTGGATTTTTCTTGAGATTTTATATTCACTAATAGTATGGTTAAATTAATGGGGACAATCGTCATCCTCATAGCTAGCGTTTAGGTTCAAACCGAATTCTAAATTAACATCTGAGCTTATTCTTATAGTTGTTGTTAGACTTATTAGATTTCTATTATGAGTTTGTTATCAAACCACCTCTAGATATGGTTCTACCAACTTCATATTCAAAAATGTTTTGTTGACATGAGGATAATATGTTAGATCTCACATTCACCTCTTTTATAACTCAAATAGTATATATAAGTTGGGGAGAATCTTCATCCTATTAGCTACTTTTTGGAATTGAATTAAGTTCAAATCTAAATTCTAAGAATTTTAAATTTCACCAATCTTTTGTTTTTTCTATATTACAGTTAATACTTAAACTTCTATCTGTGAACACTTGAAAGAAGACAACACTAGATTTATGCTAGAGAAAGGTGCATATTAAGTTGGTGTCTGTTCTTTCCATCTATACTCAGCCATGTTTTCTGCTGCTGGTAATTTTAGTAGAGAGAGATCTTTCAGTTGCAATTACTTTTAATTCTTACCTTGATGCTCGTGATCACTCACATTTAACTAAGTGTGCATTGAAAAAACTTTTATTGTCTTTGGCAGGTTGAGGGTTAGATCTCAACTCCGGTGAAATGAGTTCTGCTAGGTTCTATGGGATTTATGCTTGATTCAACACGTTCAAAGAAGAAATGGCCAGAATAAAACAGACGCCGAGGCAACATTAAAATTCTTGCATGCTTTTCTTGTTGCCCTGGGAAATTAACTAATTGTGAGGAAAAAAATGAAAAAGAACGAAGTGAGTTTACTCTGTTGTGTTATTAATTATCATGCTTTACTTGTACAGCTCCAGGAGCTTGAACTTTTAACTCTCTCCTTATTAATAGCAAATTTTGATGAAATTTGATCCCCTTATTATGTTACCAAGATTCTCTGGTGGGTTTTGAGACTGCAGGGTGGTGCACTTGCTCATTCTATGGCTTTTCTTTGTTACTTGTTTTTTTTTTTTTTTTTGAGTCATCATCAATTGGGCATCAAAACAGCTTTTAAGGATTTGTTACTTGATTGTAATCAATACAATATAAACACTTATTGTGGTTAAATTTCGTGAAGTTTGGTTTAAACTGTTGAGAACCTGGATCCATGTCTCTATCAATGACTACACTCGAATCAATCAGCACAACCATTATCCAAATTCTAATGTTCTACACGATTTTTTTTTTCTGAGGATACTTTTGCGAAGGAAAATAAGTGAAAAAGATATACTTATAATCAGTGAATTTTAGTTTCTATTTCGCAGTTACTATCGATGTTTCTGCTTAACAATTTTTGGCAGGAAAAAATGCATTGGAAATATAGTTACATTTCGAGGTGGTATATATTCAAGCATTTTGTTTTTTCTCCTGGATGATAGATACGGTGATTTCATTTGGGAATTTGATTGATGGTGATTTCAGTTGGAAACTTGAAGATAAGACGTGAGAATTTTATCCTTATTTATTTTCTTATAAGTTCATTTTTAGTAGACGAAATTTTTGGTGTGAGAAGATTGTAATTATGTGAGATTTTAGTTTTAAAACAAAATAAGTTTTATTTTCACAATCTTTTATCTCCCATCGTAGAAACTCATTTAGTTTTCTCTAAAATTATAATTCTGAAATTTTGTTGGAATTCATTTTTCGGTAGTGGTGGAGTAGAAGAAATGTAATGAAAACAAATCAATTTGTGTCTATGTATAAGAGATTAGTATTTTAATTATCTGTTTGTTAATGGAGTGGATCTACGGGTATTTTAACCGTCTTGTTACTTGTTAATAGTTTTTATTTATTTTTTAGGTTAAAGTTATCAAAATAAAGTTATTGGTGGGAAAAAATATTAATTATTGAAGAATTATTTAGAATTTGAATTTATAGAGTGGAGTTTTTATCTAAATTTATGAAATTAAAGTTATTTTTAAAAATATTAATATTAACTTATTTGAATTAATATTTTATAAAAAAATAATTTTATTTATATTAATATTTTATATTATAATTTTTATTTAAATTATAATTTAAAATAAAAAATATTAAAGAATATATTTTAAAGAATGATTATTAACTAATCTTATTTAAAATAAAAATAAAATAAAATGTAAAATATGGGTGGGTGTTCATGGATATCCACTAGTATAAAAAAATTTGTGGGTTTTTCTCAAGAGAATACTCAACCAGTATTTGGTAGGTAATGAAGATATTATTATTATTTTTTTTATTTTGTGGGACAGTTTATGTCTATTGTATCCCATTGTTATCCTTCAGAGTATAATCTTAAGTTACATAATTACTTAAAAAAGTTTGATAGTAAAAATATTTAAAAAAGTTTGATAGTAAAAATATAAAGTAAAGAAAGTTAATTATTCATATAATAATATATTTATATTTGAAAAAAATATGTACCTTTCAATGTTAAGTGTATGTAGGCATAAATGTTTAGTTGTTTTGGTAATATGTTTTTAAGTAAATTTTTGGTACGAATAAGTTGTTTCGTTAGGTATGGATGTTGAAAAATGCTTTAGATAGGTAGAAGATATGAGTGAATCGATGGCGATTAAGCAACATGTTGTATCTCAGGTGAAAAATTATTTGATAATAATTCACTAAAACAAGAACCATATCATTCAAGTAAAAAAATCATATAAAAAATTGTTATGACTTGATTTTTTCTCAAGTTATGTATGATCTTTCAAATAAAAATATTTGCATAAAAGAAAGAATTGTCTTAATCTGTATTTTACTTCAATAACATGTGGTTATTCAAGCAAATAAGTAAACAAAATGAATAACTTGTTCAATAGACATTTTGTTTAAGTAAAGTGTTCATGTCACTTAAGTGAAATATTTTTGTTTATTGAATGAAACAGATGATAAAAAGTTGATAATTAAGGAATATACATGTTTCGCTAAGTTGATTATGGAGTATCATTTGTTTTGCTTATACTCAATTAAGATATGTATTATGATATTAGATAAATCAGTTTAAGACATATAGTCCATAAATGATACTAAGTGCTTCAGGATGTACTATATCTGCAAAAATTCAATGGGATTTTAAATTTCACTTGTGGTCTCATTCATGTAGATTAAGAAATTACTGATGACTTATTTTAAGATTTAAAAAATATGTAGATCAAGATGGATACAAATTTTAGTAGTTTCACTTTATAAATAGAAATAGTAAAAAAATATCGGTTGTAGTATTAGTTTCAATATAATGACTTTTTTCGTTTAAAATATAGTATCAGTCCTTGGAAAAATGTGAAATTGTGACGAAAGAGACGTGTAAATATTATTTGAATGTTTTAACTTATCTTCTATTTCTTGTTTTTGTTAAGGATTATGTTATTATTTATGTGATCCAAATATTAACAATATATAATATTAATTTTATATATATTTAGTATTTTATTATATAATTTTATGCTTAATAAAAATCACTTTATATTAAATAATTATTAAATATGTTCTATACTCAATATATATTTAATATTTAACCTAATCAATATAAATTTAATATTTTAGGATGGTTTTGTCCTGGAGATAATTCATGGTTATATTTTATTAGAATTTGTTCGTCCTTTGAAAAAAAAAAGTTAAATCGAAATTTTGTTTTTCAACTTTATTGTTGAAAGTTTTAAAATATTTAAATTTATTTGGTTTTAAATTTTTCAAAATTTTTTATATTTTAATTAATTAAGTTATTTCTTTATTAAATCTATATATTGGAGAGAAATAAATTGAAAAATATAGACGAAGCCAATATAATAAAAAAAACGTTAATTTCAAAGTACCTTTCCCTTATTTACGTACTTTATATTTTATTTATCTTTTTCAAATACTTTTATTTATTTCTATTTTAAATTAATTTTAACAATTTTCTAAAACATATTTGTAACTAATCTTTTATTTCATTTTAGCTATTTTAATATTTATCTCATTACACTTCTTAAAGAAATTGTGTTTACGTAACAATAAGTTTGTTTATAAGGAGGGGTATGAAGTGAAATTTGCTGTATACAGATAACTTTACCGATCTTATTCCATTTGTGTCCATTACAAAACCTTCTTGGTGATTTTGATTTGAGAAAAGAGAAGAAGAAAAAAATGTCACAAAATTGATTCTTATGGTTCACACTCTTGGATTTGCGTGGACTTTCTCGTGTTATTTTGAAGAACTTGTTCATCTCTCACATGGATCGTGAGTTTCGTCACCTTGAAGCCAATCTCTCCAAAAACGAATCATTTTTCTCTCGTCATTCTTCGTTTACTTCAACTTCAACTCGCTCACCATCAAGTAATTTTATATATATATATATATATATATATATATATATATAAAAGGAGAAATCCTACATCACTAAAGAACCACTATTACTATATAAATAGGTTGAAAAATTATAGAAGATATGATATTCTTATAAATAATTCACATTTTATAGTAAAATTTCTTAAAAAATTATGAAATACTTAACTTAATTTTATAAAACAATTCATTATAAAATAAAAATAATACTCACTTATACACTAAGTTGAGATTTCTTAACATATATCTTTATATTTAGAATTTTTTTTATCACACTTTCTCGTATCAAGAATGAATGTCTAATATTAGTCCAATAATAAATAATCTAGTTAATTTTTAATGTCTCAATATTTTTAGAATTGATTTTGATATCATCTTAAAACATATAAATAAAATATATTTATTATTTGATATAAAATAAAATATATACCACCTATTTATAAAATACAAAATATGTATTGTCAAGAAACTAAAATATTTTACCATTATACCAAATCCTAATTAAATAATAATATATAATCTATACACTAATATTTTATATAAAAAAATAAAACGTAAATCTCACCCTTGAATTACCTTACATTTTTTAAATCATTATAATTAATTATTATATATTGAATATTATCTCTTTTTGAAATTCATTAAGATTTTATTCTTAAAAATATATTAGATTAAAAGAAAAAAATGCTTTTAAACGATATTTTAAAAATCAAAATTAAATATGATTTATATATACTTCTTTTAGAAATAAGATCATTATTCAATAACTATAAAATAAATATATCTTTAATACCATCGTGAAATAATTATATTAATTCTTGTTATTATGGAGTCGATAGCTTGCTGAGAAAAAGCTTTTATTCTCTTTGGCATGTTGAAGTTTCAGCTCCAGTTCAAGATTCATACTACTCCAGCTTTTAGTCTCTTTTATCAATTTTTTTTACAGCATATTAATATTATGCTTTAATTTAATTATTGAGCTCATTATATTATATTCAATGAAGGTTTAAATAAAATTATGTAACAGTATGTACACGAAATATCTGAATTGTTTAAATTTAAAATAAACATAAATGAATAATAAATAGTATTCATCCAATTATATACATGTTCGTTAAATTATAAATATAACACGAGAGCAATATGATTAATTGAAGAGGACAATATTTCTAATTCTATATAATTTAATAACAAAATATTTACCATTATCAATATTTCTTTAATTCTTATATATAAAAAACAATTAAAAGTTTGATTTACATCTTTGTGAATATGTAATTATTCTCCACAATAAATATTTGGTTTAATGTCTATTTTATTTACCGGTTTAATTTTAAAAAGATTGATTTCAAAGGCTATTATATCATGTTTTTATCAAGTTGATTATATGTAATCAAGTTTTTTATTAGATTTTTGGATTTTAAATATATTTTTATTTTGGTGATTAGGAAATAATTTATTAGACATGTTTTGGTTTATATGAAGCATTTCAGTATTTTTACCATAAATAATCCATAAAAATAATTGTAGTAGTTGTTTCAAGTTAAATAAATATAAATTAATTATAATCAGAATTGACTAATTTTAATATAATTAAAAAATAACCAACAAATAGATTACATATTTACGTAAAACTTTTTTGTTACCTGATCATACCCTATTTTAAATATTCCTTTTAATTTATTCTAACGTATCTCTATCTTTAAACTAAAATAAATATTCTTAAAAAATATTTTATTCATGATATTTTTTTCTCTTTTAATCTTTTATGTTAATATTTAAAAAAAAAAACTATATTTAACAGCAAGTATATAAGAAGGAGGCATAGGATGTGGAATCAGTATTGTAAGGGTTAATTTCAGCGATTTTCTTTCTGCACTATACAGTTTTAGTGGTGACTCTGAATTGAAAAAGAAGAATAATGACTCAAAATAGAATGTTATGGGTTTACTTTGGGATCGCATCTGCATATGTTGAGCATTCCCATGGGGTTTTGAACATTCTCTTTCGTTCTCGCATGGATCGTGAGGTTCGTAATCATCAAAGCCAATTCGCAGAACTTGATTCTTTACCAAATCCTTCTTCTTCTGCTTCAACCTCTCCATCAAGTAATTTTCTATTCGTTTAATGCTTCTTTTCATTTCATTGTTTATTCATTTTTCTCCATCAACGTTATTAAATTTTAAGATCGGATCATATTCATAGAAGTTCTATCTGCTGTTTTCCTAGAAAGTTAAATCCATTTGCTCACAAAAAATAATTGTTCTCTTTTGCAGGTATGCTTTCTTCGGGAATTTTGATAGATATGATTTTCAGCTGAAGCAACTTTCAATGTCTTTACTTTTTTTTTTTTTTCGATTACAAATTAACCAATTTTGGGGAAAATGTTTTGCCATGTTATCAAATATTATATCATGTTTTAGTTATCAAGCTTATTATATATAATCAACATCTTAAATTAAATATTTGTTCATGAAAAAAATTATACTTATTTTAAGAATTTGATATTTAATCTTTAATTGCAATCGCATCCCTTTATAATATTTAATTTTATCTTAAAATTTCCACGTAATTTTATCATTAAAAAATAAACAATATTTTATATTTATCAATTACATCGACTAAATAATAACAAAATGTATAATAATTAATAATAAGAAAAAGATATATTATTGATTTAATGTACGTTTATTGGATATATAAATTATAAATCTGGTATGCAAATCAATTTGCATCATATTTGATTAATTTGACTTGAATTGAAATAAATTAAACTAAAATTGTATACCTGAACATGTGAGATTTAAAATTAAAATTCAAAGCTCCTATTAATAATTTTGATAGGAGGTGAAGAAATTACCGAGTTAATGGTTAGAATAAGAAAACATTCTGATTTATTAGAAAAAGTGAAATGAGATTAAAATGTGGTAAAAAATTTATGAAAGTTTTAATATAATATAACAGTTTAAATAAATTAAAATAAAATCTTTAATAATAACTTTTATCTCTCATAGTCAATTTAAAGCAAGATTCTATATATTATTAAATATAATATTCTTTTTTACTCTTAATATATTTTCTTTCCACTTTTAATCACACCCTTTATATACTTTTCATATCATATATTATCTCTTCATTATCTTCGTATAACTATAATCAATATTCACTGCGATTTTTTTATTATGATTTAAAACAAATTATTAAAGGTAAAATAGGAAAATAATTTGTACATAATCACTTTATATAATGATGATAGAGATAAAGAATAGATTAAAAGTGTGTAACAGAAACAATTTAATAATTTTTTAAAATTCACTAGAGAATAAAATATTTATTTAAATTTCTTATTATGATGTTAAATAACATAACTGGTACTTGCTTTTTATTAAGATATCTATAGTAAAAACTAAAGCCATGGTAGCAACTGAAATCATCATTTGCAATGTTAAGATTGTCGAGGCTATTATGTCATTATGTATTGTTTTTTCCTCACTTCGATATTCCATAACCAAAGAATTGTATTCTCGTATATCGAAGGAAGTTTCTGCATGGACATGTTGAGATTAAAAATGTCTTGGTTTGTTATGGAATGATCAAAAAGATGTGCGCTGATGAAGGAAATATTGTATGCTAAAGAGATGTACAGTGACACATCGATCAAGAGAATAATTTTGTATACCATAGTCATTAATGAGAGGAACAAGAGAATATTGAATTGTATGCTACATCATTAGCAACCAAACTATAACTTCATGTTTTAGAGATTTAATTTTTCCATACAGGAAGGATCCCCTGTGCTGCCAAACGTTTTTCAACCCAAAAGATAATGTGTTTTGCTGTAATCTTCTTTTCATCAACAAGAAAAGGCTCAACAGTGCTTGCTCCTCCGTTGTATGATGACACAGAAAACCCCTTTGGACCTGCTCAAGGGAAACCCATTATGATGCTATCAATGGTTGTATGGTGCCACTTTCTCAAGCAAACTAAAAACATGGTACCTACCAGTAAGTCCTGTGGGAAAGAAGGCCCAAAATGAATAGGGGTTGCCTTTCTTCAAAAAGGAACCTTCTAACTGTCAATCACAACACAATCAAAAAGGAACCTTCATCAAATATTTGGAACATCAATGGAAAAATACTTTTAAAGGATGCAGTAACATTATTCATATAAATATGAAGAAACACTTCATTGAGTGTTTCAAATTTTAGTTTTGCTTCACAAAACTGGCTTCAATTTGAGGGGGATCATTTTTTCAGACTAAATTGCATTCATTACAAAGACTAATCCGAATGTTGCAGGGAACTTGAGAAGAATATCAAGAAATTAGTTGATAGTTCCAAACCATCACATATCCACAGTCTTGACTAATTTATATTTGACATGTATTTAAGATTTTCAATTTATGAAGAAGTGTTAATAACACTCAATTACTTGTGTCATGTAGAGATTAATGACGACCATAATGGTCTTGAACTGCATAATAGTTTCGCATAGTATAACTACATTACTAACCTTGTTGTCCTTAAAGACAAGCTCAATATTGGAGAAATCTTCTTGGGCTTCGAATATTGCTTTCAATGAAGGGATCACATCATCCTCCATCATCTGAGGTAGAGGCTTAACTTGGGCTTTAGCTGGAGGTATTTTTGCTGGTGCAGCTTTTGGAGTTTCCTTTACCTCCTCCTTTGTTTCAGCAGTGGCTAAGGCCAGAAATTGCAATATCAGGTTCAATTAGACTATTCAGAATCATCCCAATGCAAAATTTTAATAAATAAACCAAAGAGTTTTCAAACTTTTTATGTAGAAACACACCTGCTGTGCTAGGAGATGATTCTTGAACAGCAGAGCAGGTGATTCTGTGTCTGCTGGCCGATTTATATTTAATTGCAATCTGCAACACAAAAAGAACAAATATTCAAAAGAAACTTCACATCATTTGGTAACCTCAACACAACAAAAAATTGCTATAATTGAAATATCACAATATTTCAGTTGTATAAGTTCAATAAATTAGAATTATCTCATCCAATACTTACAAGTGAAAGCTGTAACTAAAGTCCTTGGATGGAAAGAGAAATAAATAATGACACATAAAAATTTCTTAATGGATTAAATTTTAGCTGAAACTGAATAATCAGAAAGACATACCAAAGGTAGTGAAGGTGGTGATGATGATGATGATGAGGTGGGTATGGCAACATTCTGAGAGACATACGAAGTTGATGGTAATGAACACAAACGAAAGCTAGAATCTCCAAGTGCTCCACCTCTTAACAAAATTGCCATTTGCATTCTTTCTCTCTTAATGCTTTGATTGTGTTCTTTTTCTTTTCCTTTTTTTTTTTTCTAATTAGTCACCAACCATTTTTTTTTGTCAGTGGTTTGTTAATGGTTTTAGTCAGAAATATGCGTGGGAGGAACAAAATGAAAGAACCCTCTGATCCACATGGTGCTTGAGACAATAGGTACCACTGATTTTGAACCCTTTTCTTCTATCTATCTTTTTAAGAAAAATAAATAAATAAAAAATTTCACAATCTGGGAACACTAGAGTACAAAATTAAGAGTGGCATAAGTAGTGACCACAAGTGGCAATCAATCTATGAACAAGTTTCAACCGTGAATAATAAAATTGCTATAGACAAATCAAACACAACTTCAGCTTGTTTTTTTCTTACTATTTTTTCCAACACCACTACACGGTTTCTCCAATAATTTCTCACCACTTTCTAGAGTTTTACGTTCAGTAAAATAGAAAGTGGTAAAAAAAAAAAAAACGTTACTTGCATACGTGGAAAATCATATAACGTAAGCATACTTCCCTACCGTAGATCCTTCACGAAAATTTCAGCTATAGATAACGAAGTTAAATTACAATAGTCATGAATATAACTTTGACAATAGACAAAATAAAAAAAAATGCTTCTTTCTTTTAGTTCTAATAAATTTATAGGTAAAATGTTTTTTTTTTTATTGTGAGATGTTTAGAATTAAATCATATTTTTATTTAATAAATTTATAGGTAAAAAATATGAGAAAAATTAATGAGAATGAGAAGTGAAAATATTTTAGCTAACTGTACACGTTGTCCTCACAAATCTAACCATTAACATTAACAAAATTAAATTTTGAATATTAATTTATCGTGCAACAAAATAAATTGAATAGCCGAGATTGGTGCGGTTGCACTTAGAACCGTAGAGGATCGATATTCCCAAAATTAAGATATATTGGTACCTTTAAATTAAGGAGAAACATAACAGGAGCAAAGAAACTCAAGAGTCAAGACCATAGAAATTACATATTGCTATACATATCAAAAGGGTAAAAATACCTTGAACAATTAACAATGCAGTCTATTAAGAATAAATTCAAGAAAAGTATTACACCGTTTTTCCATTAAAATGTGTATTAAATTAATAAGAACAATGGCGGCAAATCTGATCCACAAGGCTAGCTTCTTTGTGTCGTTCTAGTTCTCTTTTTGGTAGGCACATTGTTAGAAGGAAGAGTTTTCTGCTTGAAGTTTTGAACCATGTTGTACACCTGCAGCAATATGGCAATTTCAATAACAAATTATGGTATCAGGGTATAAAGCAAGATGAATAAAAGAGACATCAAATTTTATCCTTGACTGCATTGAAGCGAAATCTTTACCATATTGAATTATCTTACACACAGCATAAATATACATTGATAAGTACTATTTAATGGATTTAATCATAGAGATCAATCCATGTGGACACACAACATTAGTCATACACTAGTGGAAAAATAGCTTTCTATGACGGGTTTTTATCACGGTCGTAATCCACCCGTCATAGTATGTGGCGCGGTGGCAATTTTGTAATAAAATCATAAACTTTCTATGTCGGGTAAGTTTTAACCGACATAGTAAGTGGAAAGGTCACTTTCTACGTCGGTTAAAATTTACCCGACATAGAAAGTTAACTTTCTATGTCGGGTAACATTTACCCGACGTAGAAAATGAACTTTCTATGTCGGGTAAATTTTAACCGACGTAGAAAGTGTCTTTGATGACGGGTGTTAGAGCAACCGACATAGTATCTTCTGTTTTGCCCTCCCCCACGCTCCATTTCATTTCATCACTTCCCCCCCCCACTCCATTTCATTTCATCACTTCCCCCCATAGCGAGCTCCCCGTACGTTTCTCCCTACGCTCCATTTCCTTTCATCAGTTCACCCATACCGAGCTCCCCCGTTCGCTTGTATACGTTTCTCCGCACCCACATTTGCTCGTCACGCCACCTGCCAACGCTTTGTGCCGCCTGCTGCTACCGGTGCCCGTCGCCTTGGATACGTTTCTCCCCACCCGGCTCCGCACGTCACGCCACCTGCCACCTCTGTAGGTCTTCAAGAGGTAAGTTTTCGTGCTTGCTTTAGCCAATGTAGGTTTACAGTATTGAATCTAGTAAGTAATAATGCTTGTCAAGAGAGGGAAACATCACGGGTGCCTTTAGCTAATTTAGAGATGTATTGTAAGTAGTTTAGTCATTTGAATGTGTTTCATGTCGGCATTCTTTCGTGATTTTGATTTTGAACATTAGATTTGTATTATAATGTAGTTATTTTGAGAGTGGAGTTGGATTTCGTGTAGGCATTATAATGTAGTTATTTCATGTTTCGTAGCTAATTTGATTTTGAAAATTAGATTTGTAACAATGGATCGGAGTTGGATCAATTACGGACGAACAACAAATGAATATGAGAGTGGAGTAGAACAATTCCTTGAATTTGCTAAGATGAATGTTCCGGATAATGATGGAAGATTCTATTGCCCTTGTGTTAACTTGCTTGAATGAACGAAGATTACCGATCGAAGTTATTCGGGAACATGTTCTTTGTGATGGTTTCCTAAAGAGTTACATAAAGTGGACATGGCATGGTGAATTATTAAACATGCCAAGTGTAGAAGACAAAGAAGAAGTTGATCTAGAGATGGATGATCAGCTGGAGGAAATGATTCGTGAGCTTGGACAAGATGCCTTCCAACACACACATGTGTACGAGAAGTTGTCCAATGATGCAAAAGAGCCTTTGTATACAAATTGTACTAAGTTCACACGATTGTCGGCGGTACTAAAATTGTTCAATGTGAAGGCAAAAAATGGGTGGACTGATAAAAGTTTCACAGAATTGCTTGAGTTGTTGAGTGACATGCTCCCTGAAGGTAACACATTGCCAACCCGCAATTATGATGCTAAGAAGATAGTGTCCAATGGGTATGGAGTACCAAAAAATTCATGCATGTCCGAATGATTGTGTGTTGTACAGGAAAGAATTTGAGAAGCTGTCACGAATGTCCACAATGCGGGGAATCACGATACAAAAAGAAGGATGGTGATTACGACAATGATGTTATGAAGGGTACCCGGCAAAAGTGTTATGGTATCTTCCCATTGTTCCAAGGTTGAAACGATTGTTCACTAATGGAAATGATGCAAAGCTCACTAGATGGCATGCGAGATAGTCGTATTAAAGATGGTCAGTTGAGGCATCCAGTGAGATGGATTGCAATGGAAAAAAATTGATTCCATCTTCCGAATTTTGGTAATGATCCAAGAAACATTAGGTTTGGACTTGCTACGAGATGGAATGAATCCATATGGAAATTTAAGCGATAAACATAGTTCATGGCCTGTGGTGTTAGTTATTTACAACTTACATCCGTGGTTGTGTATGAAACGTAAGTACTTGATGCTATCTTTGATGATCTCGGGTCCCGAGACAACCTGGAAATGACATTGATGTTTTTTTAAGCCCATTGGTTGAAGAGTTGAAGATGTTGTGGGAGGAAGGTGTTGATGTGTTTGATGGGTACACAGGTGACTTATTCAAGTTGCGTGCAATGTTATTTTGTACAATTAATGACTTTCCGAGCATATGGTAATTTGAGTGGCTACAGCACAAAGGGACATAAAGCTTGCTCGATATGTGAAGAAGACACATGTCACTATCAACTACAACATGGAAGGAAAACGAGTAGTACCTTGGACACCGAAGATTTCTTCCTTCAAACCATTCATATCGTAAATTAAAAAAATCATTTAACGGGTGTCAAGAAAATGATGCAGCCCCAACACCTTTAAGTGGGGAAGAAGTATATCAACGAGTAAGTGCAATTTCGTGTGAGTTTGGAAAGACGCAAAAGAAAGCCACAGGTATATGGAAGAAAATGTCAATCCTTTTTGTTCTTCCATATTGGAGGGTTCTTGATGTGAGGCATTGTATAGATGTCATGCATGTAGAGAAAAATGTGTGTGACAGGTATCATCGGAACGCTCCTTAACATTCAAGGAAAAACAAAAGATGGTGTCAATGCTCGTTTGGACATGGTTGAAATGGGTATAAGAGAACAATTAGCTCCTCAACCTCATGGTAACCGAACATACTTGCCTCCAGACATGTCACACACTTGTCTAAAAAAGAGAAAAAAAGTTTTTGTAAGTTTTTACGAGGTGTGAAGGTTCCATTTGGTTACTCTTCCAATGTGAAGAGACTTGTATCTATGAAAGATCTCAAATTGCTTGGGTTAAAATCTCATGATTGTCATGTATTGATGCAACAACTTCTACACTGTGGCTATTCGAGGTATCTTACCGAGACAATGTTAGATATTCCTTAACTTCGATTATGTTTTTTTTAATGCCATATGTAGTAAAGTTATGGACCCGGATGTTTTGGATCAGTTAGAGAATGAGGTCACAGTAATATTATGTCAATTTGAGATGTACTTTCCTCCATCATTTTTTGATATTATGGTTCACTTGATTGTTCATCTAGCCAGGGAAGTTAGAATGCTGTGGTCCAGTTTTCTTACGATGGATGTACCCTTTTGAGCGATACATGAAAATATTAAAAGGGTATGTGAAGAACCAATATCGTCCTGAAGCATCAATTGTTCAAAGATATATTGTAGAGGAAGCTATTGAGTTTTGCACAAACTACTTATCGAAGTTGAAGCTATAGGGTTACCTAAGACTCGTTACCATGGAATAGGTCTTGGTAGAGGAACTCGAGGTGCAAAAGTTGTGACAATGTGTCGAGATGAAGTACTTCAAGCGCATTTGTACATATTGAATAACAGTGAAGAAGTCATCCCCTACTTAAGTGCTCATAAAGAGATTGTGAAGCGAAATAATCCACGTATGCCTAAAAAGTGGGTGATCACTGAACACGACAAGAGCTTTTTGAAGTGGTTTAAACAACAAGTTGAAGGTGACAATACGGCTTCGATACACTAAAGTGGCTAGCATGTGAGCCAAACTTTGATGTGATATGTTGGGGTGGGTATGATATAAATAACTATTCATTTTATACAAAGGGAGAAGATGAAATAAGCACAATGCAAAATAGTGGAGTCATGGTGGTGGTCGAATCAATGCATTTCTCGAGTTCAAAGGATAAATATCCGATAAGGGCGTCAATGGGCTACTTTGGTGTAATTGAAGAGATTTGGGTAATAGATTACACGATATTCAGAGTACCTATTTTTAAATGCAAGTGGGTTGATTTTAATACTGGCATCTTCACCGATGATCTTGGATTTACCTTGGTTAACCTTGAAAATACTCGTTATACAGAAGAACCATTTATCATGGCATCTCGGGCAAAACAAGTGTTTTATGTCACTGATCCCGCTAACAAAGGATGGTCAGTGGTTCTACAAGGAAAACCCATGTATACTTCGATGAGAATGATGAATTAGTACTTGATATACCGAGACACCATGTTTCTCTTCAAATATGCCAAACTTGAGTGTTAATGTAGAAATAGATGATGTGCATGCCATCCGTTATGACCATATGCAAGGATTTTGGGAGAATGCTCCAACTTGATAGGAAATTTAAGCATTCAATCTTCATAGGAAATTTAACTTGTAACAATTTAGATAGAATTGATTTAAGTTAGGAAATTTACATTTGTTTAAGTAAATGAACTGTCTGAAGCTGGATCTGTCCGTACATATATTCATTTCAATGTGTTTCATATGTACATATCATCTGCAACTGAATCGTACTGTCTTGGATATATATCTGTAGCAAATTTATATATGAACTGTGCATATCTATGCATGCTTGGATATGTGGTTATTTGTGCTGGAACTGTGATGAATAGCGAGTCTACTCGAAGAAAGGTAGCATCTCGTAAATAAAATGCAGGTATTTTAAAAAAAATAACACTTTCTACGTCGGTTATGTCATTACCGACGTAGAAAGTACTTTCTATGTCGGTTATAAGTGTTAACAGACATAGAAAGTATATGATTGATCAGAACCAGTTATGACCGATCAGAATAACTCATACAAAATAAGACTTTCTACGTCGGTTCCACGACTAGCCGACGTAGAAAGTCTTTGCATGACCGATCGAGAACCTGTTATGATCGATCAAGATAGCTCTATGGCCGATCATAACCAGTTTGACCGATCATAATAGCTCAAAGAAAGTAAGGCTTTCTACGTCGGTTCCTATTAACCGACGTAGAAAGTCTTACTTTCTACGTCGGTTATTAGGAACCGACGTAGAAAGCCTTACTTTCTATGACCCCCGTATCTATGTCGCCGCTTTAACCGACGTCGAAAGCCCATTTTAACCGATGTAAAAAGCCTTTTCTGCAGTAGTATGCATTTCAATTGTGGTTCTCATGGCTGTTTCAAAGACTTCCAATAGTGTAAAATTTTGTTTGTTTGGAGGATATCCTGCATACCAGCCAAGTTGAACTCTTATAATACCTGAAAATTCTATGAAAGGGCTAGCAGATATGCTATATAATTCTTTTCTAAATTAACTATGGTGCAAATCTAAGATGCTAACATGTGAAAATAATATCCCGCTTGTGGTTCTGAAATTATGAAGTAACACACACCTAAAAATTGATCAGAGTTAGAAAGATTATGAAACTAAGGGAAATTCTGGAATATTAAAAGCCTAAAACGAGGTGAATTTGTTGCATAAATTCACATTTTTATAAAGGGACGCATTGTTAACATATTTGGAGGACATTTGTAATTTTCCAAATTGAGGACAGTGATTAAGGTTTCTCATTCCACTTGCTCAATGCACAAGCATGAGACCTAAAAGTAGTGGTTAAGGTCTTTTCTGTCCATTAACACTGAGGAAAGTGTTAAAATTCCTAATAAGAGTCACACACTTTTCAACATATTTATAGAAGTTAAGAATGACAAGAATTGCCTGTTTGGTCGCTAAGTAAAGAATGCTACCTTTCTTACACTTGTTGTCAGTCCCATACTAGGAAGTGCATTGCTGTAAACGCACTTCCAAGTTGTTTTATCGTCTGGGCTTTTGAACAAATCATCTATTCCTCCTTCCAGAAGAAAAAAGTTAACATTAGCACAAAAAAGCAGCCTGTGCAAGTAAAGTAAGTATGATCTGGAAGAACCAACAAACTTAGGACAAGTTTGGAGAAAACTCTTCCATAAGCACTTCTAAAAAAATGAAATTATTTTCTCCATAAGCTAAAATTAGTTTATACAAGAGTGAAAAGTCAAATTTTGGAAAAAAATTATAGGAAATAACTTCTATAAATTAGCTCATTTTTCCTTCTTATTTTTCTTTTTTAGAAGTGTTTATGGATAAGTTTTTTTCCAAACAGACCCTTAATTCAACTAGCAAGTTGTAGTGCCATATAGAAGAGGCTTTCACCTTTAAATTGTAACACTAGCAATTCAACATACAACTTGAGGCGAATGTGACTGAAAATGTGAACAAATTCCCCAATATCTTCCCTCAAAACTATATTGCAAGCCTTTCTGACATCAATTTTGAAATTTGCTTTAAGGAAGTGATCCATTGCTTCTCTTCTAGAAGACGGAACTGTTTCTCCATCCAGTGAGACAGATGGAAACTCCCACAGACCAGCAAGCAACCCTTCTTCAGGCCTTTTAACAAGAATAAACTTGCTAATAGACTGATTTTTATCTAACAATGTTTCAGCTCCAAATAACTCAACAACACATACAGCAGAAAAATCACGTCTTTGTTTAACCTTCACACCCTTAACAGGATAATCTGTAACAGCTACTGTACTATCATGTTTAGCATTTGATAGTGCATGACAAAATTCTGATGCTGGACATGAGGAACAGCTTGGGTTCAAAGGGGTGCAAACAGTTGCCCCAAGTTCCATGAGAGCCTGATTGAAGTCCCCAGGACGAATGGGATCAACCAACTGAGCTGCTAATTTCCTTAATCTCCATTCCAAACCAACAAAATAAAAGGTAAATGAAAAGCAATACAAGCTTGGTTCTAAAATAAATAGATAGTGCCAATATCAAATTAGTAAACTAACCATGGTCTACTAACAATCTATCATATGTACCTTAGGTACAACGAATAAAAAAAAAACGACACCTTATTTAGATTTTAGAGACACATTATATAAGATAAGAAACTCAGAGCTACCATTCTTTTCAATTATCTGTCCCAATGCATGTGCATCCCCATTAGTTGTGTGGTAAAGAATGCAAGAAAGATTTAAAAATGACTTTACTACCAATATGATAGGCTCGACACAATATATCCCACAACTACCTTTGCTAGATGTGCAATTTAATGCATAAAAAAATTTCTTTCTTTCCTACTGTTTCTTAACCGGGTAAATGATTTGGTGAGAACTGAAATAACAATATTATATAAATAAATAAATAAATATATCTTCATTGGTGTTGAATAATTTGTTCCAGAAGTTGACATAAACTCACCAAAATCTCTTAACGGTTGCTGAGTCTTTTGGATTCGCAGAAACAGCCCTTAGTCTAGCAATCACCCTTACCACATTTCCATCAACAACAGGTACCACCTGATAATCTAAAGCATTAGCAAGAGCCAAACTTTTATGGAACCAAAATCACAGAAACTTCCCACCTCTTTAAATGCAATAGAAGCAATTGCTCCAGATGTGTAGTCTCCAATTCCAGGAATCTTTCGTAGCATAGAAGCCATTTTAGGAATTTTGCCTCCTTCTGCAACTATTTTCTTTGCCCCCTGACAGCAGAAATGGAAAGAATTTGGTCAAACATTGCAGCATATATTGGTAAATGTAAATTATCCCTAATTCATCAACATTTTTACTTCCTTTAAGTAGGACGTTCCTTCTCATTACTCCTTACACAACATGAGATTGAGGATCTTTCAACATATATCAAAAGCAAATAATGTTTTCTTCAACAAGACATTAAAGGTCATGAAGAACCTTCAGATACTCTAAGTTTGGCAATATCCAGTAATACTGGACTAGTATATGAATTATGAGATTTTGATGCATGCATTAAATTTAAATGTCCTGTCTTTTACTGCTTTCACTAAGAAGGCAGAAACTATACAGCGAAGAAGGGTTAGCACCATGATTAACTATTTCAAAAACAGTCTAACTTATAGGCTGTACTATTAAGATATATGTAAATATATTTATATATTTACATACATCTTAATTTGTACGAAAAGATAAAATGCAGAGGGAGATAGAAACACTTGTCAATTGTCATGAGAGACCACCTCAAAAAGAAAACGTGCTCTTCGGTAGTAGCCCAAACCTGCCCACATCTCATTTACTTCCTGAACAAAAATGGCAACCATCACATGGTGAAGATACAATTAGTATTCAAATCACAACAACTGTTTTCAATTTGTAAATACATTTACACAAAGCAAACACAATTTCATCAAAAAAAAAAAAAAAAAAACACAGAACAAAGAAATCAGAACAAATAATCTGGTAATGATATCTAAACTAGTCCAAAGCACATAGGGTTACAGTTACAGAGGCTCCTAATGTATAGGGTAGGGTGCCTTCAGAAACCTTCAACAGCCTTGTTTGCGAAATTGTAATTCAAAATTCCCTTTTCTTCTTAAGCGAAGCGCTAAAACCTTGGTTTCAATAATAAACAACCAAACAACAACAACAACAAAAACAAAAATCAACTATCTTCAAGCAGAGGCATCTCCACTACCATCTGGTTATTTTGTCAAATTTGTTTAAAAACATTAACCAAACTTCACAAACTACCAACTAGAAGCTGAAAACATGGCATCAAAGTATCAGCCCAAAAGTACATAACTTGTTCAGACCACAACATTTAAGTATAAATAATATTTTGCCAATTTTCATGACACAACGGACCATGATAACTGATCAACCTAACAGTTGCATTGATGTGCAGGGGTATCTTAACTACCCGTCAAAATACACATCAGAATAAACAGTCTTTAAAAGAAAAAATGAAAAGAGGGAGGGGAAAAGCAAAGGGAACAAAACCTCGAGAGAAGCTTGTGCAAGATGGTGAATGGTGGGCCATTTTTTCATCCAACGGTTGTAATAGGCAATAACAGTCTGAACCCTAGTTTGCTGCAGCATAACCTCCGAAACCCACACCCCATAAGCTCTTCTTTCCACTTCTTCTTCTTCTTCTTCTTCTTGTTTTTCTTCACTTTCACGGTGATGTGTTCTCCAAGGAAGGTCCCTGTGGTTGAGGTCGTACCAGTCCAAAAGGGCCACTCTGAGTTTTTGAGTCTCGTCTCTGGAGAATGATATCCCGTCCTCAATGTCTTCCACTTCCACCAAAGGCTGCGGCTTTTTGCTCGCCCCACCATTGCTCATTCTGCGCATATTCTTCTTCTTCTCTGACATGTCGGAACCTAGTGGTGATGGTGACAGTGAAAAACTCAAAAACATAGAAGTGTTTTGCAACTTAACTCCATTGGAATAGAAAGAGTTGGGTAAGAAAATAGGAATGCAGAGCGGAAGTTTGGCCTCCACCTCAAAATTTAAAAAGATCTGCGTTAGGTATTTTATATCTCCCTACTTTAAATCAAACTCAAACACCAAGTGATAAAAAAAAAAAAAAAACTATGTCCAATATATAATTTGGTTTAATTCTCTTTTCTTTTTTTCATTTGAATTTTAACACTTGAGCACCTTTAAATTTTATGAATTTTATTCAAAATTATATATATTTTTACCTTCTTAACAATGTATTGTGTAATTATATGGTTAATGTAAATTGATTTTCAGTCTAAATTTAAAATATGTATTGTATTTTAAATTTTAAATTATATTTGTTATTTCAAAAACTTTGTATTTTACATATTTTAAAGATAGTTTTGTAAGATAATCGGTATATTTTAAACTTTTACAAATAGTTAAATAAATCAATGTTTAGAGTAAAAAATGTTTTAATAAATTAATAAATATAAGTTTCAATATATTAGTAAGAGTTCAACTATTTAAAAGATTTGTTTTTTTTTTCCAAAAACTAGACTTAATAAGACAAATAATAATATGTTTTATGCTCGAGTGTAGATTTGAAGAGAAATAATGACCCTATTTCTTTAAGAAATAAAAGTAAATGTAGAACGTAAATTTATCTACAAAATTATGAAAATATGATTAATGAGTTATGTCATGAAACTAATTACTGCAAACAAATTATAAAATTAAAATTATGAAAATTTTGTAAGAAGTTCATAGAAATATGTAGTTTTTTTTATAATATGGTTTGATTTAAAACTATTCAGAATATTTAATCCAATTTTATCTGATTAGTTATTTAAATTATCTTACCGTCTAATAATTATAAAAAAAATTACGGACCAGATAACATAAAAGTTAGTTTAAATTTGTTAATTATGTTGGTCTAAAAAAACTTCTGATATTTTTAATTAAATATCACAATTTTTAAAATTTTTGTAATCCCAATTAATACATCCCTAAATAAAATAAATATGTTTACCATTAAGTATAAAGGAAAATGAATAATTTGAATAGGCATTTAGGTTAATCAAGAAAATTATACAAACAAAATAAATTTAACGAAAAAAAACTAAAGGTAATTATATAACATTTAATGTTATATATATATATATATATAATATATACTATTGATATTAATATATATTAATATTATATAAAGAGAGAGGTATTGATGATTAATGCCCCTAATAAATCCAAGTATTATGGTATTATGTAGGTAAAAGAAAAATACTAATGTAAAAGAAAATAAAAATTTCAAAAACATTGTTTGGCAATTTATAGATAATCTAAATTAGTATTACTTTGGATTATCTAATCATAATTTGGATTCTAACTATTATTATTCTTCAAAAGCAAATGAAAAAATAAAAAAAAAAGTTATTGACTTTATATAATTATAATAAAAAAAAATTTACCTGAGATAACAATGAACATGTGCCAATCCAAATTAAATAGAAAAACAAATTACAACACATCAGAATGATTATTTGACTCAGACGAATACACAAATTAAAAAGAAAAAGAATCATGATTTGTTCTTTGAATTTAGCCTATGGGATCATCTTTAACCTTCTGGTTCTTGAAAGTTAACATCACCCTCCATACCCAGACAAACATCTTGTTGTTGCCGCTCCATCTTCCACTTTTTCTTATCTTCATTGCAAAACACAAACAACTCATCACACTTGTTTTAATAAAATAGATATAAGCATTGTATAAAGCTATTCATTCAAAATCTGTATTTCAGATTCACAACACAACTAATCTTAACCATGTTTCTTTGTCATTCCACTACTCTCCCTTCTCCTCCCTCACCATAACAAGACATGATGGTATTAAAAATAATAAAATAAACTTTAAAAGTTACCTCATCCTTCTCCTCATTGCTGGGAAGATGTTTCCGACCATTCTCAAGAATTAATATATTTATCACTATCAAAAGCAGAAACAGTGAGAGCAACGTTGGGCTGAACAGAACTATGTTCAGGGCTGACGGAAAATAATACAGTAACATTTCCCATAACCAGTTCACATTTTGTTGACGTGACATTTTTTTTTTTTTTTTTTAGAGTTAAAGGTTTTAGGGTTGATGCTCTCCGGTGGTGTTGTCCTGGTTTAGGTTGCGCCATCTTTTTTTTTATGTAATAACCCACTTTCTTAAAAACACTTTTACACAATCCAATATAATAATAATATATATATAATTTTTTAAACGAGAAGATGAATATGTAAAAATTAATTATTATATATATAAAAAACATTATATAAAATTTTTAATTATATTATATATTAAATATATTCTTTATTGAATTTAAATTTAAATTTAAAAAATTTAAATTTATTTTATTATTTATCATTTCTTTTTCTCTTTAAAAAACAAGTTTATAATTTTTTTTTGAAATATGTAAGATTTTATCTGATTTTTTTTTGTATTTTAATATTAAAATAAAATATTATAAAATATTTTAAAAATTAATTATTTTATAATAAATAAAAAATTATATGAATATTTTATATTTATATTATATATTTAATTTATAATAATAATAATAACAACAAAATATTGTTTACAGTTTCTTTACTTTAAGAGAATGATATTGAATTTTTTTTTATTTGTTGTCTTTCTCTAATTTAAAAATACGTCTAATATGAATAAAATAAAAATATAAAAAAATAAAATTACAATTTTTATATTACAAGAGTGAACAGTAAAACAAATAAAAACTAAAGAATTTATAAATTTTATATTGTAAAATAAAATTATATAAAAAAATAATATTAAAATAAAAGGATGATAAAAAAATATATAAAAATTCAGAATAAGCGTATAATATCAAAAGTTGAAATAAAAAATAAAAAAAGTTGAAATAAAAAATAAAAAAGTTGAAGAAAAAAATAAAAGTCTCAAAATAGGAGAAAAATGTGTGAATAAAAAATTATATATATAAAAAAAAAATATTTGTTATAAATGAAAATTTTAAAGAAAAAAATATTTTTTAAAAATTATATTTAAATTTAAAAATAAATTTTATTTAATTTTTAAAATTAATATTTATTATTATTATATTTTTTTTTTTGTTAGGGAACATGACACCTGACAATCTTCTGTACATGTACATCATATTAAAACACAATTTAAAATGACTAAAAATAGAACCAAAATTTAGAGGAAAAAAATATAGATACTAATAATAAAATACACATACTAGAGTATTACATGTTTGTAAGCACCAAAAATGATTAAACTTTGAATATAATTTATAAGTTTAATTATACATCAATATTTTTTGTGGAGTAGAAAAATAAAATGAAAAGCATTAAGCAGCAAGTCATTTATAAAACACATTCAAACAATACTAATATGCATTAATAATGTAACAACACTAGATTTAAGCGTAAAATCAATTTGTTTCATAAATTTTAGTTTAAAAATTATTCATGATAAAAGTAAAAAAAAAAAACATTTTATAATATTTAATGTATTATAAGTGAAAATCTAGGAATATATATATATATATATATATATATATATATATATATATATATATAAAGAAAACATTTTTTATATTTTTAATTTTTTAAAACTAAAAAAATGAAAGAAGATTTTGAAGATTTAAAAAAAAAATAGTAAAACAAACAAACCATTGAAATGTAGTAGTGTAATAATTATTTCTTTGTTCTCAAATTTCCTAGTATTATAAATTAAAAGGTGTTAAAATAATTAAAACTAAAAATGTAATTAAACTTATTAGTAAATATAACTAGAATTTATCTTAGAAAAAAAATCACAAATATACTAAGTTGTAATTTGGTCATATATATACCATAATAGACTTGGATAAAAATATAGCAAAAATCATCGACTTTAGTTTGTTTTCATAGTTGGGTTCAGAATGATTACTGTGGCCAAGCCCAGACAAAAGCATTTCTAAGATAAGATCAAACTTAAGGTTAGGCTTATTTTCTAAAGCTGGCATTTTTATTTATACGAAAAGTTTTATTATATAAATCCCTTGCAACTAAACAAAGGGAACCAAACCAAAACACCCACTTACCTTTCCGGGTGAAATAATGTTTTCCCCATTTTTCCTGGAAGAACAATTGCAAATACTGGAAGATGCTTTCCATTCCCACCAATCACAATTCACCTATTGTCGGATTTGGCCCAAACAAAAACCCTAACACAGATAAATAAATAAAACAATAACACCACCCACCATAAAAGAAACAAATATTAACAGATATCTTAATTTAGGAATTTGAGTCTATGAGTTGATTTTCCAATTTTATTTATTTTTAAGATTTTTATAATACGCATTAATTAATTTCTTGAATTTAATTAAAATATATGGACAGTATATTTTACATTATTATCACTAATTATGAATTACTATCATGTTTGTTCATAAAAGATATTAATTTTATAATCATTACTTAAAAAAAAAAATTTAAACTGGTTAATAATACAAAGAAAATCATACTAGTTCTTCATTCTCCAAATTCCTGGGGATTTATAAATTATCAGATTTTAAACATTTACAAAAGAAATAGTAATAGCATAGATTATTTTTGCTATTTTCTTACCAAACAAACAATGGTCACTACAAAAATGTGTCGTTTATATATGATGCCGATATTTGTTGCTAAAGGAAGCGCCTTTCCTGAGAAGTTGGGAGAAAGAAGAGAGTGGTGAGCCTGAGAAATCAGAGGAGAGAGATGGAGGTTGGATTTTTAGGTTTGGGGATAATGGGCAAGGCTATGGCAACTAACCTGCTACGCCAAGGCTTCAAAGTCACTGTTTGGAACAGAACCCTCACCAAGGTGTCAAAACTCATCCAACTACTTTCTGATATTTCAGTTTTTTATTTTATCTTTTTATTATGTTTGTGTGTGTCCTTATGATTTTTTTCTTTCTTTCCATAATACTGGTTGATTATTATTGTAGTTAATATAATTTTGTGTAATTTTAATTTGGGGTTCCGGAGCATTGTTTCTTCTTCTCATGTGCTACTATAGTACTTAAAGTTATACAGAAGGTTATGTGCTGAGATATTGTTCCAGGCATTTTGGAAGGTAGCTTAGCATTTTTTTTTTTTTGTATTTGTAGATAATATCAGTTATGTGGCATGAGAAAATTATGTATTCTGTTTAACACTTTATGAGATGGATTTGGCTCTCTAAAATATGTGGTAAAATGCAAGTAATTTCGTTTGATTATGACAAAATCAACTATTGATATTACAGCGCATCCATTTTGTTATGAATTTTTATGTAATACCAATTTTTAAATTTTTTTCACCAATGACTGAGACTACTTACTTCACGCTCAGACATGAGTTTCAGTTTAGATACACCTTGTAGTCAGCATATTATCGTGTTTCTTTATTATGAAGCTCTCAATATATGTGTGTTCACTAACCAACTTCTAATTTGAAATATCTGCCATTGGTCTAGTGCCCTTAACTCAGATAGTTCTTCTAACTCATGTTTGCTGCAACTTCTAACTGTAGTGTGAAGAACTTGTGAAATATGGTGCTTCTGTTGGAGAAACACCAGCAACTGTAGTCAAGAAATGCAAGTATACAATTGCCATGTTATCTGATCCTTCAGCTGCTTTATCGGTCAGTTGTTGTGAATATTATCTTGACTAGCAACTTCTGCTTTTGCCCTTATTTGAACTCTGTTTGTGGTGACTATCCAGGTTGTGTTTGACAAAGATGGTGTTCTTGGTCATATTAATGGAAAAGGTTACATTGACATGTCAACAGTTGATGCTGATACATCTTCCAAGATATCTGAGGTTGGTATACCCATCTGGTTTTAGGACTTATTTTCCCTTCATTCGAAATTCATTACATTTTCTTTTCTCTTTCAAAATTCTGCTATAGCTCCCTGTTTGTAAAGAGAAACTTGTAAATGAAAGAGAAGTTGCAATTACTAATGTTGCCTGACGTCATTTTTCATGTTGCTTGGGGTATTTTTGTGTGAAAATTTAAATAACTTTTGTTCTGGATTCTATTTCATCCTTGAGCCCTCCATTTTATTAAGTATTTTACAGCTGAGAAACGTTGCTTTAATCCTCCCTCTTCTCTCTTTCCCCCTGGCTTTAAATAAGAATAATGTAATGTAGTTTGTAGTTTACTTTGTGGGGACATCTTTTTTAGTATCATCCATAGCAAATTTTTATCCAATTATAAGTTTGTTATTATAGTCATTATTTGGTATTTGGCCATTAAAAGTTCCTGTATAAAGGAAGTTAAATTAGCTGGGAAGTCAATGGTACTGAGGATTTATGTTTGGATGAGGAATAGTTGATATGAAATTAAAATTTCCCAATCGTATAAATGTGAATGGAAATTCAATATATTACATTATTTGCATATTCTTGCTGTAGACCGTTTGAATATATGCAATTTTTTATACGCCCAGAAAATAAATAAATGAATATATGTTCGTTCTCTTTATCCTTTGCTGTATGCATGGCTTAAAGGTTACTGTAGTATACTATCTCTGCTTTTTCATACTATATGCATAAGATGGTACTTTGCATTTTACATTCTCAACCTTTAGAATGAGTAGATCCATAGACAAGTTGCCATTGACGGACCTGATTTCCACAGGCAATCAAAGCAAAAGGGGGTTACTTCCTTGAAGCTCCTGTTTCGGGTAGCAAGAAGCCTGCAGAAGATGGCCAACTAGTTATACTTGCTGCTGGGGACAAGGTACTTCTAAATGTTATTCTACAATTCTCGATAAATATTCATTGTATGCTTCTCTGTTGTGCCTTTAACTATGCGAGGGAGTTGAAGTATTCAGAAGCCTCTTCTCTCCGTTATACGACATGTTTGCATGACTGGAAGTTTTCAGGGTGTAGCATGCATAAGATACATCAACAACCCATCAATACCCTCGAAACCTTTAAATGAACGTATTTTATGATCAGTGATCTCCAAAAGTATAATGTTGAGTTCCCAAAACAAAATACATTGATGTCTATTTGAGATATTTAAGCAATATTTAGTGTTACAAAATGCAATCAGATGACAAAAAAGTGAAGGTAATATCTATATGAATTATGGAAACATTAATTGGTTATTATTATTATCCAGATTAGCTATTGCCATCACTAAGAAATTTCAATTAGAAAGGTTTAAAATATCATGACAGGTTCTACCAATCAATTTTAAAATGAATAAGCAAAGGTAATTGTAGTAGTCCAACTATCCCTACGATTTAAATTCAAAGGTTATTGTCATGAAGCAATTTTAAAATGCACTATTGTAAAGGCTTTGATTCCATATCAAGAACCAGTTCTCCCCAAATCTCAAATTTTTAAGTGAAGAAGTCAAGTCATCTTAAACAACAAGGCATTCTTATATATTTATCATAGATAAGTATATAATAGATGATGATTTGGTACACTTGAATTATCATTTATACACGCCTCAGCTTAAGATTGGTAAAAAAAAAACCTTAAGGATGGGTAAAACATCCATTTTTGTTAAGATTAGTCATGAGCTTAACTTTAATTTTAGTGATAAAGAGAGAGAAAATTGGAGAAGTAAGGAAGGTTGGGAGAGAGATCGTGTGTTTGATGCACTCAATTTATGTAACGTATAAAGGGTAGGTTGCATGCAGTCTGACCCCATCAAGTACATAGACTGTTTCTAGGTTTTCAACTGGTGTTCCTTTTCCAGATCACAAGGTAGTTCCTATGTTCCTCATCTTATGTAACATATGTACACTTAAAATAAAAATATTGTTTTGGATACCCCTGCAATTAGTGCTGCAATTCAGATGGAGAGTAAGAATAAACAAGTGGTCTCACCATTAAAAGTTAGTGGGACATTGATACACTTTTCTTTTTTGGTTGTTTTCTCTCTCCCATTGGTATTTAAGTGTTATACTGGCCATTGGAAATAGTCATCTATTGGAAAAAATGTGTATGTTCTATAGTAGTGATACAAGCTCGGAGCAACCATCATTCTTAACCTTTTATGAAGGTTAGGCCGAGTATTTGGTAGCTGGGAATGTCCAGATAGAATTTGTAAATGAAATGTTTCATGCCTTCTTGATCATATGGGCCCTTCCTACAACTTGTGAATCACCTAGAAATCAGAGGTCAAGCCCATTGAGACAACTCAAACTAAAAGAGAAAAAAAAAAAAAAATCTCTACGAAGAAAGGTTTAATTAGATTTATTCTTTGATTAGGACTTACTGGTCAAACTTTTCTGATTTGCAGTAATCAGGCCTGATTTGATGTCCATAATCCTAGCATGGTAAAAAGCTGTTTAAATAGTGTTCCTTGTTATAATATGAATTGTGGGAAAAAAATATTATTCATTTTTCCTCATATTCAAGTATGTGTGCAAGTTCTCTGATTCGGATTCCTTTTTATGAAATGCTCCATATTGAGGAAAATACAAAACCATAAATATGCATTGCGTATCTTTCTGTATGTTAAGGTTGTTGATTCTTTTGACATGCAGGCATTGTACGATGAAGCACTTCCTGCATTTGACGTACTGGGGAAGAAGTCTTTCTTTCTGGGTGAGGTTGGAAACGGTGCAAAAATGAAACTTGTTGTTAACATGATAATGGGCAGGTAATATTTTCTTCCCCTTTTCCTGCCACTATCATTTTTAATTTGGGAGTGGGTAGGGGGATTGGAGTATTTTATGAATTAGCGTGCTAGAAATTTTCATCCAGATTGTACTATTTATTAGTATTCCTTCTTTGGTTACAAGCCAAATGGATTTCATGTCCATATTTTCTGTCTTGTTCTGTAAATTAGTTATTCTTTGTTACAGTATGATGAATGCTTTCTCTGAGGGACTCACCCTAGCTGAAAGAAGTGGTTTGAACCCTGCAACTCTTCTTGATGTGCTGGTAAGATATTTCAACCGCTGAGATTCCTATTGCTACCTTCTATTAGTATCAGTTTAAACAATAATTGGGGAGTTTTTTGTGTGCAGGATCTTGGTGCCATAAGTAACGGCATGTTTAAATTGAAAGGACCTACAATGCTCCAAAACAGTTACTCCCCAGCTTTTCCGCTGAAACACCAGCAGAAGGACATGAGGTTAGCTCTTGCCCTTGGAGATGAAAATGCTGTATCAATGCCAATAGCAGCTGCAGCAAATGAGGTAAAACTATTTTTCAAATATTTTCTCTGTGGCAAAAAAAGGGAAGATCTGTAGACTGATTCTTAGGTTCACATGACTCCAATTCCAGTGAATAACATATGTGGTACTCAAATTCCAAACTTAGATGCAGCTACTACTACACACATGTTGTCTAAGTATCAAAGCTCATGCTTAACAGTTGGCTTGGATCCTAACAATTTCCTATTTTAATAAACAAATCGTAACATGCATCCTCGAGTTTGAAGTATCTGTTATATTATATTCACAATTTAACTTCTGTATGAGATTGTATGATATAGCTCACATATAACGCATAATAATTATCAACCTCTGTGCAGCAACTGAAAAACTAAGCAACTCACATGTTTTAGTACTGAAACCATTGATACTATACTTACTAAACCAAGTATTAGGAAACTGTTTGTTGTTGGCTACTTCTGAGCTAGTATCCTCCACTTGAGAGTAAACATACCTCCCCTTTATGACAAACCCTGGGAGATACTCTTATATGCCTTTATTTGTGATAATCTGTAAATGATGTGAAATGTGGCCAATGAAGGTTGCAACTAGAAATATGAACTAAGGAATGGAAGGTGTACGACTCACATGAGGGAAGTTTCTATGTTTTTTACACTACATACCTATTAGGATTGACTCCTATTGTAGAAATTCCTGACTGACAGATGAAGAAACATTCATCACAAGCTTAAATTTATTTTATTTTACAAATACTAGTGAGTTTAAACTATTCATTTACAAAAGATTAATTTTGTGTAAAGTAACATCTGTTCCATGACCTGCACATGCTATATGGCAATTGGGTATTCTGATAAAATATTTGCATTGTTCTCATGTGGATATGGAAATAGTTAAAACTCTATTCTTTCCACTGATTGTTGCATGTTACTTAGATGCTTCATTTGTTTCTTCATAAAAAATAAAAAAAATGATGGAACCCTTTTTATTCTCTATATTAGGCTTTTATGTTTCGTTACTCTGTAATAGAAGTTTCTTACTAGAAAACCTGATTGTAGGCTTTCAAAAAGGCCAGAAGCATGGGGTTGGGAGACCTTGATTTTTCCGCAGTTCATGAGACTTACAAAGCTCCTGATCATTCATCTTGACTGGATAACTTTCTGAAGTGATCAAGACACTATCTGGTCAACACTGATGTGAACCATGTCTTAAATATTTGTTTGAGATGAATGAACCTTTTAAAATTTTGACTCCTTCATAGCAAAATTAAGCTTTAATATGTGAGAACATGAATTAGTTCATCTCGTTGCAACTGTTCACTGACATTAATGTTTCAGTTTATGCAAGTGGTTTTGAGTAGGTTACATGAGTATTTCATGAACACTTCTATTTTGCTAAACATCTTTAATTTTGGGGTATGAAGCCTTAAATCTATGCTTTGATTAGCCATTTTTGATGTGTACTCAACCCACAACATATTCACAACGAACTATTTTTAAACAATACTACCTCAAGCTGAAGCATATTTTAATCATGTCAAGATTTATTTAATTCTGATAAAATAAAACAAAAATCAAATGCAACAATTTATTTCCTCTTACTTCCATGGCAACTTAGCAGTGAGCCGATAGAACTTTAACCTACGAAATTGATTGTGCTTGGATTTATTAATTAAGAATATAAAAAATATATACAAACAATACATAAAAATTAAACTCAAAATTAATCTCTGTATGTAACAATACTTATTAATTGTTTTTCTTTTGTCGATACAAAAATCAAATCATTCTAGAACCAATATACCTTAATAAATTGTGAAGATTAGTTTGCAAATAAATTTTTCATATTATAAAATATTTTTGTGTGGAAACTAAATTGATAAATAGAGTTCAATAAAGGAACATAATTAGTTACAATTTAACCTTAAAAACTTAAAGAAATGTGAATTAAACTATAATTTAATCCTAATCTAAACTAAAACACATTGAAGGTGTACATAGTTTATATTTATACTACATTATTTGATGAAAAAACATGAAGCTGTTAGTAAAAACAAAACTCTATACATCCTATACGAAACAAATAGTTTCATAACATAACCCCTCCTAGATTATTTTGTAAAGGCTTTTGTATAAAAATAAGCATATCAGAAGGAAAAAATAGTCTAAAAACATTGTAAAAAAAAAATTATATTGCTCTTGACATAAAAAAAAAAAAAAAATATGATGTTAAATAAAATAAATAATAACTTCCGATAAAACTCTATATATCTATTCTTCTAAATCTGGTCGAACTTTGTCTTAAGTGGAAAAGAATGGAAAATCCACTTACAAAATCATTTCAATACTTAAAGAGATTATTATTTATAAAATCCTTATCAAAAATAGTTTAAATAATAATTTATATTTTTTAATATTAATTATTATATTTTTAATATCACATTTCACCAAATAATTAAATATATTTATTATATATTATTATTATTATTATAATATAAAATATTTTCGTTATATAATAAATTTTAATAATATGCACAGATACAAAACCTCCATTTAGCATATTGATGCGAATTCAAATATGTACACCAATATAGACGTCATATTAACTTATAATCTACATTTTTTTTATCTCATTTTCCCCTAATTTGCCATTTATACACGAAACTTCACACACAAATTAACTTTTCTTTTTAATAGAGCTACATAAATTAATTACTCCTTTTAATCTATAAAAAAATTCAGTTTGTTATCACCTCACTGAAAAAAAAAAAAAAAAAAAAAAATATATATATATATATATATATATATATATATATATATATATATATATATATATATATATATATAATATGAATAACATTAATCATAGTATTATCTCAATGTAATATTATATAATTTAATGAAATAAACAATATTGATTTATTTTTTAAAATAGTGGAATTAAATTAATATTAAAAATTATAATTGATTGAAATTTTAAAAAATATATATTTATTTTTTTAATGCATGTTTTGCTTCATTTAAATCTCAATTCAACCATTAATTTTTAGAACAAGAGTATTGAGTTTGTGATGGAGATATTTTGATATGGGATGGTAAACAGGTTAGATTTAGTGGATTAGTCTCTCTAAAAAGTGATTGTTAATTTTAACCCTTCAACTTATTTAAAAAAATAGCAAGTTAATCAATGTCTTGCCTAGTCCACTAATTCAATGGATAAAGGGCGGAGATAAGGCGGGATGACCTATTGCTCCACTTTAAACAAATATTTACATATTATAATTAATATAAAAATAATTATAAATAAAAATATTATATTTTTTTATTATATTATTAAAATATATTATCATATTATAATTTAAATTATAAAAATTAATTAATTAAGTATAAATTATTTATTATAATGAATTATTTTAACATATATATAATATATTTTTTTATTTATCTAATAAAAATATTAATTAATAAATAAAAACTTAAAACAATATTCAAATAATTAAAAATATGTTAAAAAAATACATATAAATAAAGTATATATGAAAATAAATTATGAACTGGAGTTTTTAACTTGTCGAATAATCCACTCACATCTATTTTTAAGCTGGTTAAAAGTGGGAGAGACAGACAAAATAGATGAATTAGACTAATATTCATAAATTTTAATATAAGTAATAATTAATATATGTAATTTTATTTTGAGTATCTAATAAAATTTATTTTGAAATTAAGCATTAACAAATATAAAAATTTATTTAAATTTGTAGTATTTTAATCAATTTGATTACTTATTGTTAGTGGCAAATCGAGAAAAGCGATCGAAATCGAAGGGAAGAAATATGACTCGATAAGATAAACAAAAATTCATTCGATGTCTAATTAGAAATACGTAGCATATAGCATCGAGAAACACAATCGAGAATCGAATGAATTATAATCAAATGACTGTTGTCGAATAAAAACTAAGTCATATAAGACCAGGGTTAAAAAGGAATCGTAAGCAATTCGAAGTTCTCGAAAAATACAGAATCGAGAGTAAAGAAAGCCAATGTGGACATCGAGACTTTGGCCAAATTGGGAAAGGAAGTAAGTCGAATGCATGTATAAAGAGCAGTTTTGAAATCATGGGAAAAAGTCGGAGATCGTGAGAACGTGGGAAACTATAGAAGATAAACTGTCATACGCACGTAGAACGTGGTAGCAGTCGCGTTAACTGCTCTCGGAAGGCTTGAAGGATGCCCTATAAATAGAGCAAAGGAGGAAGGAACAGGGGGAGCAGAAATTGGCAGAGAACAGGATCAGTAGTGAAAAGTCTACCGGAGAAACGACGAACACCATGAAGCTTCTGGCAATCTGGATTTCCTTGCTCACTGAGTACATTTACCGCTTTCTGTATTTTCCTTGGTAATTTATTTTGATGCAACTTAAATTCAGCAATTTTATGTTTCTGTATTTTCAATTCCTTGTCCATTTCAATTCAATGAAAATTTGAGTTTCTGCATTTAGATTTCCATGTTATTTAACATTCTGCAAATTTCAATTTCCTGTCATTTACTTTTCTTGTAATCTCGATTTCTTGTCATTTATATTTGCGTTGTTTTCGATTTCTTGCTATTTACAATTAATGTAAGTTTGGGGTTTTCGCACTTTACATTTTCTCGCAATTTAACATTCTGCTTTTTCGATTCGATAGTTTTAATGCTTTCGATACTTTAAATACAAAACACCAAAAACAGCGTTTTCGATATCCTGTGATTTTCGATTCTCATACACGTTTTCGATTGAAAATCAAATTGCTAGCCTAAGTAAAAAGAACTTACGTGGTAGGATTTCGATTAAGACCGAGACACCTTTAGAATCGAAATCGATCGAAATTCCACCAGAAACAAATTGGCGCGCCAGGTAGGGGAAATCTTGTGTTGAGAAACACAAAATTGGTTAGTTCGAAACTGTATGAGATTAAGGAGTGGGAGGGTCATGAGTCAGAGTTCATCGAATAACCAGGGTAACAGTGAGGGATTAAATGGATCACACCCACCAAATACTGGGGGGCAAAGTCATAATGAGAACATACCTGTAGTATCGACAACTGTGAGCATGTCGATACCTGTGAGTGGTGAACAAAATTCAGGTACATTAGCAAACACCCAAGTAGGATCTAGTACGGTGATACCAAATAATATGCAAACTATAGGAAACCCTACAACCACATATGTAGGGCCACGCATGAGTGTAAGACCGCCCGGGTTTTCACTTAATGTGAGTGGGGCTGGAACTTCTTCAACGCATAGGAATTCGAGATATAACTTAGGAATGTCCCAAACACTAGGTATGCCACAAAATTTTGGAATCCCTCCGAATTTAGGGACGTCGCAAAACTTAGTAATTCCTCAGAATTCAGGGAATGGACAGAATGTAGGCACACAACAGATACCTCCAAATCTAGATCAGAGGGGATACTTAGATCATGGGAGATATGTATTCGATAGAGACTATCATCGATCTAATTTTGATTCTATCGAAAACATGGGTACCGGAATATCTAGTAATTCATTAGGGGTACTCAGACAACAAATGGATGAGAGTAATTTTGAAATGGTGAATATGTTATCACAACAATTGACTACGAGTCTTAAATCCATTAGTGCAAAACACTACTGCTAGCTTTGAGATATTAGCAGACCAAATGTCACGAATCGGGGATGCATTGGCTGTGCCTCGACAAACGACGATAGAAAATCAGGCTAATCAGAATACTAATATTAATCCCCCATATCTATTGAGAAGAAATAGAAATAATGATCAACAACAGTGTATGGGAAATGAGTATCAACATATGAGGAATGATATTTATGGGAATTTGAATGAAGGATTTCAAAATATACACAATCGGAATAATATGTTGGGACAAAGGATGAATTTACAAGGGATGGAATTTAGACCACCCAATCAGACATATTTTGTGTCTCCCTTTCCGAATGCAATTCTCGAGACAGAATTGCCTCGAGGATATAAAGTACCCAAATTCACTAAGTTTGCTGGAGAAGTTGGTGAATCGACTATCGAGCATGTGGCTCGATATCAGATCGAATGCGGGGATTTAGCGATGAGTGAAGAATTAAAAATGAAATATTTTCCTAGTTCTTTGACTA